AACCTTCCGCCAAAATGAGAAAACGCTATAGTGTCATGCTCAGAAGTTAAAATCCAATCAATAAAATCTGTAAGAGGATATGATGAGACATTTTGTTTATCAACTTTTGTTTTTGTAAATGGTTTTAAAGAAAAAGTTATAGTCTTAAATTTTCCACAAATGTTGCAATCGGTATTATACTCATTTGTTATACATAAAGGGCAAGTAATTTTTACTGCTATAAAATTTGGTTGGTGAAATCTCTTATTATTGACGATATTATGTTGCATAGTTTCGAGGTCAAATGCTACAATTCTATACATCTTTTTCTTCTTTTGGATTAATGGAGCTATGAAACACCCACGTTTTGGATCATGAAAGATGCAGCATTTATTACAATAATTTTCGGAACAAACATGTCCTTTTCTGCCTGCTGTTGTATTTAAATGAACATTCCATACTACGCCGCATTTGTTACATTTTTTTGAGTTGTTGCAAAATTTAGAATCAAGGTGATAATTGTAACAATCTTCATTGTTAAATTCTTTTTCACAACCTGAACAATGTTTCACAAAATTATTATTAGATTTACAAGGAAATTTCGGTCCAATTCTAGAACAGTTCATACATCTCATCCTGCATGAAATAGAATGATTTTGACGCCTATTATATACAGTCTCACAGGAGAAACAATATGACTTTTTAAATAAATCACTAGTCCTTCTAACCCCGTCAAAATGTTCGTTGTTGAAATAAAGAATTATAGGGGTTTTGAAATCTTCAGGTCCATGCTTGAATATAGGCTTATATTGACCATTTTCCCCGAAAATAAAAATTTTAAATCCACCTTCATTCCTTGAATTCCAAAATTCTGCTACACGCGGTACCCACTCGATTGCATCGTATTTCTCACAATCTTTAGCTGCACCAACATTATTCATTAAGTCAGATGTATCATCCTTGAAACGATTTTTCTGGCCTCCTCTACTATGTATATAATCGTAAAATTTCCATCTAGGCCATGAACGCGTTGTATATACAAAAGATGCCATTAATGCATAAAACAAGCAGTGATTATCATAATTACGAATTTTTATTAAATTATTGGCGTTAATTATATGTCGAACAGAAGGCATTTTGCTACGACTCCCGGATATATTTCTAATAAGCCCTTCCTTTTTTACCACTGTGATTGTCACAGAGAAAGGCTCGCCCAATAATGTGTTATTATCTTGTTTTCTGCTTTGGGAAACTTTTAAGAATTGATTTAGTATTGAGTCAAGCGTGTTGTTTGAAATTTCTCGCACAGGGATCCATATATCGGTTTCAAGTGTTTGACTACTCACTGTGCATCCTAAGTGATCTGGTTCGATTTTCTGTTGTCGACCCTCTTCGATAGCCTGATCAATACAGCTTTGAAAAATGCCTGCGAGTAAAGCCTCGGGATCTGGCGGTAATTTATTTATAAGAAATTTAGATTGAACTTTGGTCAGATTAAATTTTTTCGTTACTTTTACGTGTTCATCTAATTTTTGCACATAATCGATTCCTCCACCCCTCTGGAGATCTAGTATATCTTCTATTGCAAAAAGTTTAGTTCGTTTTGGTGGAGGAGAAGACATTTAGAAAAGTGAGGTTATAAAATAAAAATGTAAGAATTTGTTCTTTGTAATGTAAAAGGCGAGATATAAATTACTTGTCTTGAAAAAATTCCAGTGTCATACATTCCCCTCCTATTGTTTCTTATTTTCTTTATAAATTTGCATATTATTCTTTAAAATATCCTGCTTTCGCGCATAAAATTCCTTTAAAAGCATTTAATTTATTACTTTATTTTTCTATATTGCATAATACTCAAAATATCTTTTCTATTCTAAATTTGCATATCCTTTAACTCCTTATTTCGTAATTTTCTTTTATCTAAAATGGAAGAAGGAATAATAAATATTATTGAGGGGGTTGGAAATTATGGAAGTAAAATTGTTCTAAAAAATCGTTTTGAAATATTAGATTACTATTTTGGAGTTTCAAAATGGTGCGATGATTGTTTGGATTTAATATTTTCTGGGTCGGTAGGAGAAATTATGATACCTAAAGATGAAAATTCGTTTAGATTTTGTTTATATGTTTGCATGGATTGCGTCAATCTTACCGATTTTAAAAATTATAAATATAGACACACTATACACTAATAGACTTATCTTAGTATTTTTAGTCTTTTTTTACCTTTGAAAAATTTATGGTTTAAATTTTATTTTTTTTTCAAACATTTTTTATCTAGAATAGTTAATGTCTTTATATTATGCGAACATATATATATTTTACCAACACATGAAAATTTCACTACTTTCACATCTTATTCCCAAGGGAACAGCTGAAAATAAATGAAAGAAAGATAATAGGATGTTACGGGTGTATAATATTAAGGCTGCATATATTATGCAAATTTCCATTTATGTAGATATTACGAAATATTCTAGCATTCTTGAATCGTAAGATATTTTAAATGAAGTATTTTGAGAATTGTAGTTCTATTTCTCTAAAATGGTTCTTGTCATAGATGAACTTACAAGCTTTCTCAACTGCTCTGCTCTTAATCTGAGTAGATATATGAATAACCCGTTAATAAGAATTCGTATATTGACCAAATTTCTGGATCGTAAAATCCGAACAACTTATTTAAATAAAGACTTGAGAAAAAAGACATTTTTATTTGGAGGTCTTACATGGCAAGGTGCAAATAAAATTCGTGTCTATGGAAAACTTAGATGCCCCTATAATGTTACTATTACACAGCATTATTATATCAGACATAAAATTCGTTTGCGCAACCCCTACATGCATTGTGTGATCGAACACCGACCATGGAAGAAGGATCGATATTATCCTATCGAACTATTAGAATTTGTTGATGAAGAGGATGAGAAAATGACGAACTTGGCTATTGACTTTGAAAAGGTTAGAATTTCAGAATAATTGAATAATGGATCTTGAGAATTGTAGAAGCATAAGGGTGGTGAAACACATACGCACCCGAAACACGCGTGCACCCAAAACACACGCGCACCCTCTAAATACATGTGCACCCTTAAAAATAGCTATAAATGATAAATTTTGTCTCCTTTTTCTTAAATATGTAATTTTACCCCTAAAAAGAACAACTCCTTTTATAAAATTCTGAAATCTAATACTCTATTCCAAAAATTATGAAAATTTACCCCTAAAAACTATGACTTCTTTCTCTTAATTTTTTAATAATTTTAAAATTATATCTTTGTTTGTCTAATTATGCAAATTTACCCCCAAAATTTGTAACTCCATTCTCTTAATTTTTATTAAAAGTAATCTTTAAAAAATGTTTATTATGAATAAAATATTTAAAAATATTGTTTTATTTTATAGAAAAATGAAAAAAATTGTGAAAAGCAGGCAAATGATATTATTATTCTCAAAAATTTCCGTGTTTTGTTCATTCCATGTTTTGGTCGTTCCGTAATTTGGTAATTCCGTGATTTGATCGTTTCGATTCGGTAATTCCATGAATTGTCGTTCCGTGAGTTAGCCTGACACGTTGAATTTATGAATAGGTTCTGAAAATTTTTAATTTTCTTTACGTTATTTTTTATATTCATTTTTCAATTTCATTTCACTAATACATTTTTCCAGTTATTTTTTATTCCTTTTTTTAAAAAATAGTTCAAAAATGAAAAGCAAAAGAATTTGTATAATTTTTATGAAGAAAGGAAGTGAGAGACGTTTAGAGGGGGAGGGGTCCGAAAAGTCAGTTGCGGGCGCTTTCCTCAAGACTCAAAGAGAGAAAATTGCCAACGACGGGGACGTACAAACAACGACGAGCCTGTTGTTATAACTACTAGCGCATTTTGGATGAAATTGTTTACTTCCAAACAAGGTTGTTAGATTTTACCAAATTTCGGAAAGTACTTTGCCCATCCCCATCGGATTCTCCACTTGTTTATTTTTGGGGTTTTACTTACAACTTATTGTTAATAACAGTTCAGGTCCGAGAAACAAGGGCATCCAAACCCTAGCATAGACATGCCCGGTTAAATAATCTAAAACTAATAAATAGACAAAATTCGTATTCCAAAACTTCGAGTTTTGATAACTTTAATAGCTTTGTGCGAAAAAATTCATTTTTAATCATTTTTTCATTTCCCGATCTTCAAGAATGACTTCTTTCTCTTAATTTTTTAATAATTTTAAAATTATATCTTTGTTTGTCTAATTATGCAAATTTACCCCCAAAATTTGTAACTCCATTCTCTTAATTTTTATTAAAAGTAAAAAAAAAAAAAAAAAAACTCGAAGTTTTGGAATACGAATTTTGTCTATTTATTAGTTTTAGATTATTTAACCTGAGGGAAGAAATCTTTAACGTCAATTGGATGCCACTTCAGTTCGTCAGACATCTTCCAAATAGCATGATAAATTTATCATGCTATTCCCAAATAGCATGATAAAATGAACATTCATTACCCGCCTTGCAGAAACCATTACCATAGTAATTGCGACAAGGTTTTGTTCTTGAAGATCGGGAAATGAAAAAATGATTAAAAATGAATTTTTTCGCACAAAGCTATTAAAGTTATCAAAACTCGAAGTTTTGGAATACGAATTTTGTCTATTTATTAGTTTTAGATTATTTAACCTGAGGGAAGAAATCTTTAACGTCAATTGGATGCCACTTCAGTTCGTCAGACATCTCCATTTGTGGCAGAGTGCGCATTTCCCAAATAGCATGATAAAATGAACATTCATTACCCGCCTTGCAGAAACCATTACCATAGTAATTGCGACAAGGTTTTGTCCTGTAAGCATTTTGGCGACGTCGATGGCGGAGATATTGACTATATTGGGAGCCAGGAATGTTTGAGAACTGAAAAAACATAAAAATTAAATTAGTAAATTCACAAATCCGGCAATTTATAATTTAGAAAAGTACCTGACAGATGAAAAGACCATTAATACGTTTCCCCATACATTTACTAAGGTCACAGAGCTCATGCTTTAAAATAAGGTAAATAAGCATTACCCAGAAACAAACATAAACATACATGATTTTGCATCAGAAATTGCAATTTCTCGTCCTCTTCAGTAGTGTCAACATGTCCTTTTGAAAACTTTGAAGGAATTAAAATATTAGAATTTTGCAAAATAAGATTTTCAGAATCCGGCTGCATGCCGGATTCTGTGCTAAATTAAAAAATAATTTATAAATCATTAGAAAAAAATAATTAAACAGAAAATAATCAATTTACATAAAGCAAAAAACAATATATTCATGCTAAAATTATAAATGTTATGTAATTCAAAATTTTAACAAAACGTGAACGTGTTTGGACAATGCGTCAGTGGACTAACGGTCGGTGGACAATCGGTCAAAGGCTACGAACCCGGCAGTAGATCTGTCGATAAGAGGTTTTGGATTGATAGGGGCAGAGCAGTATCAGCCCGTTGACGCACGCGTGAAAACTACTTAGTTTTCTATTTCTCTTTTCTTTCGTTCTCTAACTGTCTCTCTTTCTTTTATGCACTCTTTTTTTGCGACTGCGAAAACAAATTTTAATAAAACTTTAAAATCTTATATCTCGAAAACTATCCCAAATTTTTGAAATTCTGTTCCAACCATTTCATAGATAATTGTTTAAAAATTTTATAAAAAAAATTTCATGAATTTTTATACACGCAACAAAAAGTTAATACGGGCGAAGTTTCTCAATATTTTTAGATAAAAATTATCTCAAAATTTCAGATGTTTTCTTAGATTTTGGTACCAATTGATGCAACTCGAGGAGATACGTCGATTCATGCGAAACTTGAATGTATAGGGCCAGATTAGGATGAGTTATGGCCAAAAATGTATAAATTTGTACCGATTTTTAAAAATTCATAACTTAGCCCAAAATACAGATTTTCCACTCAAATTTTGCAAAGTTGTATAACAATTATAGTACTACAATTTGGCAAATTTTGAAGGAAATTTTGCCACTAGGGTTTATTAGTTATAGACCCCCGAAGTTCGACAAATTACACTTACGAATATGGACAACCCCAGAGTATATGTGTTAAATGTCATTCGAAAGAGCTCATCGAGTTGAGTCGAATGGCACCAAAATCAAAAACCGATCTTAATCATGAGCTGAGATTCAGACTCCTAAAAATCGGAAAAATTGTGTTTTTAAAAATTCATAACTTCACCCAAAATGAAAATTTTCCTCTAAAATTTTTCAAGATTGTATATCAAACGTAGTACTACAATTTAGCAAATTTTGAAGAAATTTTGCCCCTTGGATTAATTAGTTATAGGTAGTAGGTTAAGCGGTATATCAACTCAAGGAGTAAGTCAAAATAACTTGTGAAAAGTTTATATAGATTTTGTTCATTTTTCATCGCTGAATCGAATAAAACAAAAATTAGCGAAAAAGGACAACTTTGGGGAAAGTTATGGCCCACGATAAGACGATTTTCACCAATTTTCAAAAATTCATAACTTCGTTAAAATTGTATACTGGCTTCTCAAACTTAGTAGGATTGTTTATCTCATTTAGGACCACAGAAATACAAAATTTTAAAAAAATCGGATGGGAGGATAAAAAGTTATAAAATTTAACTAATGCCCCTCACAAATGAGAGAATTGACCATTTTCCTTCCCTCTGACCATTTTATAACTCGTCTCTTTCTGACCCTTTCTCTTGTTTACAAAAAAGGCTCCTATACAACTCATCTAATCGTTAACTCATCTATTCGTTAACTCATCTACACGGCCAAAAAGGGTCAACTCATCCAATCGTTAACTCATCTAATCCTTAACTCATCTACACGGCCAAAAACGCTCAACTCATCCAATCCTTGAAATATCGGCCGGTTGAGTCCCTAGCCGGTTGAGTCCCTGGTCAGTTGAGTCTCAACCGGCCCAAGACTCAACCGGCGGTAATCAACCACTCAAACGGCCGGGACTCAACTGACCAGGGACTTAACCGGCTAGAGACTCAACTGGCCATGGACTCAACTGGTCATGGACTCAACTGGTCATGGACTCAACTGGTCATGGACTCAACTGGTCATGGACTCAACTGGTTATGGACTCAACTGGTCATGGACTCAACTGGTCATGGACTCAACTGGCCATGGACCCTACTTACCAGAGACTCAAACGGCCGGAGACTCAGACGGCGAAAGACTCAAACGACTGGTACTCAATAGTCTCGTTCCAAAGGATTGGATGAGTTGAGCGTTTTTGGCCGTGTAGATGAGTTAAGGATTAGATGAGTTGATGATTGGATGAGTTGACCCTTTTTGGCCGTGTAGATGAGTTAACGAATAGATGAGTTAACGATTGGATGAGTTGACCCTTTTTGGCCGTGTAGATGAGTTAAGGAATTTTAGCCGTTTAGATGAGTTGAACGTTTTTGGCCGTGTAGATGAGTTAACGAGTAGATGAGTTAACCGGACACGACAAAAAAGTCAGACGCACGAGAGATGCAATAGAATGTGGAGAGTACATAGATATTTAATTTAAATTTTGGCGTAATGTTTAAGGAAAAGAGTTAGCTAGTTTTCACGCGTGCGTCAACGGGCTGATACTGCTGTGTAGGGGGGATTCTTCGGATATCACTGGGATAAGGAAGGATACTCATTTTATGGGAATAAGGAAGGATTGAGGGATATTAGGGGATTTGGATCCAATAGTGTTCGGTTTATCTAGGGTTATCCAATGAAGTTTCCGAGTTGATTTCTGCTGAAATTGATTCTGCTTAGTAACCAATTGCAGTTTTGGAAGGAACAGAAAGGTTGAGATTGTTATAAAAAAGCGTACGTTATAAAAACCAATCAACTAATTCAGAACGTAAAAATTTAAAATAATCGTCATTAAACCACAATTTTTAAACACTTTTACCAAAATAAAATATTTATTCGAATATTTTAAATTTAAATCTTTCAATAAATAAAAGTAAATTAACAATAAATATAACAAATTTGAGCAAATTTTAAGGTAAAGTTAAGGGAAAATCAATGAATATCAATCAAAATTAACAATAAAATAATAATCGAATCTCCTTAACATGTCGCTCCTCACATATCATGTTCCTTCATGTCATATTAATTTGGATCCGAGGGGTTTTGTGTTAAAGAGATTCGACTGTAATATATATAGAGGTTTTGATAAAATATCAGATAATTTTTAAATAAAGAGTGAAATTTTAAATAGAGTGAAATTAAATAAGCAAAATTGGTTTTAAGCATTAACACGCATATGTTTCAAAAAAACGGATTTCTCATAGGAAAGAGTTTCTGTAAGTTGCTTGTGATCTTGCAAATTAGCGCCATTATTACCACCATTGAGATTACCACCAGAGCCAGAATTACTCCAAAAATTGTAATTGTTTCGTCCACGCTTAGCCTTAAAGATTATCTTATTGTTAGTTTAAAAGAAAGTTGAGTTAAGAAAAATGGTTAAGAAAATGTTCACAAAGTTTTGCGAATAGAAAGGTACAAAAAATAAACAGAAACAAACATATTCAAGTGCAACCATCACTGGAGTTGGCAGAGACGTTGGACTGTAGACAATTTGATGCCCAAAGCACAAACTGTGTGTCATCAACTGAAGAGTGTCCATGGAAAAATTGTTCTCATCCAAAAGAACATTATATCGAGGAGTTTTCGAAGTACCCTATAATTTTAATTGATTTTGTCAGGGCTGCACTCATCTTTAAAATTCGAAAATAGAAATCATAGTTTAAGTTTTTACGGAGAATCTTGCCACTGAGTCCCGACAAGTAACAAGTTTATTACTATTTTTCTAAAAATAATCCAAAATTAAACAACCTGAAGAGCAACATGAGAGTTCAGATAAAATTCAGTCCAAAGTGGATGAACGATATCCTTGTCAACGACAGTGCCTGGCAAAATATTCTGTTCAGGAGATTTTGCATGCTCATTAATATTTTTGGCGTAAAGTCGAACGAACTGGATTAAAAAATACTACAAAGTATATATATTATAGAACCTGCATTTTGTTGACCACAATCAAAGTAATCTTTGCAGAAATTCCATGCTCGTTGAATGCATTGTGGATAAGTGGCACTTCATATTTCAAAATCTTTTGAAAAGATCCTTCTCCACTTCCATCGCGATAAAGAATAAGACAAGTCCTATAAAGATATAAAGGTTTTAAATTAATTTTAAAAAACTCACGGAAAGCGGTTGTTAAACTTTTCAAATTGTACTATACAACGTTTGATAATGTTTGCAATAATGCTAACTTTCTCATCACGATTAGCTTCCTAAAAATATAAAACATGAAAAATGTAGTCTATGAAGCCAAAAAATTAATGAATTTAGCGCAAAAATGATAAAGATCAAATGATTAAATTTTTAGGTACTCTTGTGTTAACGTTTATATTTTCTATGGCCACTTTTTCCTTTTCTATCATGCTGCATTTATAATTTCTCTTTTGGATTAATTCCCATAACCTCTTAAACCCCTATAAATCCATCGATATCCATCTTAATCCTTTCAAATTACACTTTATGGTCTCTGACGCATTGTCCGAGAGCCAACACAAGAGTACCATTTCTTAACTAAAGATAGTAATTAACCTGATAACAATAGTCGCCAACAAACTCAAAATGATTATTCTTTCCAATATTTGCAGAAAACTTAAAATGTTAAAAATATGAAGACTAAAACTAAAAACATACTCCAACAACAGATGGCACAGTTATACGTTGTATATGTTCGCCATTTCCATTAGCTCCATTTCCATTCTTACCGTTTCCATTTTTGTCACTTTCTGTACCCATAGCAGTTGGTTGCACAACTCCAGGTCGCATGGCTAAACCTCCACCTGGATGGTTTGAACCAATGCCAACAATTAAAGTACTATCACCAAAAATTGGGAGTAAACTGTAAAAATAATGGTAATTTAAATAAGAGTATACTCACTCAGATTGCGGAGAGATAGAAATAGTATAATTGATTCCTCCCATCTTTACATTAGTCTTGTGGACGATGTTTGCCAACGTCTGGAACCGATCTTTGAAGATAACGTTCTTAACAGTCGACATCTTAACACCCTGTGTGACGACTTCGGTCTTTTGCTCTATATACTTCATGGCATCTTTAAAGAAAATATAAAAAATACTAAAATAAATTAAAAACTAACGATGAACTTGATCTGCCCCATCCGGATGAGCAATTAACATATACTCAAAACCTTGTTCATAGTACCCCTGAATTATTAATTTCAGATCTGCACCAGTAACTTGGCGAACAAGAATCTGAGGCTCAGCAAAGTTCATTTGACTTTTTGAAAGGACGGAACGAAATCGCTTCACAAATTCACTGTAAATTTTTAAAAATAACAAAAAAATAAAATATGAAATTTACGTCCACTGTTCCATATTGATAGCATCCTGTTGTGTACCAAAAAGAGCCAAAGCAACCCACTTATGACACGTTGCAGGAAAAAAATATTCATTACAATCACTCCATGAACAACGAGGAAGTTTTGGAACTTGTTTAGCCCTTGATGCAAACTCGAGTTCCGGTGGAGACAAAACACGAGAAGTAACTTCAATTGGATCCTTTTGGCATTTGATTCCCAGACCATTCAAATATTCACTGACATCAAGTCGAAGAGAATTCTTCAAAAGAGCATTTTGTTTCTTTAATTCAGCAGGCGGAATTGCTGTTTTACGAATCATTTCCTAGTTATAGTAATAAAAAAATTGTGGAAGAATAAACAAAAACATACTCCAATCATCTGCCCGTCCTGTTGATCTGAATTAACTCGTTGATTGTCCAGAATAGAACACACTTCCATTGGAAAGTAACGGAAACCATAATTATTTGGCCCAATTGAGTATTTATTAATAAGAAGAGGCCATTCAGGAAATCTAAAAAAAATCAAATATTCGCTACTAGTATATATCAAATGAAGAGCGGGAACGCAATTTTTCATTACCTTATACTTTTCTTTCCCCAATGCGGGATCAAATTCGTAACCAGGGGGAGGGAATTCTTCGTTTACGGGTGTGGATAAAATACAAAGTAATGAAAAATGTAATTCCACTTTTCATTCCATACAGTCAAATATTATTTGTAAAAAAGATAAAACAAACTCAAAATCAATTGCATATTGTTGAGTGTAATATTCAAAAAGAGAAATTCTTGTATTTCCTTCACGTTGAATAAACTCAGTGTGAAGATTAGTTGAAGACAATCCATAAATTTCAAAAATCCGACGTTTTTCAGAATGATTAGTCGCAACAAAAAGCCCTAACATAAGAATAAAATTAGAAAAATAATTAGAGTTCGAGTAGGGGTGGAGGCATGCAACACCCATAAAATCGGGGAAAATGTTAGATCAAATAAGAGCCTCGTTAGAATTACATACATACCCGAAGCAAAAAAAAATCCGGCTAAAAACATATTTTCACGGAAATTTGCAAGTAAAATTCGTAACCCAATATTATTGAATATTTATGTATTTTAAAAAATTCAAGTCAAACAAAATACCTCGGAGAGAGTCTTCCATACGTTCCCTAATCCAGTCCGTGTCCCTCATACGAGAAGCGAATTGAGTCTCATGCAACTTAAGTTTCTCTGAAACCATTTGTACGCAATGAAAAGGCGTCTTAAGAAAATAAAAAACTGTAAAAATAAAGACAATTAAATAAACCTTCTTTACTGATGCAACAATTGCTTCACTCATTTGATTCTCATTAGAAGCATTTTCAACAGTGCGAATGCCCTTACGCATTCCAATCCCAAGAAACGAACCATTACTTGAAAAAACAGGACAATCCAGATCAGTAAACCCAAAAGAGCTGGGATTGAGCAAATAAAAATCAGAAGCTGAGAAGTGAATGTAAAGTGAACTGAAAAAAAAATAAATAAAATGAATGAAGAATAAGCTAAAGAGTCTTAAAGTTAATCTGTACATATTTTTAGGTTTTAAATTTTTCAAGATACAACCACAGAGGCGTAACAGGAATAGAATTAAGAGGTGCTATAACGAAAAGTGTTTCAAATCTGTGGAAAAATTGGGTGATTTTTAAGATTAAAAATTCTTTATAAGCAATTCTTATTATGTTTTTTGTTGGAAAACATATTTGTTATAAAATCATAATTATATAATCGAAACTTACGGATCATCAAAGACGTCCTGAGATGTTGCAATATCCAAAAACTGCTGAGTTGTACGATCAATCTTCTCTGCATCGTTGGTGACATAAGAAAAATCAGACAGATTGAGCAATTTCTTAGTATCATGAACCGGAAGAATTTTAAGTTTGAATGAGTCAAAGCCATTATCAAAGAAATGAGGAGAATGTTGTTTAATCTGCTCCAACGTGTACAACTCCTCAATTCCAAGCTGAGAAAATTATATTAAATAAAATAAGAAAAAAAATCCGATTAAATTTCTAAAACTAAAAGTAATAAAGAGCATATATAACAAGGGTGTAGCCAGGGGGTTTGGACTCGATCGGGATTATAACAAGAGCGAACTGGATCCGGCCGGATTCCAGCACAAAGTTTCAGTGACCAATTTCCCAGAAAATCCCCTTCGACGAAATCCCATCTTAAATTGAAAATAAAACTTACAACTGGAACTTTCAAATCAAAGGTTGAAATGAGAAAACTCCCACAATCATAATAAAGACGTTCCGTTGATAAAAACGAAGCATGCTTAATCTTAAAAGCTCTCAAAACAGAATAGCATTGAAGACGACGCAAAGCGTTACGATAGCTGAAAAAGAAAATTTAACATTCAAAAATATAAAAGAAAATTAGAGATCGGCTTGGATCTGGATACCCTGACTTTTTTTGGATTCAGAGTCAAGACAAGGATCTGGTCAGGGTGACCAAACAAAAACAAGAATCACGGTTTTTAAATTTCCTATCTCTAAAGAAATAAGATTAAACAAGACCAAGAGCATATTAATAGATAATCTTGCTTTTAGAGTATTAGAGGAGTTTAAAAAAACTAGTGATCTCAAGAAAATAATTATATTAAAAAATACTCTGATGAAGATCGAGTAGTTAAATTCGATTCACGTTGTCTAACTCCAGAAACATTCACCTCATAACGAAATAAATCTTTTGTTTTTGACATTTCAAGGAGATAGACCTAAAATTTTTTGAATTTAAACAAAATATTAAGAAAAAATACATTAGTGACGACTTTTTGACCACGTCCAACATCAATAGTACCAGGTTGTTTCTTCTCAGCAAGCAAAGTAGATCCAACTTGAAGCTAAAAGTGAAAAAATTAAATAATTTAAGCAGATCTTTTATTAATTTAATATTTAGAGAAGATAACAAAGGCGTATCCAGAGTGTGGCTTTCGGGGGGGGGGGTCTTATTGATAGTCTAAGGTTGATGAAACATGATACGTTTGAGGAATAGTCATAGCCTCATAATTTCGAATTCTTATCGCAAATTCGACTTGGTCGAATTCGTGTTCGAAATGAACAAATTCTAGGTTAGGATTTGGACTCATCAACAGTGCCGAGTCAGCACACTCGAATACCTACCAGTTAACCTAAAAAATATCGAAAGAGCACTCTTTCCTAATATTTTAGGAACCAGTAAAAGGATTATCGGGTGAATATTCCCTTGGAAGCTACGATACGTAAGTTAACAACAAAGGCAATAAGCCTGTAACCATGAACAAACAATATATTAATGTAAGTCCAACGCCAGAAAGGTACTGGTCCCACAGGTCCCAAGTTTCGAATTCATTGTCAGCATACCCAATTACCTAAAAGCAAACCTCAAAAATATCGAAAAATCGTTTTTTCTAGGGACCAGTAAACTAGAAGAAAACCAAAAGATTTTGGCTAGGCCAGAAAATAACTTTTAGCAATTCGAGTGGAATAATTCAAACTAACCTGAGCCAACTCAAGTTCTCTTTCAGCATCCTGTATTATACTCGTCGCCTTCCTCGGTTGAAAAGTAGACATTTTAAAGAAGAATTGTTTTAAAGATGTTCTAAAGCTAATAATTAAAAAAGTAAACAAAACATTCACAAAAACGGCAAATGTGTCGAATTGTGGTCCCGTTGAAAAATTAAAAAATATTGCGAAAACATTTTATAGGGTAACTTTTGGCGCCGCTTACGAATCTGAACCCATATTTTATCTAACACTTGATTTTATCTATGATTTTTTTTATTAGGTACTTGATTATCAAGCAAAAGCATTTATCAAGTACAAGAATGGTGTCGTTCAAGAGAGCTCTGAAAGTTGAGACGAACTAGGGGCGAACGAAGTCAGTCCGGTACACAAGGACCGAGATATGGTCACTTGAAAATCCAAAAACTATAGGGAGGAACTTGTTCTTTTTGGGGTCAAAAATTCGAATAATCAAATTATAGCTCATTAGAAAGAGCTCTTCGAGCTTTGTCGAATGGCACCAAAATTAACGCAATCTGACTCGCTTTGACTGAGTTATAGGCCAAAAAATTTGAAAACCCATAGATGGATTATGCTCATTTTAGGATATCTCAGTCCTTGGGTACCGGACCGACTTCGTTCGCCTCTAGTTTGTTTCAGCTTTGAGAGCTCTTTTGAACACCATTATTGTACTTGATAAATGCTTGTACATGATAATCAAGTACTTGATAAAAAAATCAAAGATAAAATCAAAATCTGAATTCAGATTCGTAATCGGCGCCAAAAGTTACCCTAGTTAATGTTTTCGCAATATTTTTAAATTAATTTTTCAACGGACCACAATTCAACTCATTTCCCACAGAAATAACGCGAAGTTTTAGAATAAATTTAAAGTTTTTAAAAAAATAAGACGAAGAAAAATAGCGTGTTATTTTTAAGAGAGACAACACTTCTTTTTCACTTTATTTGCGGTTGTTTCAGTGCCATCCAATTATTAATAGCCGTTTGAGTGCTGATTTCATCGTAGAGTTTGAGTGTTAATGAGGAGAACTCTCTCTTATTAGTAGCTCACCCGATTTTTTTCAAATCTTGTATTTTTGTAGGTCTAAAGTTAAAAAATCCTAAAAATTTAGAGGAGCGTTTGGTTAAGTTTTTTTGCTCTTTTGGCGAGGTTACGAATTTTTTTAAAATTAGTGATTTGGCCAGACTTATAATGCAATGTGGATTTTATAATTAAACTTTATTATTCGCGCCAAACTGTTAGTTGATTACTTAAGGAAAATTATGGTAGAGTGAGGAAAGGAGAACAATGCAGCAAAAATGTATATCTGCAGAAAGTCATCTGTGGAGGACATGTTGAGGACGAGCTGTTATTTACCTCCATAAGTGAAACTAGTAGTAATTAATTGTACGTACATATTTTATTAAAAATATAAACATTTAAATCATTTCAAAATATCAATTAAAAATGTTTTAAATTAAAAAAAATATTAAAAAATATCCTTTATTTATCACTCTTCATACCATTTTAATTGAAGAACTCTTTGTAAAAAACTTATAATATCAACCAATTCCTCAATCTTTTTTTTTTAAAATATTATTTAAATTTAAATATAAATCTTTACAATTTTATCTCTTGGTTTTCCAGCTCCATGTCCTGTATTTGTCTCTATATTTACCAAAATAGGGTTACGTTGAATTAATTTTATTTCTGATCTTTTTAAATAATGATATAATTGTGCTGCATATTTTAATGTATGGCTGGGGACTACTCTGTCATCGTGGTCTCCTGTTCTAAATATATTTTTGAGATTTTTAAAATAAACACTTTTGGTAGAGTATTCGTTGATTCATTATTATAATTTTTGATATTTTTTACTCAAAAAAATTAATATTTAACAAATAATTTACATTAAAAGAGTTGCAGGCCATTGAACCCCTCGAGGTAACCGAATATTGTGTAGAGGTGAATATCTACATACATAAAATTAATTATTTTACTATTTTTAAGAATTATTCTAATAAACCTAAAAATATATTCAAATTCACTTGACTTCTCAGGATCGCCATATTCACTAATCCAAAAACTGCCTACAGTAAATTTATGGAAACGGAGCATATCCATTACTCTTTAAAATATTTAATTGGGAATTCCGAATGTTAATTTTATATTTTTATTGTTTTAATTTCTTACCCAACTTGATTAATAACAGCTCCAAAAAGTTCAGGTCTTTGATGTGAACAAGCAGCAACTAAAAGTCCCCCATTTGACCCTCCTTGTATTGCCAACTTTTTTGGACTAGTAAATTTATTTTTAATTAAAAATTCTGCAGCAGATATAAAATCATCAAAAACATTTTGTTTATGTTCTCTAGCCCCACATTCATGCCAATGTTCTCCATATTCACCACCTCCACGAATATTTGCTATTGCAACAATTCCATGAAAATGCTTTAAAAATAAATTTAAAATCTTGTTTATTTTACTTTAACAAAAATATTTCTGTGGGAAGAATAACTTGGCAAAACTGGAATACTGCAAAATTTATATTAAAAAATTAAAAAAATTTCTTTTTTAAATTTATACTTAAAGCCTCCATAGCCATAAAGTAATGTTGGATTTTGTCCGTTTCTTTTAACATCCTTTCTTGCAATTATAAATATTGGAATCTAAATAATAATTAATTTTAAAAATATTTTTCAAAAATAGCTTTAGTGCCATCTTTGCTTCGATAAAATTCTTGTTTAACTTCAAGTCCAGTGACATTAACCCCTCGCCATTCATTCCTATGACGAATCTACATTAAATAAAAACAATTTTAACAGCTTCTCTTTAATTTAACTTAAAGTAAAGTTCAAAATTGGCCAATTTAAAATATTAAATTTAAATATTTACTTGTTCTAATTGTAAAAGAGATGTTTTAGCTACTAAAGAAAAATCAGCTCGGTAAATTGTTGGTGCTTCAAGAAATGAATTAAAACTAAAAAAAGCTTCAGTATCCTCTCTATCTCCATAACATTGACTGACAGTTCCAATTCCAAGAGGAATTCTTTTTTAATAAATAAATTAATTTTAAATAAAAATATGTATTTACTTATAAAGAAGTTTTCCTGTTTTGTAGCAATGAACATATAAAAATGTCTTTAAACAATAATTATTTAAAAATAATTCCAAATTACTTTAACATCTTCAATATAAATAACCATTAATTTATCCCCAGCAACTGGAACAACAGATTCTAATGCTCTTTTTGGGTCTTCAGGGATTAAAGTCTCCCAATGGGCACATCCAAGCATTGCTGTAGTTATTTTAATTCGAATAAGTTTTCTGTTTGGAGCAGAATGATCAGTTAAAACTTTAAATTTAAATTTAAAAATTTATTTATATTAGAATTTATTTGTTGATATTTTTTATTGGAATAAATTTGTTTGAAAGAAAGTAAGGCAAAAATACATAAGGAGGATTTTACATAAGTGTACTATGTAGTTTAAAAACAAAGAGAAAGTTAAGGAATGAAATTAAAATTAATTAAAAATAACCACCTATAGCAGATTCTGTTTCATGATCATAATCAAGTATCTTTAAAAAATATTTTAAATTAAATTTAAAAAACTTAAAATTAACCACAAAAAAGGCTCGAGTGTCGTGAATTAAGAGGGTAAGTGGAGGTCGGCGATGAATTTTAAAATCAATTGAATTTAAATCCAAATAATAAATTGTGTTTGCATTATCTTTTAAATTAATTAAAAAATAATAAATTATCAATATTTTATGAAACATTTGAGAATAATAAGGAAAAGATTGGGAATTGTGATGATTTTGGATTTTAATAAAAATTAAATTAATTATTCTAAAAATTACCTCTATCATAAACATAAACAAAAAGAAACCGTCCATCACGTGAAACTGAACCAACACTAAAAATAATTAAAGGGTTTTTTTTAATATTTTAGATTTCTCATTATTTTTTTAAAAATTATCTTTTAGGATAACTATCAATAAAAAAAACACAATAAAATTCCAAACATATTTAAATTCGGATCATCAAGTTCTCTAAAATCAGCAATAAGAATATCCTGTTTAGAGCCTAAAGGATGATAAAAAAGTGTGTGATATTCATCCTTTTTTGTAATTGTTGATTCGTTATTTGAATGTTTTTTTGTTTGTATATATTTCTTTTAAATTAAGTAAATATTTTAAAGTAATTTTATGAAAGAATTACAGAATAAAATATTCCTTTATTATTCGGCATCCATGATAAAGAGCCTTGTTTAACTTTTGGAATTTTATCAGGCAAATCTTGTCCATTTACATCTTTAAACTTTAATAAAAATTATTATTTTTTTATTTTAATTATTTATTTTACATTAATTGTTGTTAAATCACTTCCTTTTTCAGAAATTGTATAGGCCATAACTAACCCATCTCTACTAAAAGCAGTTTGTGAAATAGCTAAAGTCCCGTCTGAAGAAAGTTTATTTGGATCGAGAAATAATTGTTTTGTATCGTTTAGAGTTTTTTGGCGATAAATTGAACTATTCAAATTTGAAAAAAATTTTTTTTAATAATTAAGCAATCATTTTAATTAAAAAACGGAGAAATAGCTACTGCTAAATTTGATGTTATACATATTTAAACACTTGCAAAATATTAAACTCAAGGCTATGTCAAATTATATAATATTCGAAAAATAAGTCAAACAAAATAGTTGATCAATAAATAATTTTTTAGAACCGGAAATTTAGGATCAAACAAACCAGAAGGTTTACTGTTTTTTTAAATTAGGATTTCTTCAATAATTTTTATTTTGTTTTATTAAAAAAATTTTTTTAATAAAATGATTTTTATTATTTTTCAAAAGCTTTTAAATTTATTTTTTACCTTTGTTTTTGATTTCCCTCGCTGTAAGCATAATAATAATAATCTCCATGTTTAGAAATACATCCATAACTTTTTTGGTCAAATAATTGCATCATCCTGTCATATTGAGTAAACCTATTTTTAGAGATCGTGTTGACAGTCTTTGATTTTAGGTTTTAACTTTTTTTTAGAATTTTCAAAAATTATACCGAAATTATTTGTTTAAAAGAGGCTATTGCAATTATACATACTTAAAGTTTCTTGACACACTGTAGTATTTTATAAAAATATAAATTAAAATCATGTGGCAAGTTTTTGTTAATTTTTTTAAACACGATCTCTTTTTTTAAATCATTTAGTTAATTAAATATTGTTTTTATTTTTATTTTAAATTAAATTTTAAAAATAAATTATTTTTACTTTTTTCTAAATTTTTCTCGAAAAAAAGATTTTTCAAGAAAAGGACGTGATTGATTATTTAAAGCATAAATAAATTGTTTCGTTTCTTCCAAATTTGGATTTTCCATCCAACGATAAGGATCAGAAACCTTCAAAAAATATTTTTTAACTATTATTATTCATTTAAAACCAAACTTTAACTCCACAAATATTTTCTATTACAGATTCATTACGTTTAGGCTGTGGATATTCATCTGGATGGATATCTACATTAAAAGATTCACTAAAAATATATTTTTTCCAAATTTATTTTTTAAAAATTAATTTTAACCAATAAGCCTTCGAAAAATCAAAAATTCTTTTTAAATTTAAATTTTTAGTAAATCCATCTTTTTGTTCTTTCAATTTTTCTTTTTGTAGACTATCAATTGTTGAAGGCAAAGTATATTCTCCAAAATTTTTAAAAGAATTTTTATTTCGCCAAAAATTCTTAAAATTTCCAAATTAACCAAAAAACGAATGATTTAACCTGTGAAACTTTTAAATTTCTGTATTCCTCACTTGCTTCAACATTAATAATATTTTTAAGAATAAATAAAATAATTAAATAAATCATTTTAATTTATTAAATTTTTTAAAATTATTTAAGTTAAAATTGTAAAAAAGGAATACTCTTTCCTTTCAATTATTTTAACGTTAATTTATTTATTTTTTAATCTCTTCATTTTTTAATAGGATCATTTACATTCCGTGACCGACACTTTAAATATTTTATAACAAATAAATTCAAAATCTCTTAATTTTTTTAAAAGATTATATCCTCCGATAAAGAGAATTAAAGCCAAATTAATATTTTAATTTAAAAAGGGAAAAATTTGTGAAAAATAATTAAAAAATAAAATTTATAAATGTTTTATTTTTGAAAAAATTGCAACAAATAAAATATATTTAAAAATAAAAGTTAAAAATCTTTTACATTTTTCGATATTTCCTCAACGAATTTCACAAATTTTTATTATTTTGCACCCAATTGGCACAGATCGTTGTCCTAGAGAATATTCAAGAATTGAGATATAACGAATTGCTGCTCGAAGAACTTCTAATTTGCTTACCCGACGCTCTAATGGATAGCATGGTACTAATTGACGAAGCTGAAGTAAATTATGAATATAAGATTGTATAGAATAATTTAAAATTTAAGTCAAAATAAATAATTATTAAATAATATTTATTTTATATAATTTTCCAATAATTATAACTTTTTAAAAATAAAAATGTTAAAATACAATTAAATTAAAATACAAATTACTACGGAAAACTTCGAATTATCAGATTTATCTAAACAATTAATTATAATTTATTTCCCCACCTTTTGGTATGTTTGTTTTAAAGCAATAGAATCACTATTTTTATTTAATTTTGAATTACGTTGCTTTTGATTATTTATATGGGGTTTCATTTTAATTTTTAAAACAATAATAATTAAAAAAAGCCCCTAAGCATACAACCTAATACTGGAAAGTGATTTTAGTTAAAGATAAAAGTAGAAGGTAATCAAATTAAAAGAAATGAATCTCTTGAGAATATGGCTTTAAAAGATAAAAATTTAAATTAAAACAAAGAAGATGTACGGGTAAAAGCAAAAAAGTGTTTGATGGATGGCAAACAAAATTTAAAGAAATGATTTAAATTACGAAGTATGTATTTCTTTTATTTAAATTGTTCTGAATTTGTATAGTTACTAGTGATGTTCGGGTATCCCGACTCCCGACACCCGACTCGGGAAATTTCCCGAGTTTTTGGCCTCCCGATCCCGACCCCGACTCCCGATGTCAATTCCCGACTAAGTCGCGAAATTTTTACACCCCTAAGAATGGCTTTTTCTGATAAAATTTTATTTTTAAAAGGAAAAAATAAAGGAAAAAAAATAAAAAAGGGAAAGGGAAACTAAAATATTAAATTTTTTCCCGGTTAGCTATTGTTGATTGGTGGTTGAGTGGTTAAGTTGAGTGACTTCAGCTAATTTGATGGGGCTGGGTTCGAATCCAGTGTTGTGAAATGTATGTAAATAATTTTTCCTTCCAAAAATAAATGCTTTTTAACATTCATTTTGATTTTAAAATTATTTTTTTCAATATTAAAACGTCAAGAAACTATAGAAAAATTAATTTAGTTTAATTAGTTAATTTAAATTAATTAATTTAAAATTTGAAGGTTATTTTTTGTAATACATATCAGTAAACGTGAAAAAACTCTAAAAAAATTTAGTCATGAATTTTCAAAAATTTTCGCCTGCGGCGCAGAAAATGAAGAATATCTGGATTCTTGGCGAAAAGATTAAAAGGTGGAAAGTTCGATGTAATAGGTGAAAAGTTCCCTGGAATAGTTTGGTTTTCGGATAAGCGGTGAAAAGTTTGATGGAATAGGTAAAGCCCCACCCCACCCATCCCCAGCCACGAACTTGGCGAAAGGCAGAGGTGAAGGAATATGGAGATCGGAAAAGTGAATTTTTTTTGTCTACGACCTCCAAGTTCTCAAATTTTTGCCTGCGGCGCTGAAAATGGAAGATATCTGGCTTCTTCACTTTACAAAATACACAAAATTTTTGCCTGCAAGACAAAAAAACGGAATTTTTAGCGCCGAAGGCGCCAAAATTTTTTTTAATGTGAATTCCCGACTCCCGATCCCGACTCCCGAGGTCATTTCCCGACCCGACTCCCGTTTCCCGATTCCCGGGTTTTTTCTTCTCCCGAACATCACTAATAGTTACTATTCAGACTAGGACATGGACACGGATTTTGGATACGGATTGGATACGGATATCGGATATATCAGCGTATATCCGGATATTATCCGTATCCATGACCATGTCTGGTACTATTGGTAATTTTTTAAATATATTTATTCTTGTTTAATTAAAAGAATATTTTCTTTAAATATTCCAACTTTTAATAAATTTACATAATAAATTTTTTTAATTAATTATTTATTCTTTCTTAAAAACATTACATATTATATTTTTCCTATTTTTCCCTTTTAATGAGAAAAATTAGTTCCCCAATAAATTAAGCTGCTGTTTTTATTTGATCGATTGAAATCAATGTGTTAAGATTGCTGGCTTATAATGTCATTTGGTTTTACTTTATTTAAAATATTTTTCTTTTATTTATTAATAATAATCAAGTAAATTGATCTTTCAAAAATAATAATAATTATTAATATTTTTTATAATAAAAAATTTCAATTAAATAATTAAAAAAAAGAAATGAATTCTGATTTATTTGAAAGTTTACTAATTATTTAATAAATAAATAATTATTTCTTTTAGAAATTAATTTCTGAATGTTAACCTTTTTATCTTCTAATAATTTTTTTAAATTCGTTAATTATTTATATTTTTTTGTTTTTATTTTTGTAAATTCTGATGATTCTTTAACTTCCGAAAAATGCCAACAATCAAACTCAAATTTAATAGAAAATTCTCCAATTAATGGTTTGAAATAATTAAATTTTTAAATTAATAAAAAATAAAGGAAATGACAATCCCGCAACTAATTTTGGTGGAGAAACAGCAGATGATTTCCCTCCTTCTGCCCCAATTAGCATTCAAGTAAATTGAGATGTTAATTAATTAAAATAAAATTATTAAAAAATAGGCAGGAACATTATGGCCGCTTCCCCAAAAATTTCATTATGGAGAATATAACAGAACTGTTGGCAGGCAGGGATTAATTCCTTTAATATTTATTAATTCAACATTTGGAGGCGAAAACAGGGAATGTGATATTCTTGAAAAGGCGAAGAGTATTTATTGTAAATTAATTTTAAAAATATTTTTAAATTAAAAATTAATTTAAAAGTAAATAAATTGCTTGTCTTCCCTGCATTGGAAGAAGTACGTACAGGAAAGGGAACACCTTTACAAATGGTTATTAAAGTAAAGAAACGTTGTCCTGGACGTCAGCAATTCCCTCCAAGTGATATGAATGAAGAATGTGAAGAAATTCTTTTAAAATTTAAATTTAATTTAATAATATTAGATAAATTAATGGTTCCATTAAATGGAGAAATATTACTTGAAGCAAATGAGATATGGGGAGTACTTAGAGGAATTGAAACTTTTAGTCAATTATTTTTTGTAAAACAAGGACAAGTAATTTGTGAAGAATAAATTAAAAATAAACAATTTAAATACTAGTTATATATTCGAACAATTACTGTACATGATTGGCCAGAATATTCTGTTAGAGGAATTTTGCTAGATACTTCCCGTCATTATTTAAATAAAAATATTATTTTGAGGCAAATTGATTTGGCTTCTCAAAATAAAATGAATGTTTTACATTGGCATATTGTTGATATGGAGTTGGGGGGATTTTTTGTTGAACTTAAAATTAAATTAATTATTTTTAAAGATCATTCCCTTTTGTGTCTACTAGATTCCCAAATATTTCAAAAGAAGTAATTAATTAATTAAAATATTAAAAATATATTTTTTTAATTAAAAAGGGGGCCTTTACTTCAAAACATATTTATTCACCAAATGTTGTTGATGAAATTCTTCAACATGCACGTTTACGTGGTGTTCGAGTAATCCCTGAATTTGATACTCCAGGTTAGATAATTAATTAGAAATAAACACTTATTGAGAATTTGAAATAATGATACATATGTGTTATTTTGGAAGAGTTTGCCATTGATGAAATTTAGAGAGAATTTAGAGAGAATTAGAGAGAATTTCTTGGAAATTAGATAATTATCGAGGGAATAATTAATATTATCTTAAATTTAAAAAAATTTTCAAAATTTTTTTTGGGACATATGGCTTCTTGGCGAGGTTCTGGAATCTTAGCTGATTGTTATGATAAAAGGAATAGATTAGTTACATCAAGTATGCTTGATCCAAGTAGAGAATCGACATATATATTTTTAAAAGAATTTCTAAAAGGTTAACAGTTTTTATTAAAATTTTATACAATATTTGTATTAGAAATTGATGAAACTTTTCGTGATAAATATATTCATTTGGGTGGAGATGAGACTGCTTATTGGACAATTCAATGTTGGTATGTTATAGGAAATTGTTTTTTCTTGAAAACTAATGAGAACCAAGAATTTTCTTTTTAAATGCATAGATATACCTAATTTAAAAAATTCTACAAAAAACGTCTTACTTAAAAAAAATTTATTTTTTAACCTAAGTTAATATAATAAATTAAAATTATTAAGTCTTAATAAAATTTATATATAATTATTTTTTAAGGTCACGTAATCCAAAAATTAGAGAATTTATGGCCGAAAAGGGATTTAAAAACATGACTCAATTAGAAAATTATTACTTTAGTCGTCTTCAAGCAATTGTTAAAGAAGTTTTTGGTACACAAGCGGGTGGACGAAAAATGATTTTTTGGCAAGAAGTTTTTGATAATAATAAACCTGTTAGTCTTTTTGATAGTTTTTAAAGTACCGATATTCAATTAAAAGGATGTTAGTGCTATTGTTCACAATTGGTATTCACAAAATGATCAGGCACGGGCTCGAGATATCAAAAGAGCTGTTCAGCAAGGCTTTCAAGTAATTGTTTCTTCTTGTTGGTAAGTTGTTTCTTTAACAATTAAATATTAATTCCAAATTTAGGTATTTGAATTTAATAAATTATGGCGCTGATTGGCGTGCCCTTTCACCTAAAGGATTGGGAAGATATTATTATTGTGATCCTCGCAATTTTCCCGGTACTTATGAACAAAAACAGCTAGTTATTGGAGGGATAGCTACAATGTGGGGAGAATATATTGATGGAACTAATTTGGAATCAACATTGTGGCCTAGAGCTTCAGCTGTTGCTGAAAGGTGTTTTTAATTTGAATGAAGTTTAATCTCGAATCACGTCTCTTTCTTTATTACTAAGTTTTTTCTTTAAACTTCAAAATTATTTTCAGACTTTGGAGTCCACCAGAAAAAACAAAAAGTGCCGATGAAGCATGGCCTCGCTTACAAGAACATCGTTGCAGAATGATTTCACGAGGTTATAGAGCTGAGCCAGTAAATGGACCTGACTATTGCGGCGCGGAATTCTCAGAAAGTCCAGAAATGTTTTGAAAAATTAAAATAAATTTTTATATTAGTTTAATTAATTGTTATTTTATGTTTAGTTAAATAAAAACTAATATCCTTTAATAAATACTACATATTTTTTAAAATATTTCTTTTAATTATTTCTTGCTAAAACCAGACCTGCTCATGGACACGGATTTTGCTATCCGTATCCGGATATATCCGTGAGGTCAATATCCGTATCCGTTTGTATCCGTCCAACTTTTTAGGCATATCCATCCGCGGATATCCGCGGATATATCCGTTTTTTCTCAAAATGGTCAGCCTTGCTAAAATTTTCAAAATGGTCAAATTTATTTAAATTCGAGTAACGGGTAGATAACAAGGTAATAACTAGAGGTCGGCAAAATCGCACTTCCGGGATCCCGAGTCGGGATTTTTTTTCTTAACCGAGGCCGGGACGGGATCCCGAGGGATAAATCCCGAAAAAATCCCGAATTCCAAAAATCCCGAAAATAATTAGCCGGGATCCCGGCCGGGATTCGGGATTTTTTTAAAAATAAAAAATTTAAAATTTTTATAAGTAAAGTGCATCAAAATACTGCAATTTATATTTAGATAATATTAAATTTGTAAAAATCTAATAGATTTAGAGGGATATCTGTGGATTAATCACTAGGTCCCTTGATAAAACCCCTCTACAATCTAATCCATCCATTTTACCTCCGATAATACCTCCAAATTTCTCCGTTTGCAGCGCCGCAGTCGAACATTTTGAGAATTTTGGAGCACATGAAGCCAGATTTTTTCCATTTTCAGCGCCGCAGGCGAAAATTTATAAAATTTCGAAGAACTAGGCTAAAATAATTCACTTTTTCAGCGCCGCAGGCAAAAATTTTGAGAATTTTTGAGTTCCTTAAGCCAGATTTCTTCATTTTTTTGCGCCGCAGGCGAAAATTTTTAGAATCACTAGAGTAAGACATGCTTGGGATATGCTAATTTAAAAATCCCGAAAATTATAAAATAATGTCCGGGATCCCGAGTCGGGATTTTATTTTTTAACCGATGCCGGGACGGGATCCCGAGGGATAAATCCCGAAAAAATCCCGGATCCCGAATGATCCCGAAAATCAAAAAAATCCGGGATTTCGGGAGCGGGATCCCGGAAAATCCCGTCGGGATCCCGTCCCGCGCCGACCTCTAGTAATAACTGGATGCAGCATAACTAACCTTGCTTACGAATATCGGAGGTCGAAACTCGTAAGGCAGAGATAGGAATTCCGACTAAACGCTGTTTATCAGGGATCATACTGACAAAAAATAGAATTATGAAAATTTTTGAGAATTTTTGAAAAGTAAATTCCCGGTTTCGGGCCGAAATGAAAATTTCTGTTAACTGACCAGTTGATTTTAGCGCCGCAGGCGAAAATTTTGAGAATTTGGAAGACAAAGAAGAAAAAATCTTTCGTTTTCAGCGCCGCAGGCGAAAATTTTGAGAATTTTAGAAGGGCCTAGGCCAAAAAATTCACTTTTTTGCCCAATCCACTCACCTAATTTTTTCCTTTTTCCCAATTAAGGGGTGGGTGGGGGAATTTCCCATACCCCTTTGAAAATTTTCGTTTCCCCAGCTAAAAGAGTACGAGCTAATTTTTCTCGTACTCACCACTGAATTTGGCCTGACTTGTACTTCGTACCTTAAGTGGGTAGACACACATTGGAGCGTCGTAGATAAAAATTTTTAAGCTGTAAGGCGAAGAAACCAGAGTTCTTCATTCAAGCGCCGCAGGCGAAAATTTGAGAATTTCAATTATTTAACAGCAAGATTTCTTCATTTTTTTAGCGCCGCAGGCGAAAATTTTTAAAATTTTGAAAGGCCGAAAGCGAAAAAAATTCACTTTCTTTGTAACGCAGGCTAGAATTTTGAGATGGATATCCGCGGATTTGAAGCATCATATCCGTATCCATCCGTATCCGTCCAATTTTTTAAAAAATACTATTCATATCCATCCGTATCCGCGGATATCCGCGGGTATCCGGATATTATCCGTATCCGTGAGCAGGTCTGGCTAAAACAATTAAAAAAAACTTTTCCTTCCATGTGATTAAGTAAACTTGGCAATTAATTAAAAATAAAGCTATCAAAACAAAAAAAAGTTTTAAAAGTAAAACACATTAAAAAAGAAATTGATTTTAAGAGAAAATAAAATTCTTTCAACTATAAAATCAAAAAAGAAGGATTTCGTTAAAAATTGAGAAAAGAATTTTTGAGCACTTATTGATAAATAAAAATATTTTTTTAAATAATTTTAAAAAATATATTTAATACATACATATCTCTTTTTAAATTTAAGCTAATTTCCTTTCTCTCATCACTTTCCCTTTAACCAAATTTTAGCGCCTAATTCTCCCTTCTTTCCCTTCCCTTCCTTTTCAAAATCCCCTCCTTATCCACCTCTTTAACTCCTAAAATTGAGTCAGTTTCACTATTTTGTTTAAAAAACCGTCACATCTCCTCTCTACATACTTGGCCGTTTTGGAGAAGGACATTCCTGAGGGAATAAGTTGCTTGCTTTAAACATTTATCCACTTCTCTTTTTTAAACATTCACTCGTTTGCGTGTGCCAAAAACCGTCCCCGAAAAAATGTTTGTTTTTGTGTCCCCTCGTTTATCATTTATTTATATGGCTATTATTTAAGAGAGAAAATGATGTGTGTACTTAAAATAGGGGAGAGGAGGAGGGTTTTTTTAAAAAATATCCTCTTCATCCAACTTTTAGAAATAAAAGTTGCTGCTCATCTGTTTCCGTTTGTTAAAAATATTTTAAAGAAAAAACATTAATTTGGATTGTTAAAAGAATTTTTTTTAATTTTAATTTTAAATTAATATTCTTTAATATCCAGACAATAAACTACATAATAAATACTGTTATGAAATTATAAGAGCAAGCATTTTTTCGGTGTTAATCATAGTTCCTATATTCAACCGTATCAGAAATTTTTCTAATTTTAAATATTCTAGAAAAATTAGGATTGTGGCAGTTTAAAATGGTTTCGTTATACTTTTTTAAGGTTTTATTTTCGATAACTATGGCTCAAAATTTTCTGATAATATTTTTATTTAAAATTTATTTTTTAATTATTATTTGGAAATTTAAAAAATTTTTTGCAAAGATAATAAAAAAATAAAAAAAACTTTTTTAAAATGAAAATGTCCTACTCATTATTAATTCTTTTTAAGAGTTTTTGAGAAAAAAAATCTGTTATTTATTTTCTATTGTTTTTTCCTTCAACATTAAATATTTTCCCAACTGATATTTTTTAGTTACTAATTTTCACACATAAATGAAAACCTTGAAAATAAAAAAAGAATAAAGAAAAGTAAGATTTTTCCTTAATTTTTAATAAAAGAAAGCAACAAATAAATAAATAAAAATATAAATTTATTTAATTTAAATTATTCTTATTTATCTTTTAGAGTATTAAATATTAAGATGGAATTAATTTCATAGGAAAAATTATGGTAATTCAAAATTTGGTTGTTAATTAAAATAAATTTATTAAAAATTTATTTTCATCTAAAAACAATTTTAATATTGTTAAATACACAAATTTATTTTTAATCATTTTTAAAAATTTTTTATTTTCAGTTTTAAATTATTAAAATGAAAATAATTATTTTTATTTTTCTATTTATTTGTCAATATTTTATTCCAAATTTATCAAATAAAGTAATAACTCCACTTAAAGAATTACATATTGGAGCATTTTTTCCAATGGAATCTGGGTCTGGTGGGTGGCCTGGAGGACAGTTATGTTTTTAAATAAATAAAAAAATAATCTTGATTTAATAATTGGAAAAAATAAATTTAATCGAAATAATTTTGTTTGGAGTGTTTTTACTTTATTTTTAAGTTTTAGGCGTGTCTTCCAGCCGTACAAATGGCATTAGAAGATGTGAATCTAGATTTGGGTTTATTACCTAATTATGCACTTAGATTACATCACAATAATAGTAAAGTACGGATAAGAAAATTAATTTAGAAATTTCTTAACATTATTTTTTAATTTTCAAAAAAAGTGTTCTCCTGGTTTAGCTGCTCGACAATTATTTGAATTACTTTATAATGACCCAACAAAACTTATTTTATTAGCAGGATGTTCCCCAGTAACTACAATGATTGCAGAATCTGCACATGTTTGGAATTTACTTGTTGTATGTTAAATGAATAAATAATTTAAAAAATTAATTAAATAAAAAGTTATCCTATGGAGCATCATCTCCAGCTTTATCCAATCGGGAACGTTTTCCAACACTTTTTAGAACACATCCTTCAGCAAATATGCAAAATCCAACTAGGTATTTTTAAATTTAAATTTAATTTAATTTTAATTTTCAAAAAAAAGAGTTCATTTATTTGAACGTTTTAAATGGAAAAGAATAACAATTTTACAATCAGCTGAAGAAGTTTTTGATTCGACAGCTAAAGATTTGGAGGAACAATGTAGAGAAAAAGGGATTAGAGTTGAAAGACACAGTTTTTATGGAGGTTTTAATTAAGGGAATAATTTAAAAAAAAAGAAAATAATTTTTAAAAAAGATCCAAAAGATGCTTTAAAAGCAATTAGAAGACAAGATGCTAGAATTATTGTTGGACTTTTTTATGCTACCGAAGTTTTGATTTTTTATTAAAAAATAAATTTTAATTAATTTTTAAGGCACGAAGAGTTCTCTGTCAAGTATTCTTATTTTCCTTTAAAATTAAAAAACAATTTAAGGCTTATCATTATGGACTATATGGACATAAATTTGGTAATTTAAAAATAATTATTTAATTATTTAAAAAAAGTTTGGTTTATGATTGGTTGGTATGCAGATACTTGGTTTATTCCACATCCAGATGAAGGATTAAATTGTACAAGAAAAAATATGGAGCAGGCTGTTCAATATCATTTTACAACAGAATCTATTATGTTAAGTAGAGATACTTTACCGACAATTTCTGGTTAGAAATTTAAATAAATATTTTTAGAAAATAAATATTCTAACTAGGGTAGCACTCCGAGCCGTCGGGGACGGGAGTGTCGGTTTCGGGGTTTGCTGGAGTAGAGCCTTCATGGGTCGGGTCGGGGTTTCGGGGGACGGGGTGCTACTCTAATTCTAACAATAAAAAATTAAATTAAATTTAAAAAATATTTATCTTAATTAATAAAGGAATGACTGGGGCACAATTTTTAAAACGTTTGCGTCGTCGAATAATTACAGACCCGCAAGAGACAGGTGGGTGGCCTGAAGCACCTTTAGCTTATGATGCTGTTTGGTAATTAAAAATAAAAAAAATTGAAAGACTAATTTTTAAAGGGCGTTAGCTTTAATGTTAAATTGCACAATGGATAAATTAATTAATGGAAAAGGACTTCAACAATTTAATTATAAAAATAAAATAATTGCTAAAAGAATGTTTGAATGTATGAAAAATATACAATTTAGGGGTGTTTCTGTAATTAAATTTATTTTTATTTTAGAAACTATTTTTAATTTTAAAGGGCCAAGTAATGTTTAGCGATTTGGGTGACAGAATTGCTCGAACACAAATTGAACAAATGCAAAGTATATTTTACATTAGTAAATTAATTAAAAGAGAGATTAGTGGGGATTAGAGGTGGGTCGGAATTCCGACTTCCGATGTCCGCCGATTCTTTCCTTCCGATTCCCGAAAAAATTTTTAATTTCCAATTTCCGAGTTCCGACTTTTAGCGGTTCCGATTTTCGGCTCTTTCGATGACTGTTCCGACCCACCACAGGTAGGGATTAAAGGTAGGATGGAAAGAGACGAAATTGATAACTTTTCAAAAAAATTTAGATTAAAAATACTTTGATTTATTTTATTTGTCAATCCTCTCTCTCATTTTTAGTTAATTTGCATTTCTAATAAAGACATTATTTTAAAATTTAAATTTAAAAAAGATGGAAAATACATTCTTCTTGGTTATTATGATTCCAGTACACAAACTTTAGAATGGAAAAATAAAGAAAAGTTTATTGGAAGTAAAGGACCACCTTCTGATTCAACAAGGATTAAACAATGGCCTATTGGAGTTGATTATAGAGTAAATATATTTAGATAATTAATTTAGTAATTATTTCTTTAAAAGTTATATTTGGTTTGTGTTAATATAATGGTTGTTGCTATTGTTTTTTGTATTTCTATTTTTATTTTCAATCAACGGTATTCTCATAGACGGTAATTGATAAATTTGTTAAATTAAATTTAAAAAAATGTTTGGGAAAAAGACATAAGAATTTAAAAATATTTTTACTTTTATTTATATTTAAATCTTTCTAAAAAATTTTTTTAGAATAATAATTCAATCACAAAGACAATGCAACAATTTATTAATTGCTGGGTCTGTCCTAAGTTTATTTTCACTGGCACCTATTGGATTTCCACAAGACGGGGCTAATGATGATTCTATTGGACAAATAGCTACTTTAGGAGGAGAAAATAAAATTTATTCGACTTCTCCTTTTCTATTTAGTGCTTTTTGCCATGTAAATGAATATTCTTGGGTTTAAATAATTTTTATATTATTTTAAAGTTAAAATTGTTATTGTTAATGATGGGATTTTCTTTGGCATATGGCTCGCTTTTTGCTAAAGGTATTTACCTAATTAATTCTGTTGTTTTGAAATTAAATAGAAGAAAAAACTTTTGGAATTATTAACCTTTAGGATCAGGGTCGCCGGCCCGGTTCGGTCCGAAAGATCGAGTCGGGCATCGAAGTTAATAGGACGGAAAAGACTCGGTCGGGCTGGCCTGATAAAAATGGGGCCAAAAAAACGGCAACCCTATTTAGGATCCTCTATATTAAAAATTTTTAGAAAGAATTTTAATAAATTTCCATTTCATCTTAATAATTTAACAGTTTGGGTTGCACATAAACTTGGCTCTATCCAAAAGAATAGACAAATGACTGCAGCTAATGCTAATAATAACAATGAAGTTTAAATTAAATAAAAATTAAAAAAAAGATTAATTTTTAATCAAAGGAATCCTCAGATGCTGGTGGTTGTAGTAATATTCAATTAAATTCCCAACAAATTCCTCCAACTCCTTGGGATTCTATTAGAACATTATTAACTGCAATAACAAACAAACAAGCTATTGTAGCCAATGCTTTAAGGAAAATATCTCAACATTCTTATGGAAATTTATCTTCAGCAAGTGCTGGAAGTAAATCTCCGGCCCCAAATAGAAAAAATATAGCTATGTTACAAACATCTTTGTCTGTTAATTTATTAAATTTGGTTAGATTATTTTAAATAAAAATTGTGTTATTTAGTAATTCTTAGGAGGGAGGGAGGGGGAAGGTGGTGTTGTTTAAGGGGGGGGGGAAGGGGGGGGGGTGTTGTTTGTGGAGGATGAAGGGGGTGTTGTTTATGGAGGAGGGAGAGGGGGTGTTATTTAGGGGGATCAGGGGCCTATACAAATTAAAATCTACATTCTACATCTACAGCCTACATCTACAAATTATAAATGTATATGTATAGAATGTAGATTATAGCCGATACAAATTAAACAAAATTTGTAGATATAGATGTCGCCAGAATTATGTAGATTTTTGTCAGAATTATGTAGATTGTAGCCTGTTTAATACAAATTAAAATCTACATTCCAAAAATCTACATTTTTTATCTACATTTTACGGAAATTTGGTAGACGCTAAAAACCTCCTCTCAAATCTTTTTTTTCATTTTTTACTTGTAAAAATGGATGAAGAATATATTTTCGCTAATTTTAATGACTCCGATAATGATGAAATTCAACAACAAATAAAATATAGATTTAAAAATCATATTATTTACAATGAACCCAATGATTTTCATGAAAGATTTCGCTTCTTAGCATGTGCATGTCTCCAAAACTGGTTAATTGATAACCGATTCGAAGACGAAAATGACGATAAGGAGTTTAAAGAAAACAATATAGAAAGTATTTCAAATAAAAATGATGGTTATTATAACGAGAAACCAGAAGATAATCGTGTGGAACAGCAAATAAAAACTTTTATTGAATTTAATCTACTTGAACAAAATTGAGATCTGTGTGTGTGTTGTGTGTTAAAATTTTATTGTGTCAAATTTTTATCTTGTGTCAAAATTTTAGTTATCAAAAATTTAGTTACTAGATAATATTTTTTAGTTACTAGATAATACACTTATCTAGTAACTAATCAAAAAATTAGTTACTAGATAAGTGTAGATGTAGATTGTAGATGTAGAATTACCAAAAATATAATTTGGATCGGCTACAATTCTATCTACATTTGCAGAATACAAATCTACAAACTACATCTACTAATCTACATTTTAAATTTATTTGTATTGGCTACATTCTATAAATCTACAATCTACATTTCACTCCAATAAAATTTTTAGATGTAGAATGTAGATTTTAACTTGTATAGGCCCCAGCTCCAAACGATGTATTAGATAAAGTATCCTCCACTAATAAAAAATAATATAAAAAAAATATTTTTAAAAAATATTTCCAGCCAATTCCCCCATCCAATTTTTATCCAATTATTGGAATTATTTGTTTAATTGATTTGGCCGTTTCTTTATTTTGGTTTTTATTCGATCCAATGCAACAACAACAAATACATTTTCCTCTTCAAGTAATTTAAATTAAATATTTAAATTTAAATATATTAGGAACCCCCAATTGGGACAGAATTGGATATTATGTTACTTCCAGTACTTGATTTATGCCAAAGTCAATATCATGATATATGGACTGGTAGATATTGATAAATAAATTAAATAATAATTTAATTTATTAAAAGCAATACTTCTCTCATATAAAGGCTTACTTCTATTATTAGGCCTTTTTCTTGCTTATGATACAAAACATTTGAAAGTTAGATATTTAAATGATTTGAATGTAAGTTGATATAATAATCAAAATATTTTTAAGTATTAATGATATTTTTAAAAAATAAACAAATCTTCTTTGCTTATTTTTCCTATTAACTGATATTTCTTTAAACGAAAATGTTGGGAGCAGGCCAACGTACCGCAGAGCTATAACTTTGTTGAAAATCGTCGAATCTGGGACGTCTTGATATGTTTCGATGCATCTCGATGAGCTGAATCGAACCATATCAGGGCGTCCCGGATTCGACGATTTTGCACGAAGCTATAGCTCGGCGGTACGTTGGCCTTGCGGGCTAGCAGTACACGAAAATGTTTAATTCTGACCTTAATTAGATAATATAAAATTATTTAAAAATTAAATTAAAGTCTACACTACTTTCTGTCTGCAATGTTGGTGTTCTTTGCCTTCTTTGTGGAACAATTGTTGTATTTTTCCTTAGAACACAACCCAATCCTTTTTTCTGTTTTATCTCTATAACTGGTAATTAATTTTAAAAGATTTATTTTCGAAATTAAAAACAGTTTATGTCTGTACATTTGTAAGTATTGGACTTATTTTTGGGCCAAAACTTTTATTTATTTATCGAAATCCACATTCAACAAAGGAAGAGGAGGAAGAAGAACAACAATATCAAAAACAAAACACATTCCACGAATCTTCAATTAATCAGGCTGAACAACACAGATATCAACAATTATTAAAAGAAAATATGGAATTGAAAAGACAGATTGAAACTGTAAATTAATTAATTATGTAAAAGTTACTAGTAAAGCTCGGCACGGGACGGGACTCCGTACGGGATTCTGCGGGATCCCGTCCCGGAATCCCGGGTTTTGTGCAGAAAACGGGATCATCGGGATTTACGGGATTAATCCCGCGGGATCCCGTCCCGTACAAAATGTTGAAAAAATCCCGTTCCGGGATCCCGGGAATGCGATATTACCGACCTCTAGTTACTAGCAACAAAAAATATATTTATTTAATATCCATAAACATTATTATTTAAAGATCCCAATTAATTTTAAAAAATAAAATTAATTTTAGAGAAATATTCGAATTCAAGAATGTAGACGTATATTAGAGAATCAATTAGTATTGAGCAGTCCAAGAGTCAAATCAAATAGAAAATTTGTTCCTCAAAACAATAACAGCAATACTGCAGCAATTTCATCCTCTATTACTATGTAAATTAAATTTAATATATTCTTTTTATTATCAAAATTAAAAAATTTAAAAAATTCAAGTAAAATTAATTTAAAAAATAATCAAGATTAAGTTAATTATTTTATTTATTTAAATTAATCTTAAAAATCATCCATATTTTTAAAAAATATTCTTTTTTTAAGTGAATATACAAGCTCTAGTTGTTTACCAACAACTTCGAGTGGAGTAGGGGGAATGGGAGGAAATGGAGGGATTTTATTAGAATTAGACCAAACAACAATTTCAAGCGTAATAGAGCCAACAATGATTACAATATTAGATCAACAACAAGAACTTTCGACAATTGAAATGGAACAAAGTTGTGATATTACTGAAGAGGAATTACCTCTTATAGAAGATGTAAAAAGAAGAGAAGAAAGATCCCCTATTGTTGGGGGAGGGGGTGATACTGGTAAATAATAGTCTATCTAAAAATATTTTTTAAATTTTATTTTTTTAGGTGTTTGTAGCGATTATGATGAAGATGAAGAAAATTATTTAAATAAAAGGAAACCAATCTTACAAAATAATTCTTCTAGTGAATTATTAAATAATAAAGAAGGTGAAGATGAAGAGGAGGGGGAAGAAGAAGAAATACTCTTATAATAAAATACCTCGAATAATTAATTTAATTTGAAAAATGTCTAGTAAAATAATAATAAAGAGTAATTCTTATATTTTTTGTTAATATTCTTGTGATCAAGTGATTCAAGTGATTGACCAATATATCCATTCATCCCTCTAATAGTAACGCTTTTGGGAACTTAACACGTCTTTAATTATTTAATTAAATCACTTTTTAAAAATTTATCTGTAATATATTTTATATACAAAATTAAAAAAATATTTTTTTCTTTATTTTTTTTTTCAACATTTTCTTGTCTAAAATAATTTGTTTTAAGCTCCAGCTTCTGTTAAATAAGCATGTGGATGCACCGGTTTCTCCGCACGAAGTAACAACCAATTTTGGTTATCTTCATCAATAAATTGTAATTTATCTGCCCAACCCTCAATTAATTTTGAATAAAGTTTTTCACTAAATTTCTTAAAAAATTTATTTAAATTAATCTTTTTGATTAATTTTCAGACTTGAATAAATTCTTCTTTATTTTCAACTGCTCTATCACGTTCAATTACTAAAATTTCTCTCAAACGTTTAGTCATATTTTCTGTGTAAATATTTGTTAAACCAACACTATGAGCAATCTATAATAATTTAAAAATTAAAAAAAGTATCAAAATCCAATCCAACTTCTCTATATTCTTCCAAAGTTTTCAGGGCATATTGCCGTTTACGAACATATTCATGAAATTTTGGAGAGAGAACTCCATGTCCTTTCCCATACATTGTAACAAGTACTTGTCCACCAGGCTTAAGCCAAGTCTTAAAAAAAAGAAATTTTTAAAGGTTTCTAAAAAATATTTTCTTTTACATAAATATTTCTAAATAATCTTTTTGTGTCTTTAATGTGTTGAATACAATCTCTACTAAATACAATATCAAAAGCATTAGCTTCATAGCGATAAACCATAGCATCAGCAATTTGATATTCAACACGATGATCTTTGTCACGTTGATTACGATCAAAAGCATGTTGAATCATATTTGAAGAAAGATCACAACCAAGTACTTGAAGACCGAACTCCTTGGAAGAAAATGTTAAATTTTTGGTTAATGTGAGACTAAGGGGAGTAATCCATGAGAAATTAGGTGTGCTTCCGTCCATAGAGAAGATACTAACCCCAGGGAAATAATGAAAAAGAGTTAAGCTTTCTTGAAAGTTATTTAGGGAGCAATTTTTTCAAGTTTCTTTAATAGCCCGATGCTGAAGGATATTTAAAAAAAGCAATTATTCTCAAATTTCTTGTTCCTATGTTTGGGCAATAGCCTTATTACTGTCATTCCACGCGATGCTTATGGGGAACGCAACGCTTATGGTCATTCAAGATCTCTCTTCTTGATTAGATAAAGCCCCTCATATTTTAATAACTATTTTTGGTATTAGTATTTCAGTCTAAACATTTTCATTTTTAAAAATAAAATAAAAACCCTAGCAGCTTGTCTAGCTCCTCCACCAATTCCAACACCAATATCAAGCATTTGTTGGCCTGGGCGTAAATGGCGGAAATATTTGAGTACTCTTCTGTTTTCATTCACTCCACCTAATTTTTGTGATTTTAAAAGTAAATACCAATTTTAAAAGTGAAACCTGGGCTGATAAAATCTGTCCCAAATATCCACTCATAACTAGCAACATTGTCTTCAGTATACTAAAATCAGAATACAAATTATTTGAACGTCATTCCAATTATTGATAATAAAAACTCACATTTATTTATAGTTTGAGTATTGGTATAATACTACATATTATTTATATACCTAATAATAATACATATTTTTTTATTTTACCGATGATAATATGTTAATAATAACCTACTAATAACTTAATAATAACAGAACCCTAATGATAATAGGAAGGTGTCCCTTTTCAAAATCTCCCCATTTTACTCGTACTATTAAATTCAATTTAGTACACCTTTTTTTAATCTTTTATTTTAATCTACCAACAAATTTAATTTAAAATAATTAAAATTACCTGTGTTTTATCCAAAAATTCCCTAAAAGTAGCTAATTTATCATCATATAATCTAACTTCAATAGCTGTTGTTAAACTCCAAAAAACGTCAAGAAAATTAGAATGTGCATAAATGCTGTCCTGTACTTGACTCATTCCATAGAAATTAAATCCAAGTGTTTGTTGTTGTTTTTGATTATTTTGTTGTTTTCGAAAAGCAAAAACATCCAGAAATTTAGTTAAATCAGCAATTGAACGAGAACCCCATTGCTTTAAGTTTTCTCTAATAATTACAACTCCATCTGTTCGTATTAAACGAAGAAGTAATCCTAATACTTGAGCAATACGATGACGGTCATTTGCAATCTTTTAATTAGAATTTAGGTATTTTAAATTAAAAATTATTTTGGTAGGAAGTAGAGAGACATTGGTAGTAGGGATGGGACGGGTTACCCGAAGATACACGAAACCCGGACTTTCTTCAACCCGAAACCCGATCCGAAAAAAATTTTGAAAACCCGATCCGACTTTTTTCTCAACCCATACCATTCCTGATTGGTAGGTGCTGCACATTTGCATAAGGGAAAACCCAGGACAGGCGTTTTTTGTCCGATCTCTGCTTCCTAATAATGTCTTTTTAATGATAAAACAATAATATTTAAAGTTACTCCTTGTCCAATAAATAAATTAGAGCAAATAGCAGCATCAAAACGAGTTTCTAAATTCTCTTCTTCGTTGTCATTATCTTCTTTATCTAAACGTTCTGATATATTCATCAACTCTCCAATATCCATTTCCTCCAAATTAAATTTATCTTCGAATAAATTTCTTAGATCAGAACTTTTTTGAAGGGAATTTATATTTTTTAAAAATTTATTTAAAAATTTACTTTAAATTTCTTTCATTAACATCTTGATCACTAATTAATAAGAGAACGGTTTCACCATTTTTGGGTGCATTTGGATGATTTTGAAGTGCATAAGCTAATTCACAAGATAAAGCACTCATTTTTTATTTTAAAATTTTTTTGAGAAAAAAATCTTAAAATTATTTAAAAAGAAGAGAAAAATTAAAATAATATTTATTTTGAAATGAAAAGGGCAGCCACGAGATAATAAATGAGATGATATTAATTATTATAGTTTAAGTAAATATTTAGTATTTTATAGTCTCTTCTCTTTTTTTAGTTGGAATTCGATGAAAAAAATTAGAAATTTAATTTAATTAATATTTTTAAATTAGGTAATATAGTTTAAATTATAATAGAAAATAATATTATCAACTAGACTATTATATTTTATGGTAAGGCCGGCAAAGTCCCCATCCAGCCTAGCAAATAAAGCAAAAATGAAAACGATCAGTCGGATGGTTGAGGGGAAATTATTAGTGGAATTATACATACAGGAGCAAGTCTAATCCATTCTTTTGATAATTTCGGCCGCCTTACTTTAATAGTTTAATGTAAATAAAATTAAAAAATATCTATTTCAAAATTAAAAGCTATAATATTTAAATATATCGATAAAAAATTTCAAAATTGAGAGGAGAGAGAATAAAGAATTAATAATGAATTTAATAGAAATGATTGTTTATTCATTCTCTTCAATGGTTTTATAATAAAAAATTATTTTTGGGAGGGAGTGGAGTGAGAAAAGAATGAATGAGAGAGTGATGCAATAAAATATATTTATTTAATGATAATACTTTTATTTATTTTAATAATATCGATGTTATTGAGAAATATTTCCACGAAATTAATCAATTAAATCATTTTATTAAAGAAATTTCCATTTGGGAAAAGTTTGGAAGCATTTTTGTTTATATTTTTAAAGAATTTAGTCGACTGATTTAGAGCCTGCTAAAGTATAAGAATAAATAAACAATTAATTTTAAAAAATTGGAATTTATTAGCCTTTATTATTAGCCTTCCAAAAAACTCTAATAAACAAAGTTTAACATGTAAATTCTCGAAAGTTATCAAAAATATAAAATTTATCAGAAATTACTGTTAAATTTTTTAAATTGTAGGTATTTAAATGATTTGGTTAGTATGTACAATAGTCAAGAAAAATATTTGTTAGTTAAAAGGGAATTAATATTTACATTAGTAAAAATATTTTCGATTTAAACTGGTTCTGGAGTGTCACGATCTGTGTTTGCTACACCTGTACCTGAAAAGTAATGAGAATCTCCCGAATGTCCAAGTAGCCAAAATGTTTCCATAACTCCTTTTCCTTTAATAATTACTTCTCCTCTAGGTTCTGTTACATATCCTCCAATTATGTTAGTTAAATAATGATTAGTTGTGGTTGATATATGGATACGTCCAGCTGTTGAAAGGAAGGCATACTTTGTGGAAAATTAAATTACTTTTCCGTTATATGTCCGCTTTCTTCTTTTTTGGACACGTTTGGACCCTTGTAAATTAGGTTAGATGTCCTTATAAAAATGAGAATCGACTCAGCTCGACAAGCTCTATCAATCTATTAATCACTGAATCTATTAATCACGTCTTAAACAAAAAATTAACTGGGGGTATCCTTAAACCTTTACCATTATTCAATATTGTCACATAACGGAAAAGTACCAAATTTATTTTTTACGTCTTCCGTTAGATTCCATTCTACTAGCAGTATTTACTGTATCTCCAAATAAGCAATAACGAGGCATTGCCAATCCAACAACTCCAGCTACTGCTGGTCCTTAAATATTTTTAAGAGGATAAACGATGAGGCAATTAACAGACCAGTATGTATTCCAATACGTAAATTAACACGTTCATTTGGCAAATGGTCAACTCTAAATGTTGATACTGTACGCAGGAAAGCAAAAGATAGTTCAGCAATTGCCTTAGCATGGTCATTTCCATTTTTCCGAGGAATTCCAGAACAAACTAAATAACCATCCCCGATAGTTTCAACTTTATAAACATCATGGGTGTCAATAATACCATCAAACGAAGTGTAAAGTCCATTCAATAAATTTACTACCTTAAATATAATTTAGCAACTTTTAGTTATCTGAGACTTTAAAAGGAAAAAGTTCGGCATAATTTGTATCTTATCAGTAGGGCTGTACCTCGAACACTCGGAGGCGGGTATGTCGGGGTACGGGGTTTTCCAATTGTTTTGGAGCGGAGTTCGGGTAGGGGATAAATGTGAAAAAATCGTTCTGGAACGGGGTCGGGGTACCACTCTTCATATCAGTCATTACTCTGTTTATCAGAGAACTCGGACCCTAATACCATATGGCTTCTATAAACCTCTGTGTAAAATTATAAGAATGACATTGCTTTGAGGTATGTATTTAAGGAGGGTGGTGGAATTTGGGAACTAAAACTAAATGAGATTTTGCCTGAAGAGGTGTGCATTTACTAGCTAAAGTTGTAAATGAGACAACATCAGAAAAGAAGATTGTAGCTGCCATAAATTGTTCTGGCTCGACGTATTCCCCCAATTTTAATTTTTCGGCAACTTGTTTTGGAAGCATTCTGTATAAAAGAATATCACTTTTTCTTTTTTCTTCAACTAATTCTCTAGTTCTTTCTTCAACTTCTTTTTTTTTTTTTTTTTTTTTAATAAACTTATTTATTTATTTATGAACTTCTTGTTCTAAAGAACTTGTTTATGAACTTCTTGTTCTAAAGAACTTGCATATTGCTCTAACATTCCAAAAACATAATCCATTAAATTTTTATTGCCATCGCTGACCATTTGTTTAAGCATTGAGCGAACTTGGTCAATTTTTGGACGTTCAGGAGGATTTTCACTCCAACAATCACGGACCAAATGTAACTGTGAAATTTATTTATAAAATATTTTAAATATTTTTGTTTTACGAAATTTTGATTAATTTCCTCTCGAGGATGCAATTGAGGTCGGTGTGGGATTGCCACGTTTGATCGTCTTAGTCGGTAAAGAATTTCTTAAAAAAAGATTAACTAATTTGTATTTATTCCCTACAAACCATCAACATCATCTTCTCTTTCAACTCCATTCCAAACAGTTTCTCTATTAACTAATTCACAACAAATTATAGCAAAACTATAAACATCTCCTTCTTTTGTTCCTTTCCGATTATTTTCTCTTAATAATTCTGGTGCTGTCCACAATAATTCTTAAAAAATAATCGAGATTTATAAAATTATATTCTTTTTTACTTCTTTTTGACATTGGTTGACTTTCTCTAATCATATTCAATCCAAAATCGCTAATCTTTACTTGCCAACGATCATTAATTAAACAATTCTCGGAGGAAAGCATTCCGTGTACTCCTATGGATGATTGATGTAAAACTATTAAACCATTGGCTATATCCTGCATCAAAGTAAACATAACAAAAGCATCACTCAAGTATTGTTCTTTGGCGATTAAATCCTATTTTAATAAAATAAATAGAAGAATATTTAAGAGGTTAAGTTTGGTGTGAACTCGATATTTTTCTACACCTCCCCAAGTGGCTTTTACCGCCGAATAGTCCAATCAAGTAATGTCTGATTTAAAAATGAGACATATCTATAGAGGAGCTGTATATCAAAATCGAGATATATCCAACCTTTAGACTGCCTCTTTGGCAATGTTTCCAAATACCATATAGTATTGGAGCATCTGTGCAAAGCCCACAGAATTTATTTAAATTATCATGATCTAATTGACGAAGCTGAGAATAATGCTTATTTATTCTTTATTAATCTTCCCTTTACCTTTCTCAAAAGTACAAAATCTTCATTAAATATTCTAACTCTAACTTGATATTTAATAGCAAAAACAACTTCTCTATTATATAAAAAATGTGCATAATTTTCTGTTTCCAATTTTTTATCATCCATACTTGTTAATTTTGTACTGCCAGATTGGCTACTTTGTAAACTTTTTAAACTTTTATTTGCTTCTAAACTTCTCATATCTTCATTACTTTTTAGTTCCTTTATATTTTGTAGTTCAGAATATGGAATTAAACATTCTCTAGTTAAACGTTCTTTCTCTCGCATTTTTTCTCTAAATTTTATAAGCTTTGATCTAAATTCTCTCCAAATTTTAAGGATTACATATTTCCAATTATTTCCTCCCTATACCTCCCCACGTTCGGATACAAATACCTACTGAAAAGACCCACAATCAAGGAATTTGTTTCACACAAAAATTCAAAACTCGCCTAATAGCATAACCAACACCCGAAATTGTTGCAAAGAACAAAAGAAGAATTAATCCAACACCAATTAATATATATGTTGTCATATTTTGTGGACATTCCGTCCCAGTATATCCACATAAAGGTTTATATAAAGGTCTCTTTCCTCCTCTATTTGCCCAAATAGTTGCTTCATCAGTATATTTTTTAGTTAAGGACTTAAATTTTTTTAAATAAATTTTAAAAATTCAAAAAAACATTTACCAAAATACTATTTAAAATACTTATTTGAATAACATCTTGTGGTTGATCTTGAGTATCAAGTATGGTAACATAAAAAGTTGGTTCTCTATTCCCCAATGAATCAAGTATTACTGTGCCTGTTTCACCTAATATTTATTTTTTATTAAAAGTTCTCCTTCTCCTTTTTAAATTACCAATAAATTCCCCATTACTCATATTATTAATTAAAGTCCCGTTTCTAGCTAAATCTGTTGATAAATAGCCATATTGTGCTTTTGTTAAATTTAAAGCTCTCAAATATGAATAAGTTGTGTCATACAAACTTCGAGCATATGGAGAAGGCTAAAAGAATTTAATTTTCAATTTTTTAATTTAGAATGAAAAAAACATTTTGTTCATCAGCTCCACCCATACAAGTGCCATTACAATTAAATGGAGGTTGGCCAAATTGTGCATACATTTTTTTATTGAATGTGTTAATTTGATCAACTGATTGATTTTCGAGATCAATCTTTTTTCATTGAAAAATATTTTAAAATTGAAGAGAAATCTAAACTTACAACAATTGACCTTCTAGCAGCCTTTAAAGCATCTGCATCTCTCCCATCGTTAGACCCGTCTGATTGCTTCCAAATACCGTCATATTGAACTCCATTTACTCCAGAAGAAACTTAATTAATTTAAAAATAGTTTGTTTACTTTAAAAAATTCCTTAATTTAAAAACAAATTAACAGAAATGATAAATTAAATATTTAAATTTCTAGCGATAAATCATTCTGCTATTTAGTCTAAAAATTCAAAGAATTATTTCTCTCTAAATTAAAAATTATTTTTTTTAATTTTCTAAGCACTTTGTTGAAGCATTCCTTGATTTTGCAGCTGTGCAATAATCAAAACATATTCTGTACTTTCAACTAAGCCCAAATCATCCATTGCTAAAAGGAAATTTCGGCGATCTACAGCAGAATCAAAACAAGAAACAATAACTTTAATATAAATATTATTCTAAAAACTTATTTTTAACAAAACTTCGTGAACAAGTTTTAATTTTATTTAATGTTTCTTTCATACTAGCGGTTGTTGAATCCATTTGTTTTTTATAAACAATTGTTATATTTGGATTATTATTTAAAAGGGACTCCATATCTTGCTGAAAATATGAACAAACCCTTAAATATTTAATTTAAATAAATATTTAAATTTTAATTTAATACATTCCAATATTGTCTGGAATATAAATTGTTGATAATTCTTGCCATTGAAATTGCATTAAAAGTGCTTGGACACCCATAGCAAGCCTGTAATTTAATTGGTAATGAAATAAATTAAAAGAAAATCAGGGAGTGGTCTTTCTCTTATTAGTCTTCTCAATATTTTGTTAATTTTTGCATAATTTACAAAATTTTTCCTACATTTTATGTCAGGAGGTGAAAATTATCCTATGCAGGGATGATACTATAAGGCTAAATTGAATTCTCGACTTTCTGGGTGTTCGAAAATATAATAGGTAGTTCCATGACAATGCGTAACTAGGAGGTTCCATAACTAAGCTTTAAAGGGAAGTGCGTGAACAATTAGTCAGAGGGAATCATGCCTGAATTCCCAAATTACCATATACTTTTGATCAAAACAAATCACCGAACACCTAAACACTAACAACCAGTTGAATGCATTTTTAGTTTGGTTATTAAATATTTTAAATTAATATTTCTAACTTTGAAATTTCTTAAGAAAATCTTCACATTCATAATTTTTAATTTAAAAACTTTTACATATTTGTGTTTGTATTAACATTAGTCACAGTTGGAATATCATTTAGTTCAGCTGCAACTGCTGCACCCCATACAAATACAGGAAAATTATAAAATGAAGAAATATATCCAGTAATTAGGGCAGCTAAAAGGTTAATTAAATTATTTATTATTTCCAAAAAGTTTATCTTGGGTCCCCATTAGTCAAAAAAGTACAGAAGTTAGCTGCTTTGTCCATAATAGTTTTACTTAAAATTATTACATGTAACGCAAGGTGGGCCTATTATAGCATCAACATGCAAGTTGACAAATAGTTGATTTGTATAACCAGAAGCCAAAGCTTCATCACAGTCACACATAAACCACGTAAAACTTTGGAAAAATTAATTTTAGTACATAAAATTCAAAAATACTTAAAATTAATATTGTTAATTAATTGTTCACTAGCAGCCCTTTGCATTGCTAAAGTAATAGCTGGTGCTGATTGACCAAAACCAAATTGTGCTCGTAAATCTTTTGAATCATTAGCAAATAGCAACCCAACTTTCAATTGCAAATTTAATCCATTTGAGGGTGTTGATGTTGTTGTTGTTGGTTGTGTTGTCGAAGTTGATAAAGGTGTTGAAGTGGTAGATGTAGAAGTTGTTAATGTTGTGTTTGGTTTAATAACTGATGTTGTGGTGGAAATTGTGTTTGGCTTTGTAGTTATTAATGCGGGCAATAATGTTGTTGTTGTTGTACCTGAAGAATCAGGTAATATAATAATTGTTGTTGTATCATTAGTTGAGTTTAATTGGCTATAGACACAAACAATTAAATAATTAAGAAGAAATATAGGAGAAATTGATAGTAGTTTCATTCAAAATAAATATTTCATGATTGCATTAAAGCTCTATAGTTTTTAAAAATAAACATAAAATCATAACATTAATAAAATTAAATATCAAGAACATAATTTTTTATAAATCTGAGGACGAGAATCCACAAAAAGTAAATTGCATCCCTAGAAGTTCCTTGTAAAATATTAATATCCATTATTTATTAATAATGAAAATTTTCGATAATAATTTATTAAAAATAATGTGAGGATTAAATGTAAAATTTTTTAATAAAAGTTGTTTTTATTAAAAAAAATTGTCAGACAAATTATAGTAGCGCATTCAAGAAGCCAAATTAAAATATTTGTTGATAATTTAAGAAGATAAGTTTTATTAACTAAAAAAATATTTTTACTTTTTTATTAATTATTAGAAGCCAGTAAATCATAAAATGATTTTAATGGTTAAATTAAATCCAAAAGTACATATTATAATTAAAAATACAGTAAGAGAATTTCTATTTAAAAATTATCTTTCAATTGGTATCATTTATAATCTTACTAAGTTGTGGAATAATCTTTCAATATTAGGGTTGCCGTTTTAGAATTGTTTTTTGCCATTTTTCGGGCCTCACTTTCGGCCAAATATCCTGGGTCCGACTCGATCTTTCAGTATGTTCGAATTCCGATGAAATAGATTCAACTTTTGGATTTTTATTTTAATTTAATGATAAAATAAAAAAAATTTTTAACTTATGTTTTAATTTAACATAAGAAATAGCTTGGCATTAATTTTTGGCATTAATTTTTTTATAAGATATAAATATAGCTATTTATTGAAAGTAGTTTAAGATAAAACAAACCGATTTTTTCAGGTTGTCGTTATCTCCTCTAAACACTGGCTTGAAATATATTTTCTAATTAAAGCAGTGGCATTCTTTCAAGAAGCTTAGTATAAAGCCTAAGTTAGAACACCTAGTATAATGTCTAGAAAATAGAACCACTGTGGTTCTATTAAAATAACTACGATTAGTTAATACTTAGATCACGCAAATTATCTTCTGCAAAAATCTCATTATTTTTTATTGTTACTTGTGTTTTTATGAAAATTATTTTTATACAATGAAACATATTTTGGCCCCTGTGCAGATTATTGCTATATCACTCATTGCCCCTAATTATAATGTTTATGATTGCCCAAATCGCATACTGCCGAAATCAACAGACAAAAAAATTTTTTTTATAAAATCATAAAAAATTTATAAAATAGTAATAAAGAAAATAATGTATCCATATATACAATGAAACATATTTTAGCCCTTGTCCAGATTATGCACATGGCTAAAAACACCCGTTACCTTATTCATATAAATTATGTTTCTGAAATTTTAAAAAATTAAATATGACTGTACGAAGTATTTACGGATAACGGATGCCATCGACTGGATTACAAATTGATTACAAATTAACTATGGATTACAAACCATGGACAAGAGTCAATAATTTTATATCTTGAGGTTTTTACTGATAAAAAGATGATGGAATCGTTTTTAAAAATGAGGAAATGAAAGATATATACAAAAATAATGACAAATTTTAATCAAACAGGTTCTGGAGTGTCACGATCAGCATTGGCAACACCTGTACCTGAAAAGTAATGAGAATCTCCAGAATGTCCAAGTAGCCAAAATGTTTCCATAACTCCTTTTCCTTTAATAATTACTTCTCCTCTAGGTTCTGTTACATATCCTCCAATTATGTTAGTTAAATAATGATTAGTTGTGGTTGATATATGGATACGTCCAGCTGTTTGAGAGAAGAAAGAATAATTTATGGAAATTAAATTTATTTTTTTACGTCTTCCATTAGATTCCATTCTACTAGCTGTATTTACAGTGTCTCCAAATAAACAATAACGAGGCATTGTCAATCCAACAACTCCAGCTACTGCTGGTCCTTAAATATTTTTTAAGGAAATTAACAATTCATTTATTAACCAGTATGTATTCCAATACGTAAATTAACACGTTCATTTGGCAAATGGTCAATTCGAAATGTTGAGACGGTACGTAGGAAAGAAAAAGATAATTCGGCTATTGCTTTTGCATGATCATTCCCATTTCGACGGGGAATTCCAGAACAAACTAAATAACCATCTCCAATTGTTTCAACTTTATAAACATCGTGACTGTCAATAATCCCATCAAATGCTGTGTATAATCCATTCAACAGATTTACAACCTTTTTAATTCATAATTTATTTATTTCGAATATTTTAATTACCTGTAAAGGAGAACATTTACTAGCTAATGTTGTAAATGAAACAACATCAGAAAAGAATATTGTTGCTGCACTAAATTGTTCTGGTTCAACAAATTCCCCCAATTTTAATTTATCGGCAACTTGTTTTGGAAGCATTCTATATAAAAGAATATCACTTTTTCTTTTTTCTTCAACTAATTCTCTAGTCCTTTCTTCAACTTCTTGTTCTAGAGAACTTGCATATTGCTCCATCATTCCAAAAACATAATCCATTAAATTTTGATTTCCATCCCTAACCATTTGCTTCAACATTGTTCTGACCATATCAATTTTTGGGCGTTCAGTCGGAATCTCACCCCAGCAATCACGGACTAAGTGTAACTAAGATAAAAATGAGGATATCAGTTAGAAATTAAAACAATTTTTACTAAATTTTGATTGATCTCCTCTCGAGGATGCAATTGAGGTCGGTGTGGGATTGCCACGTTTGATCGTCTTAGTCGGTAAAGTATCTCTAAAAAAAGATCAAGGGTGTTTTTCATGGTGTTTTTTTTCTACAAACCATCAACATCATCTTCTCTTTCAACTCCATTCCAAACAGTTTCTCTATTAACTAATTCACAACAAATTATAGCAAAACTATAAACATCTCCTTCTTTTGTTCCTTTTCGATTATTTTCTCTTAATAATTCTGGTGCTGTCCACAATAATTCTTAAAAAATACAGATTTAAGGACTTGATAATGGCATTCTAATCTCTAACGAGAGGGAACTAGAGGTGGATTTGTAGGACCATTTCATTTATATTTTATTTAATATGGGTGTAAACAACCGTTAATATTTATTTCCTTTTAAATCAAAAATTATAATATTTTTTACTTCTTTTTGACATTGGTTGACTTTCTCTAATCATATTCAATCCAAAATCGCTAATCTTTACTTGCCAGCGATCATTAATTAAACAATTCTCTGAGGAAAGCATTCCATGTGCTCCAGCAAACGACCCGTGTAAAGCTATTAATCCACTAGCTATATCCCTCATTAAAGTAAACATTACAAAAGAATCTCCAACATATCTCTCTTTGGCGATTAAATCCTAGAATATTATTGTGTTAAAATATTATTAGGTCGCGTCATAATTAGTGGCCGTTTTTTTGATTAAATTTTTAGGGGTGTTATTTTACAAATATTCGTTTTTCTCATTAACTAGCATAAAGATATGAATCTGCTCTTCATTTTAATACCAGGTATAGCTTTATACGGGTGATATTCATAAAGTTATGATTTTTTGAACTTCACTACCTCGTAGTGAAATTCATAAGCATTTACACCAAAAATTATAAATTACCAAAAATGGACACAAGAAGCAAAAAATCTTAATGATCTAGTCAATGGGGTCGTTGTCTATGCTAGACAGCAAAAAATAGGGTTCAGGCTTTATGAATAAGGCCGTATAACTCTCAGAAGCAAACATGGTCGAAGGAAACGTCTGTCATAAAGAAAACGGTCCTGCTCGGCCGGCTTAGATGGAATCCGGTTATTTCTACTGCTGAATTATAGAGGGATATCTGCTCTATACGTATGGCCACGCGTGGCCCAAAAAACGCGGGCTGCGCTTGAGGAAGGCAAATCAAATGCCGCGTGTACTCTCTTTTGCACAGATGGGAAAACGACACGACACTCTCCCAAAAAGTTGTTTCTTATATCTCAGCGTAAAATCATCCGATCAAGATGATCTAAACGGTTTTTTAAATAACATACAGGGCTTATACTAAATCCGAGGTATGAAGTCTGTAAAACGTGTCGAACCCGGAATTCGAATTTCGACATTTTCGAAAAATTTAGACCTTTCGGATTAAAAATTCGAAATTGTGCCCGACGGATAGAGATTTTGAAGGGCTTTCGAATGATATATCACACTAACTATTATAATTACATATACTTGAGAAAATTTGATTTCCGGTGATTTCGGGAATTTTGATATTTTTGATCAGAACTCCCTGAATACCTAACCAAAAATTCTCAAATTCTGGAATCCTTTAGAACATACTCTAACAAATAATTCGTAATAAAAATAAAAATTATTTTCAAAAAGCTTAACTTTAAAAATCCAAAAAACCCAAATTAAAAAACGGCCACTAATTATGACGCGACCTAATAGTAATACTTAATTTTCGAAAATACTTTTAAACTCCCTCTCTGACAATGCTTCCAAATAGCATAGAGAATAGGTGCATCTACACAGAGTCCACAGAATTTATTTAAATTGTCATGGTCTATCTGACGGATCTAGGAGAATTATCCTTTAATTTTAACATTTAATAAGTTAAACTACCTTCTTTAAATTAGCAAAATCTTCATTAAATATTCTAACTCTAACTTGATATTTAATAGCAAAAACAACTTCTCTATTATACAAAAAATGTGCATAATTTTCTGTTTCCAATTTTTTATCATCCATACTTGTTAATTTTGTACTGCCAGATTGGCTACTTTGTAAACTTTTTAAACTTTTATTTGCTTCTAAACTTCTCATATCTTCATTACTTTTTAGTTCCTTTATATTCCTTAATTCTCCAAAAGGTATTAAACATTCTCTAGTTAAACGTTCCTTTTCTTTTAATTTTTCTCTTTAAAAAATAATTTTATTTTACTAGTACTAAAAAGTAAATAACTTTTTAGTTCTAGTAAATTTTATTTTACTAGAACTAAAAAGTAATGGTTTAATTACCCAAGTTTAAGAAATATTTAAAATGGCACAATCTAAAGAAATTAAAGAAATTCTTGCTAAACTTCAAACTATTCAACAACAAATTAATAAATTAGACGACAAGGTTGAAACATTAAATACAGCAGATATTATTGAAAAATTGGAAAATATATCAACGACTATAGAAACAACAGCAATCAAAGCTGTTGAGGATAAAGAAAGACAACGTAGTCTTGTCCTTATAGGATTAAAAGAATCAACAGCAGTTCGGCCAACAGAGCGTGCGAAAGCTGACGAGGAGGAGGTTTTACGCGTTCTGGACGCGCTGGACGTCCAGACATTGCCATTGGCAGTGTATAGAATGGGAAATCCAGCCAAAGCAGGTCCAAATGGTCGTTTAATTAAAGTGATACTTCCCAGTACATCTTTTCAGCGAATTTGTTTGGCTCAGTGGAAAAAGAAACGTCTTGAGATTCGATCCATGGAAAAATGGACCAAATTACTAATAAGACCTTCACTAACTGCTGAACAACTACGCTTAGACAAGGAAGAGAGAGACAAACGCAGAATCGATTGGCAAGAAAGAAATAAGAATAATACTGCTGGAGACAACGTTACAAGACGTACAAAAAACTATTAGGTAATTTTGAGATCAAATTATACTATTTTAATTCAAGAAGTGTTACAAACAAAATTGACACTCTTAAATTCCTAATGCAAAAAAATTCCTTTGAAATAATATTGATAACTGAGAGCTGGCTAAATCATAAAACTTTAGACTCATCCATAATAGAAAACTCAAAATATTCATTAATACGTAACGATAGAATTAATTCTAAAAAAGGCGGCGGGGTTTTAGCAGTTATTTCAAATTCTATTCCCTTTAATGAAATTAAAACCTGCAAAAATTCTCACTATGAAATACTATGTTTTGACATATATTCACCTTTTACTTCCCAGAAACATAGATTTATATTAGTTTATCTCCCACCACCTGTAAACAAAATACAACAAAATTGCCTTGTTGAAAAATTACAACAATTAACCAGTATTGATTATACATACTCTATCATTGGTGATTTCAATATTCCTTATATACCCTGGGGTAGCGAAAATTTAATAGAAATTAAAAATGATAATATTTTACTAGAATTTATAAAATACTCTCAACTAGAACAAATTATAAAATTTCCTACACGCCAAAACAATTTTTTAGATTTAATATTTACTAATTCACTTTCCTCCTATAAATCCATAAATATGACTGAACCAATACAATCAAACATATACCAGTCCGATCATAATGGAATAGAAGTCATTTTCAATTTCATAAAAACCAAAAATCTTAATCAAAATTATAAAGATTATATAAACTGTAACTATAATATCATAAACAACTATCTAAATTCAATAAACTGGAATTTATGTTTTGCAAATTGCATAGACATAAATCACCTGTATTCCACCTTCCAAAAAATAATTTCTGAAACTATAGAAAATTTGATACCAACAAAATCTAGAAACAGTAAAAATTTATTACCAAAACACATACAATCATTAATTGAATACCGTCGTAAACTATTTAAGGATAAAAGTTTACACTCAACAGAAAAATTTAAAATTGCATCATTAAAAATAGATAAAGAAATACAGAAATACTTTAGAAATCGTGAAAATAAACGATTAAAAAATATTCGAACTAAATATACTCATATTACAAACCTTTTAAAGACAAAAAATACACAAATTCCAATACTCTTGGACAATAATAAACTTCCTCTAATATCAGCTAAATCTAAAGCTAATCTCTTTTCAAACTATTTTTCACAAATTCTCTCTCCATCCAATCAAAAATCTCTAATCCACAAACCTTCTCTCACTCCAAAATCTTCTTCAAATAAAAATAACCTCATTAACACACACACAAACAAACCATATTTAAACTTTATACAATCATTTCAAGAAGATATATTCTTTATATTAAAATCGTTAACAAATAAATCAAATATATCGACAGATATGATTCCTGAGATATTTTTAAAAAATTGCTCACAATCACTTGCTTACCCTATCTACTACATATTTAACTATATTACAATGAGCGCAAACTTACCCGATATCTGGAAACAGTCCATAATTATACCCATTCCGAAAAATAAAAATTCATCCTGTCCTTCAGACTACCGGCCAATATCTCTATTATGTCCAATCTCAAAAGTCTTCGAAAGATTATTATACAATCAATTAATTAATTTTATAGAAAAATATGAAATTATCCCTAACGTCCAACATGGATTTCGAAAAGGGAAATCAGTAACCACACAACTTTTAGAAACATTCAACGACTTTTCGATTGCTTTGGAAAATAAACAATTTATTGATGTCATATATTTTGATTTTAGTAAAGCCTTCGACACAGTTCCACATGATAAACTTATAAATAAATTACACAAAATTGGAATAAGGGGATCTTTTTTACAATTGCTAAAAAATTACCTCACTAATAGAAAATTTACTGTGATGATCCAAGATTATAAAACTGATTTAATGGATATAAATAGAGGCGTCCCACAGGGGTCAATACTAGGGCCATTATTTTTCCTTATATACATATCAGATCTACCCAGTTTCTGTGAAACAAAGGACGTAAAGATAAAATTGTTTGCAGACGATCTTAAAGCATACTCATTCTCTAAAAACACTAAAGACTTTGAAATTAACCTACAAGAGTTTATCAAAAAACTAGAAAAATATGCTGAGGAAAATTCACTCAAACTTTCAGCCGAAAAAACATCTCTTTTACACATAGGGCCTAAAAACCCTTTGCACACATACACACTCAATAATCAAAAGATAAAAACAGTCTCAAATCAAGATTCTATAAGAGACCTTGGCGTTTATTTTTCACACGATTTAAAATGGGAAAAGCACATCAAAATTATAACTAACAAAGCAAATCAAACAGCATTTACAATAATAAGAAATCTAAAAACTAATGATCCTAAAATATTACTCGAACTATATAAAATATACGTATTACCCATAATAGAATTTGCATCGCCCGTTTTCAATCCATATCTTAAAAAGGATATCGAACACCTTGAACAAATACAAAAAACTTATTTACGTATTATATACAATAGGTCAAATCCACGCACACCAATTCCAGAATATCAAGACCTTCTACAAATTTTTAAGGTAGACTCGCTACAAATTAGAAGACTCAAAACTGACTTTAAATTTTTCCACAAAATTTTACATGGTGAAGTAAAAATCGATCAAAAAGAAACATTTAAAATTACAAAAACTAATACAAGGGGAGACGAATATAAATTTTTTATTCCGGCAAGATCAAATCAAATCAGCCATAATTCCTTTTTTGTTAGGACAGCGCGGCTATACTCTCAGTTACCAATATCAATACGTAAATCAAATTCCAAAATATTCAAAACACTTCTTGATCAAATAGATCTCAACACATATTTATCACGCCCCACACCCGTAACATAATACAATCACATATATTTGTTGTACCAATTATTGACATATATTTGTTTTAGTTTAATTTTCAACTTGACTTAATTTATTTTTTCAATCCATATATGTATTTTCAAATTTGTAATGTCGCCCAAGAGGCAAATAAATAAATAAATAAATAAATAGTGTAACAAATGTATGTCCAACCTAATAGCATAACTAATACCCGAGACTGTTGCTACAAATAAAAGTAAAATTAATCCGCCGCCAATTAGTATATATGTTGTCATATTTTGTGGACATTCTAAACCTGTATATCCACATAATGGTTTATATAAAGGTCTCTTTCCTCCTCTATTTGCCCAAATAGTTGCTTCATCAGTATATTTTTTAGTTAATGACTGCAAGAAAAATGACAAATGAAACGACATACAGTAAATGCTCTAATACCATCTCTAATATACGCTCACCCAAGGAGGCCTTTCAAAAAATATAAGCCCAGTCTAATAGAAACCCCGTTTCTAAAATGACCCGTTGAAAAATATATCATTCAAATATTTTGGGATTGAATTTATCAAATTTTTTATGTCAGTTAACCATCCCTCTAAAAGCACATCGTTTAAATTAAATTCTTAAATATCCGGACTTAACAAATACATGTTTAATTATGTCTCTAATGAATTAAAATATTATAAAATTTACCAAAATATTGTTTACAATACTTATTTCAATAACATCTTGAGGTTTATCAGACGCATCAAGCATTGTAACGTAAAATGTTGGTTCTCTGTTGCCTAATGAATCAAGATTTACTCTTCCAGTTTCTCCTAAATTAATATTTTATTTTATGTTTATTAACTGTTTATTTAAAGCTTAATCGTTATATTAAATCAACGAAGCCTTAACTATACTGCCTCAAGTTTCAAATTATTACCATCAAATTCCCCTTTACTCATATTGTTTATCTGTGTCCCATTTCTGGCTAAATCACTTGACATATATCCATATTTTAACATTGTTAAATTCAATGCTCTCAAATATGCATAAGTTGTATCATGTAAACTTCGAGCATATGGAGAGGGCTAAAAGAATTTAATTCTCAATTTTCAATTTAGAATGAAAAAAACACATTTTGTTCATCAGCTCCACCCATACAAGAGCCATTGCAATTAAAGGGAGGTTGTCCAAATTGTGCGTACATTTTTTTATTGAATGTGTTAATTTGATCAACTGACTGATTTTCGAGATCAATCTTTTTTTATTAAAAATATTTTAAATAAAGTTAAATCTCGAATTCGAATACTTAACGGGCTGAGGATATTGGAGGTGAAATCTCAATTAATGAAAAATTTCAAGAATGAAAATTTTAAGAATAGGTATTTCAAGATCGGAGTGTCTCTAATTTTCGAGAGTATCTAAATTCGAGATACGATTTAATTCCTAGTTGAAGAAAAATCTAAACTTACAACAATTGACCTTCTAGCAGCTTTTAAAGCATCTGCATCTCTCCCATCGTTAGACCCGTCTGATTGCTTCCAAATACCGTCATATTGAACTCCATTTGCTCCAGAAGAATCTATATTTTTTAATATATTAACTTAACTTCAAACTATTTTTTATTATTTTTAAATTAAAGAACTAAAGAAAGAAAAAAAGAAGATCCTGCTAGCTAAGCGGGAGTTTAAGATTTATTAAAAGGGAAGAAATCAGGTATATTATGTTGGCGAAGGTGTTTAGCAATAACTGCCAGCAGGCTAAACTTTTCCTCCTCCTATTACCATAAACTTAGTCAGACATTTATTAACGAAATTACATGGTTTCAAATATTTTTCTGCATATATATCTACACTTATCTATACAGAATTTAACATGAAATTCTTTAAATAATTCATTTTCCCTACTTATTTCTTGTAACATTCCTTGATTTTTCAACTGTGCAACAATCAAAACATATTCAGAGCTTTCAACTAAGCCCAAATCAGTCATTGCTAAAAGGAAATTACGTCGATCTACAGCAGAATCAAAACAAGAAACAATAACTTAATTAATTTGAATAAATTAATTATTTATTTTTAAAAACTTCGTGAACACGTCATAACTTTTCTTAAACTATCTTTCATGCTAGTAGATGTTGAATCCATTTGTTTTGTATAAACAATAGTTATATTCGGATTATTATTTAAAAGAGATTCAAAATCTTGTTTAAAATAAGTACAAACTCTTAAACAAAAATTAAATTTTATTTTTAAATTTAAATATTTATTTACCTTCCAATATTGTCGGGAATATAAACTAGAGAAATTTCTTGCCATTGAAATTGTGACAGAACTGCTTGGACACCCATAGATAACCTTTAAATTAATTTAAAAATATTCCTTTTAATTAATTCCAAACTTACATAACAGTATTTGTGTTAATATTTGTAACTGTAGGAATTGGATTGAATTTTGAAGTAACTGATGCGCCCCAAACAAAAATAGGAAAATTATAAAAAGAAGAGATATAACCAGTCATTAGGGCAGCTATAGAAAATTTAAAAATTTTTTTAATTTTTTTTGAAGAAAATATAGGTAATATATGTAGATATGAGAGACTTTGATTTTAACAAAAAATTTTGTTTTTAAGTTCAATTATTTTTTTAATAACTTAATATTTCTATTTATTCCCTTGTATTATTTACCGGTAACACATGGAGGGCCAATAATAACATCAACACTTAAATTAAGAAAAAGTCTGTTTGTGTATCCAGCGGCTAAAGCTTCATCACAATCACACATAAACCACGTAAAACTTTGAAAAAGAATTTTTTTTAAGAACAAAATTCAAAAATACTTAAAATTAATATTGTTAATTAATTGTTCACTAGCAGCCCTTTGCATTGCTAAAGTAATAGCTGGTGCTGATTGACCAAAACCAAATTGTGCTCGTAAATCTTTTGAACCATTAGCAAATAGCAACCCAACTTTCAATTGCAAATTTAATCCATTTGAGGGTGTTGATGTTGGGGAAGTGAATGGAGTGATTGATTTTGAAGTTGTTGTTGTCAATGTTTTATTTGTATCATCATTAAATAATGTTGTCGTTGTTGTTGTTGTGTTTGTTGGATTAAATAAATCAGTTAATACAAAATTAGTTGTTACTTCAGGTAATGTAGATGGTGAGATTGTTGTTGTTAATTCAGGCAATACTGAAATTGTTGTTGAATCATTTGGAAGATTAAATTGGCAATAAACAAGAGTTATTAATTCAAATAGGGAAAAAAGAGAAAGTATCTTCATTCAAAATACTTTTATAATTTTAATAATAAAATAACTTCCATAATAATTATTAAAAAATATTAATAAATGTTCCACATTTTATGAATTTAAGCCAAATATTTTTTTATAAAATACTATATACTTAAAGACATTCAACATTGAATCCCTATAATAAAAGATCGCCTAACATTATTAATATTTTTATTAAAAGTTTGAGTTGTCTAAAGTAATAAAAAATTTTAAGAATTAATTAATACTAATAAATAAATTTATATTTAATTAAATTATCTTTTAAATTATTATTTTTTAGTTCATTTTTTGCTTAAATGACTAAAACAATATTTTTATAAAATTATTCGTCCCTCCAATAACAGTTATTATAATTATTAAAAGAAATTATAATAATTATTAAATCGAACCTGGTATGGTTCGATTCAGCTGGTCGAGCCACATCAAACCATACCAGGGCGCCACAGATTCGACAATTTTGAACAAAGTTATAGCTCGATGATACATTGGGCTCGCTCCCATAATAAATATCCAAAAATTTATAAAAACATCTCCTTTTTCTAGCTAATTTTTATTTTCATTTTAAAAGAATCAAATATATAAATTTGTTTGGAGTTGAACAAAAAATAATATTTTAATTTTGACTGTAAGCTTCGAACGTCACATATTTTCTACGACAATCTCTACTGGGTTGTTCACCGAACTGACGTACATTTAACATGGAAAATATATAAAGATTTTAAGCCTTTTTTTAATTAAAACAATATTATTTTTATTATTATTTTCTATTTTTATAAATAATCTACATATATATTTTACTTAATTTAGAATTTAATATATGTTCATATTTTCAAAGTTTTGATAAGTACATAATTTTTTGTGTAATCATAAAAGCAATAAATGAAGAAGCCAATGAGAAAGAACGAAGGAGGAATCCCCTTATTTAAATTTTTAGTACAGTATTCAAACTTTTAATAAACTTTATTAATAATTCCATATTTATTTTCTAAATCTAAAATAAATTTAAAAATAAAGTTTAGATAAAAGTACATAGCTATTTTGTGGTTGGTCAGTTGAAGAATTTGTATAGTTTAGTAGCAGGAATTTGGAGATAATTTATTTAAATTATAAAGAAGTGAATAAAAAATAAGTTGAACAAAAAATTATTATACTGTAAACGTCTAGATATAAATGCTTATTGTTAGACTTTTGTATGAAACGAATTTCCAGAACAAGCAAATGATAAATTCTATTTTTATATCATTATTAATTATCTAAATTACTTCTGAAATATGGATGATTATTCACTTGTCGAAATTATACAATTCGCAACTGAAATAATCAAAAATTTAGGACAAAAATCAGAAAATAGGGTGGAATACATAATGCACTTTTTCCATTTCCCCGCGGAGACATTCTTCATCGCAGGACAATCTTAACTACTTTAATAAAAATTTAGGTTCTAACCGAAATTTCCAAAATTTTCTGATTGGATTCGGTTATTAGGGCATTTCCCAGTTTCCGCCAACCTTAGTATCGACATAGTACCAATATGTAATATTTTGTCAATAAGGTTTGCCCCGTTACAATTTTGTGATATTGAGCAATTATTTTCATCAATAAAAACATATAGAGCGAAAAAGCGCTCCAAAAAATCTGGAAATGTACTTATAGTTAGCATAAAATTTTGAAAAATTGGATTAATTTTTTTTATAAAATTTCAACTTTCTTTCTATTTTGTTATTAAAACCATAATTTATTTCAATATTAATTAATTTTTGGCAATTTTTTTGGCATTATTTTGCCGATTTATCTCAATATTTTATGGCCATATTTGCGATTTTATTTCAATAAAAATTAGTCCTCTAGTGATGTTCGAGACTCTCGATCTCGGTTCCCGAGTCGAGAAATTTCCCGGGTTTTTTGAGCTCTCGGTCTCGGTGTTGATTCCCGGTCTCGGTCTCGACTCTCGGTTTTTTTTCATTTTTTTTCACTCCCGAACATCACCCCCATCCTCTAATAATTATAACAAAACCACGATTAATATAAAATTTAGTTAAGTATAATTTGGCCATTCCCCTTCTTTTCAACAAAATTAATTGATTAATCGGACGCATCTTCCTCTAAATTCATTGAATGAAAAATAAGAAAAATTTGTCAAATGAAAAAGAATGAATCAACCAGTCATTTGGGAATAAAAATTTTTTCTCTTTTTTAGAATTCTGCAACCACTTTTTTTTTTAAAAAATTCTCTTTTCTTTCCTTCTCAAATGTTGACAGGAAAACTTTATAAAAAATTTAACAAAAATTCTCTCTTTTTGTTTATCCAACAATATTTTCAAACACTTAAATTCTTTTAACTTTCTGATGAAAATAATTTAAAAGTTTTCAAATAAATCTGAGTTCGTTTGTTTTGAATTTTTTGAACTTAAAAACCATGTATTAGAAAGGATTTTTAAAGTGTAAATCTCACAAAACAAAAATAAAACTGAGTTGTCGTTGGTTAATTGTGTTCGCATTATTCTGACTCAATTGACTACTATTGTTTTTTAAGACTCTAAATTAAAATTTTCCAGCTGATTGTGAGATTTATTATAATTTTTTTCCTTTTTATTAGAGACCTGTAAAATTGATTTCTCCAGAACCGGATTTGCAACTAGAGCCGGACCGTATCCGGCCGGACTTTTCCGGATTAATCTCGGTATGGTTTTAATCTGGAGATTGCGGAAAAAAACCCAGATTTGGGACCCGGACCAGGGGTGGGCGCATTGCGTTTTGCGTTTTGCGTTTTTTGCGTTTTGCGTTGATTTTTGGCCTTGCGTTGCGTTTTGCGTTTTGCGTAAATTTGGCCCAAATTAACGCAAAAAAACGAAAAAATTATACTCAATTTGAGGACAAAATTGAAGAAATCTGGCGACTTGGCCTTCCAAAATTCTCTAAAATTTTCGCCTGCGGCGCAGGAAAAGGAAGAAATTTGGCTTCTTGATCTTCAAAATTCTCAAAATTTTCGCCTGCGGCGCTAAAATTGAAGAAGGGTCAAAAGTGTTTAAGTGAAAGATAAGTTGACTTGAAAGGATATAAGAATATCGGTCCATTTACTGGGATTTAATTAGATTTAAAAAGATATCGGGGATTTGTAGGGATGTCTGGGAATCCCTCAATCTCGTGAAGAAATCATTCAAATAAGATCATTCAAATCATTCTGCGTACTTTTAAATTAGTAAACTCATATATATTTTCAACCCCTGATCAGAGTAAATTTCCAAATAACCAAAAGGGGCAAAACCTCTCTAAAAGGAGGCGAAATTGGCCAAAAGGGGGCAAAAAGAGGAGACAATCCCCCCTTTTCGGTGATACCAGCAGCCACCGAAAATTTTATGAAATTTGAAGGCAAAGAAGCCAAATTTCTTCCATTTTAAGAAAAGGCAAAAAATGGGACAAATGCCTCCCAAATGAGATACTTCCTTAGGTCATAATCCCCTTTTATCCCCGATATCACTCCAAATCATTACCCAATCAACTTACATGTATTAAAAAATCGAGTAGGACTCGCTGAGTTAAAGTAAACTTTAATTTTTAACTGAAAAATGGTTAATACTTAATTTTAAAATTTTTTTCCCAATTTTGCGTTCTTGCGTTTTGCGTTTTTTGCGTTTTGCGTTGATTTTTGGCCTTGCGTTGCGTTTTACGTTTTGCGTTTTTCACGATTCCCTCTTGCGCCCACCCCTGACCCGGACTCCGGAAAAATCCGGCCGGATTTGGTCCTGCCCAGGTCACTACTTTTTATATTACCTAGATTATTTAAATTAATATTTTAACAATTATTTTGGGTATACTAAAACAAATTAAATGGGGCATCAACCAACTACTGATATTTCTAATCCTTTGGTTGATACAAGTTGTGATTGTGACGGAAATGCTGAGGAATTAAAAACTAGTCCAAAACGAAGAAAAGGATATATTCCCTACTCAACAATTTATGAAAGTCAAATTGAAGTAAGAAAAAATGGTTATTGGATTCCTTGTCTTCCTGTTGAGGCAACAATTATTAAAGTACAAAGAGATACTTCTACTGGATATCATATTTTAAATCCTTTTATGTAAGTGATTTTTATTTTTAATTTTTGTTTTATTTTGGTTCCCCTTGCCTTCTTTTTTAAAATAAAGGTTATAGTGCATAATTGGTGAGGCACCTTAAAAACACGTTAAAAAAATTTTGAAAATTTATGTATGTAATTGACCATGCTGGTTACGAATCTAAGCTCAGATTTGTGATCAGCATGTTCGATTACCTAAATAAAATTATTTTCAGAAAAAATAATAATTTTAACGTGTTTTTAAGGCGTCTTCCCAATTTTGCACCATTATTAAAATAAATCTTTTAATTTAAACGTTAATAAATATTTAACATCTTTAGATTTTTTAAATTTTATTTTTCTAGTTATACAATTGAACTTGAACATGGTCGGTACAAATGGAGGGTTCTCAAAAGATACAAAGACTTTTCTTATTTATCAAGTCGTTTAATGGCACACAGAGCTGCTGAAATGTTTAAAGCGCCAGTTAGAAGGTTTTTGAATTTCTGATAAAAATTTCTCTTACAAATAATTTAAGAGCAAGACATCGAATTGAAGAAGTAATTGAAGGGACAACAATTGAAGAAGAGGATAAGCAAAAACAAGGAAAAGAGTCGAATTTATATCCGGTATTTTTTGAAGTTTATTTAAAATTTTGTTTTTTATTTGCTTTTTTTAAACAATTTTGGATTTATTTGTCCTATTCTATTTAAAAATAATTTCTAATTGTAATTTAAAAAATTTGTTCGTCTTTTTACTTATATTAATTTTCTATTTAGGTATTTACTCTCTCCAAGTCTCCTGAGATTGATGATTACAATGAGGGCTGTGTTGCTGATTCTACTTGGGAAACAAGTGGAGGTTTTCTTTTATTGGTAATAGTGTCGTTTCCCAGCCCCCTTTTTTTCCTCCCAATTTTCTACCCTATGTTTGTACGGAATGGTCAAATTTTCCCCTTTCTTTCATCAAATTTGCCTTTCCATATTTTGCCTAAAAACAATCAAAAATTATTTTTTATTTATTTCTTTCACAAGGATAAAAAAGTGAGACATGATGCCAAAAATTATAAAAAACATTTTCAATATTGCCAAATCGTTTTCGCCACATAAATTCCGGGAGATAACTTTTATAGGTTTCAGTGTTGTTGCCAGCTTGATGTCTGCTTGATGTCGTAATTTTTCATATAAATCAATAGGTTTGAAATTCTTTAGTTCTTCCATTTTTATTAATTGGGAAAATGATTCTTCTCATTACTCTAATACTTATTTAAATATCACAAATTAATCTTTTTGATTGTTTTTAGGCAAAATATGGAAAGGCAAATTTGATGAAAGGGGAAAATTTGACCATTCCGTATAAACATAGGGTAGAAAATTGGGAGGAAAAAAAGGGGGCTGGGAAACGACACTATTACCCTTTTATTTTCTATAGTAATATAGAGAACATTTTCTACAACATTTTTGATAAAGTATAATTTTTATTAACTAATGTTTTCGCTTTCCCCATATTTTTTAATATTTAAATGAAGTCTTTACCAAGACGTAGCCACGGAGTCAATTTTTGGCGTTTACTTTGATTGAACCATATTTTAATTTTTTCAGCGCCGCATGCGAAAATTTTTTTGAATTTTTGACGGCGGCGAAAAGATCTTGCAAGTTCGATCATCTTTCTTCTAATTTTCCCCCTTTCCCTCATTTTGTTGTTGGGGCTTCAGCCCCCTCTTGCTACATCCTTTCTCTTTACTATAATCGTTTAGACATTTAATTTTTCTAATTTCGTCTAAAAATTTTTTCAATTTTTAGTTTCTAAAACTTCAAATGAAAATAATTCAATCAACAATTTTTCACAACAAAATTCAACACACCAAATACCGTTAAAATTCCAAGCAGCTAATCAATTACCCCATTTTCCTGTTTTACCTGATTCTGTTCTGTCAGACACTCAAATGCAGGAAAGGGCAAAAAGATTGGAGAAATGGCTTAGATCTGTACTTGAAATTCCAATAAACAGGGAATATCACGAAACGGTTTATTTTTTAAAGAAATTTAATCAGTATTTATAAGTTATTTAAAAATATATAGAAATTTAATTTCTGACAATAAGAGGCATATACATAAAATAATTTCTATTCTATTTTATGAATATTAAAATTTCCTGTCTTCTCCTTATAAATTTTCCGAATTATTTTCCCTGGATTTCTGATGCTCTTTTCTAATTAAAAACAATTTCTTTAGCTGTCTTGTATGAGTTTTTTTAGTTTAATTCCTTGTTAGGTTAGCTCTGTGGATATATTTCTCTTAATATTTTATTCAATCATTATGAATAATCCTAAGTTTTTGTGGGATCTAGCCGATTTTGTCTCTTAAAATTTAATCTTTTTTATAAATAAAATTTTAAGGCAGAATTTCTCGACGTCTCTCGTTATTCTTTTATTAATGAACTTGGTGGAAAATACAAAGAAGGAAAAGTAAAGAAACGGCCCGGTGGTAACAAAGTATATATTGGGTGTAAACAATTTTGCCTTAGTTGGCTTCTTCCTTGGAGCAGAAGGTTGATTTTTTAATTTTCTAAAATTTAAATTTATTTAATTATTTAGATGGTTAATGGTCAAGGATACTTATGTAAGTTTAATTTTTGTAAAAATAAAAGGAATTTTTAGGCATTACTGGCTGCAAGGGCGTATCCAAGGGGCCCGAAACCGACCCCCTGGATACGCCCTTGACTGTCTGGATTTCCTCTATCTTGTCATTCTATTATGTTTAACAGCTTTCATCATCTTAATTTCGGTTTTATTTTTAATTATTTTTTTATTCAGGTTGCATATATGGATCCCTCAAATGAGCAAATACGTCTTGTCCTCCTTTTCGATGAACAATTTGAAATTAATTCACACGAGCTTTTAATTAATACAAAACAACGTCCTAAAGAATTTGTTGTTTCTAATCTTCAACAGTTTTGTTTTTTATGAAAATTTTGAAAAAAATTATTTTTCAGTGTTTTAATGTTAAAATGTTCAACAGAAGAAGATACTCAAGATTGGGTAGATACAATTAAAAATTGCACTGAAGAAAGAAGTGGGCAAATTTGGTTACATAAAAAGCGATATGGTTCTTCATTTCCTCAACGATTAAATTCTTATTGTCAATGGTTTGTGGATGCAAAAGATTGTTGGGAAAAAGTCTCTTCACTTATTGAAATGGCTAGAGAAGAAATTTTTATTGCAGATTGGTACTTAATTTTTTCAGTAATTTTAAGAAATTTCTGATTTTTGTTTTTTAATAATTAAAAAAGGTTGCTGTCCTTTTTTAACTAGCTTTTAACTAAAATAAGATGTAAATATAATTATTGTAATATTAAGGTGGTTGAGCCCAGAAATATTTTTACGACGTCCTATGGCTGAAGGTAATCACTGGCGTTTGGATTACACATTAAAAAGAAAAGCGGAGAAGGGTGTAAGGATATTTGTTCTTGTCTACAAGGAAATGGAGATGGCTTTGGGTCTAAAAAGTTTATATTCCAAAAAATTGCTTCAAGGTCTTCATCCAAATATAAAAGTTTGTTGTAATTTTTAATTATTTTTTATGAATATTGGATTGTTAATTAGTTTATAAATACATATTGGTGTAACGATTTGTTTTCCTTAAGTAAACGGTCCTTAGCAGATTTTAACAATATGCAAATTTTAAGGTTATGCGCCACCCTGATCATTATCTTGGTTCTGGAACATTCTTTTGGGCACATCACGAGAAGTTGTTAATCATTGATCAATTGATTGCTTTTGTAGGCGGAATCGATTTTTGTTATGGACGTTGGGACGATTCAAAGCATTTACTTACTGATTTGGGTTCTGTTCAGTTTGCTGATCAATCTACTAAAACAAAAGTAATTTCTGTTGTAATTTTAACTTTTTAATATTTTTTCAGGTCTCAGTTTCCACAACTGGTGATTTTCAAGAAATTAAATTAACTGAAGAGCATGAAACTAATGTTCAAGAGAATGGTGAAAATGTAAAAATATTAGAAAAAACAATCATTGATGGAAATAAACCAGCACAAGGTGGTCGTTTTAAAGATGTAATGCAACGTGCAGTGGACAGAATTCGTTCTAGCCGTTCAAGAGAAGCAACTCCAACAACAACAAACACTCCAAACCAATTATCAACTCCTGAGGAAGCTTTTACATCCGAAATAAAGAATGTTACTCCAAGTATACGTTTCAATAATTTTACTGGAAATTTGTCAGCATTAGAAGAGCACGATTCCACATCAATAACTAATGAAGAAAATTCTACAAGAAATTTTGAAAGCAATGGAACTGAAAAAATAGATAAAGCAAAGTTTATTTTAACTTATTTAATTGATTAAATCTTAAATTTAGAGAAAAAAGAAATTCTATTGGGGCTATTGCATTGCTTGCTTTTCCAATGGAACCTAAACAGCGAACTTTGGTGAGAAGAGTTGTTTCTAACTTGAGACCAGAAAAAGCAAGACGTCGATGGAGATTGGCATTACAACCATCAGAAGAAACACATGATGAATATATTGTTAAGTAAGTTGCTTTTAATCTGAATTAATAAAATAATTATTTAAATATCCATTGTGGGGAGGTCGATTGTGAGATTTGTAGTCTCACGTCATTATTACAAACCTTTATTTTTTTATTTTAAATTAATTTTTAAGTTATTGTCGTCTCCAAGATTCAAAAGTAGATATGTCAGGACTTCAAGGTGCTGGTAAATTGTGGCCTGGAAAGGATTATGTTAATTTTGTTCACAAAGATTTTGTTGATGTTGATATCGCATTTAGTGGTATTTAACCTTAAAATTATTAGAACTTATTTTTAGTTTGTCAGATTTCATTAATCGCTACGATAAACCAAGAATGCCATGGCACGACATCCATTCTATTGTTTATGGGTCGGCGGCCAGAGATGTAGCCAGACATTTTATTCAGCGATGGAATGCCACAAAGGTTTAATTTTTTAAAATTATTTTTAACTATCCTTTTTTTAGACAGAAAAACTCAAAGACAACAATGCTTATCCCTATCTCGTTCCAAAATCATACAATTCCGTTCGAGTGCCAAAAATATTCTTTAGCCCCGAAACTCAACGTGTCGAAGTTCAAGTTTTACGTTCAGTTTCTCATTGGTCAACATTAATTGACAAAACAGAAGATAGTATTCAACAGGCTTATGTGTCCTTAATTGCAAATTCTCGTCATTATATTTACATTGAAAATCAGTTTTTTGTTTCATTAATTAACAGTACGGATGTTAATAATGGTGGGTAAATTAAAGATTAATATTATTCAAAAATCATTGACTAGGTTTTTAATTATAATTATGATTTTAAATATTTAATGAATAAACTCCAGAAAAATAATTGACTTTAAATTTGGTTAAATTATAAAATTAATCTCTTAATTTTTTAGAAATATGTCGTGTCATTTGTGATAGAATAATCAGAGCCCATCGGTAAAATTTTCAATTTAGTTTTCATTCTCATAAAATTTAGGGAAAATGAAACATTCCGTGTTTTTATATTAATTCCACTTTTACCTGGTTTCGAGGGCGATATTGGTGCTACTTCTTATTCTGCATTGTTGGCCGTCCTCCATTGGACAATGCTTTCAATTGCTAAAGGAGAACATTCAATGGTTGAGAATTTAAGGCTAGCTGGTGTTGATAATGTACAGAAATATATTTCTTTTTGTTCACTTCGCACTTGGGATTTACTTTGTGGGAAAATGGTTATCTTTTTAAATTTATTTTTAAATTTTTTGTCAACTTTTAGGTAACAGAGCTTGTTTACATTCATTCCAAATTGTTAATTGTTGATGATTTATATACAATTATTGGCAGTGCAAATATTAATGATCGTTCTCAAGCGGGTAATCGAGATTCTGAGGTTTAATATTTTTGATTTTTTCTCAGTTTTATTTAATTTCTAAGGTTTGTTTACTTATAACTGACCATGAATTTATCGAAACAAAAATGAACTACCAACCTTATAAAGCCGGGAAATTTGCCTTTTCACTTCGAAAACGTTTGATGATGGAACATTTGGGTCTTTTAGAAGGAACATATCCGCGAGTTAAAGCACCTTCAACAATTCAAATTAATGTAGAAGATCCTATTAGTAATACATTTTATGAAGATATTTGGTGTAGAATAGCAGAATCAAATACTAGAATTTATGAAGAAGTGTTTAAAGTATTCCCTACAAATTTGGTATGTTTTTTGTGTTTTTGTGTAATATATGGGTTGTTATTTTTAAATACATGGGTTGTTATCTCGTTGTCCAAATTTTAATTTTTAGCGCCGCAGGTGAAAATTTGAGAATTTTAGAAGGTCGAAAAATTCACTTTTTTGCCCACCCCTCCTTAAATTTCTTCCTTTTCCCCATTTCGGGGGGGGGGGTGGGGTTGGGAGGGGTGGGGATTCCCTCGCCTACCCCCTGGCTACAGGCCTGGTTTTTACTCCTTTTCTGTTGCATTTTGTAATTTTTTTATTATTTTTTAAAATTAATTTTAGGTTGAAACATTCGATGAACTTCTTGCTTGGCGTGCTGAAAACAAATTAGCAGATGATGATCAAGATGTGGCAAAAGAACACCTTTCAAAACTTGTTGGTTTTTTGGTTGAGTTTCCAGTCAATTTTCTTCGTAAAGAAAATCTTTCCCCAACTTTTGCTTCAAAAGAAGGTTTAGTTTCTTCTTCGATTTTTACTTGATTCTCTCCAAAATTCTAAGCATCGGTTATTATTTTATACATGTATTATGAAAAAGTTTATTTCGACACACATTGAGGCCTTAATCTACCTAACAAGGGAACATCGTTTTCTGTCAGTGCGAATTTGATATATTTTTTGGTACCATTCGATAGAGGACCCTCGACTTAGTATTGGCGTGATCCGTTTTTTTGCAAAATAGTTTGGGCCGTGCTCCTCTATCGAATGGTACCAAAAAATATATCAAATTCGCACTGACAGTAAACGATGTTCTCTTGTAAGTCAAGTCGAGAGACTTAGAATATTTATGTTTTTCTAATTACCTAATCTAATTAATTTTTAAAGAAATATTTAATGTCAGTGACATTTGTTTAGTAATCTCTATTTTGTATATTGAGAATTTGTTCTGAACTTTTTTTTTAAATTTTATTTTTAAATTACGATTTATTTTTTCCTGTGATCATACAAAATAGAGAATATTTAAATTTTATTTTCACGACTTATTCCTTCTTATTTCTCTTGCCATACATAGTCTGTCGCTTTTCTGAACTTAGTCAGTTTGTTTTTATGACTTAAAAACATTGTATACTATTTATAATATTTAGGAAAATATTCTTAAAAGATGCAGCTAATATATAAATATACTTATTTAATAATAAAAATTTTTAAAATTTACTTCTCTATTATCAAACCTCATTTGTAGATATGCCCCCTTTGGTTAGCCTTAGCTGTAGTAATTAATACACTCGATTTAAGATGTAATTTTTTAGCCACAAGGGGTATATCTACAATTGAGGTCCGATTAACTATTAAATGTATGTAGCTTTTTGCATGGTTTTATATTTTATTCTACTTAATTTTTGATAAAATTTTTTCTTTATTTTTTGAATGAAATATTTATTGAGATAATTTTCAATAAAAATACATTGCCTAATTTATTTTGATATAGTAAGGAATAAAGTTTTAACATTAATATGTATAATTATTATAATTTCTTTGAATAGTACCATTTAAAGTTTCAAGTACCTAAACCAGTAGGCCATATTGAACAAGGCAAATATAAGTGGAAATAATATCCCTGCAATATTTAAAATTTTCGAAAACTAAGCAAATTTATTAGCTAATAAGTTAGTCCCAATCAAAAAAATCCCCCATTATTTCTAAAATTTACTTGAGATATAATCAGCCCTTTTTGCTGGATCTACTTCTGCCTCTAACCTTCTAATTAACCTTCCAATTAAAGGAAGTCTTCGACCAAATATTAACAAACAACTTTGTTCCCTTTCATTTTGTCTTCTTTGTTGTGGAGGGGATGGGAGTGAAATTGATGTTTTATTTTCATTAAAATATTCTTTGTTATCATTATTTATTTTAGTTGAATTTCTTTGAATGCTTTCATCCGATGAAGATAATGTTTTTTGCTTTAAAATAGGTGGTGGAGGAGAATTAGGGATATCAGCTCTTCGAACCCAAACTTCTTCAATTTCATCATCCTTTAAATAAAATTTAAAAAAAAGTATTTAGAAAGAAGTGGTAAATATTAGGTTTTCGAGGCCCTGCACCGAACTTTGCTGATTCAAATATGTAGTCCGAATTTTCGGACAGAAAAAATTAAATAACCAACATATAAGTACTAGAGATTGGTCTGGATTCAGTCGGATTTTTCCTGGATCCAGATTCAGGATTTTTGAGAATACCGATCTCTAGTACATACTATATTTTAACCAAAAAGTTATAAATATTTTTTATTAATAATCCCAGTTATTGAAAGTATTTGCTTCCACAAAATTTAGATAGTTTACCATAAACTGTGTAGTCAATGGAGTATAATGTAAACTCGGCCTATGAGTTAATAAGTTTGGAGGCATTTCATATCCTGGACATATTGAAGGCCGTTGTGATTGAGGATTGAAAACTGAAAGTAAACGTCCTTCTCCTCTATATCTTGCCAATACTCTATTATTTCTTGTTCCTATTTTTAAATTATTTTTAAATTAAAATAATATTTAAATACTTTTATAAAACATTCTAGATGATATATAAGTAACACAGGCAAATTCTAATAATGCCGAAAAAATAAATGCTAGACAGGCTTGAAAAAAATATATGATTTAAATAAATTAATAGATAGTAGTCGAATCTCGATAACACCTCTCCCCGTTAGCACCTCCCTCTCCTTCTAATACGTCTATAAAACTCGGCCCTGATAGTGACTCGTCGAGACTCGACTTTGTTACAATTTCCTTACCACCACACCAAATATCAATTGCTTTACTGTAACTAACAGGTGGAAGTTTAGCTAAGAATATTTATTTTAAATTAAAATTTATGAATGATATTTTATTTAAATTATTTCTATCTACCATTTATTCCTGACGTTTGAGTAGTCATTGTTAATCTTAAAGAAAGATATTAGGAAGGGTAGGAATTTGAAAAATTATATGTAATTAAAATATAAAAACTAACAAAGTAGTAACACCCAGAGTAACCCTTGCAGGAACAGCTGTACGATCCAACCAAAATGATACCCAAGAAACAATAACCAGCATAGATGATGGAATATATAATTGTAATAAATAATAACTAAATTGCCTTCTTAATTCCAAAACTGTCCGTAAACATCTTTCAAAAACAAAAAAGGATATTTTAAAAAATAATTTATTTAAATACGAGTAAGTCCCAGTATTTGTTTTGGATGTACAATATCCAGTAGAAACATTAGTTAATTGAAAACTAGGTAAAGAGGATTCTAGACCCTGTTTTAATTGAACAGGTTGAACTTCCTTCCAACGATATTCTAGAAATTAAAAATAATCTGAGTACTTAATTCTAATATATACCAATATCAGTATCTGTATAAGCATATGATGCCATATCAATTAAACAAGTTTGGACATCCATTGGATAATACTTTTTAAAAAAATGTTTATTTTTATTTTAAATTTAATATTTTCGTTTGTAAGAGTAAACACACTAAAAATGTGTTTAATCCCCCCCCCCTATGGATTTCGTGGATCTATATCTCGGTCCACAGGCATCTACGAAAAAATATAGTAACGTTCGACTCAGCTCGTCGAGATGAATCAAATGGTATGGGTTCTTTCTTCGGTATACTAAACTATATCCATATTTTCTTTACAAGAATGTTAAAATTCTCAAATTAGCTTTTAAAGAAAATATAAAGAAAAAACCCTCGCTAACTTGCTCCAAATTATTATTAAGGCCAATAATAAAAAAACTTAAAAACAAATTTATTAATTACTTGAAGAAACATAGGACAAGAAAGAACAAGTGAAATCCTCACACTATACAAAATTCTACCATCCTAAATATTTTTAAATTTAAATTTAATTTGAAAAAACAATTTACTTTATGTATTCTAATAAGTACATTAGGCTTGTCAATTTCGTGTTTCCTTGCTTGCTTTTCATTCTAAAAAATTAATTTTATTAAAAATATTAAATTATTTATTTTGTCTCTTTAATAATGATCGGGTTGGGAATGTTATACGAGAATCGAGATACTAAATATCTTAAAAAATATTGAACAGATTTTTGTTTGAGATCTTAATTATTTGATTTATTTGAGATTATTTGAGATAATTATTTGAGATTTGAGATTATTATTTGAGATTATTTGAGATCTTAATTAATCGACCACCCTTTCTAAATAATTTAAACAAAATTACTTGAAAAAAAGTATCAGGCATCCAAATTTGTTGTCCAGCAGTTAAAATAATATGATCGGGTTTTTGATCATTAGGTAATCCATATGCCAATCTTCCATCTACCCATTCCTCTCTAAATGTTAATTGTGTACTATATTCCATATTTACATCATCTATTTTTGATATACTACGTATTAACATATTTATATTTACAACAACTGGGCCGTGATCTCCTTTAAGAAAATTTGAAAAATGTTTAGAAGAAAATAATTAATCTATAACAAATTTTAATTTTTGGAAATTTTTTATTAACAAAGAAGGGCGGGGTAAGATCCGCCTAGCCTAGTTGATAAAATAAAAATTGATGGTATGTGTAAACTTTTATTAACCTGTTAAAGTACAAAAACTAAATTTATCCGAAAATATATTGTAACTAATTTTCGGATAGATTCGGTTGATTTATTAAAATTTATATTTAAAAATTATTAAATTGAGGAAATATTTTAAATTAAAAACCATCTAAGGAAAGATTTGTTCCTGGTGGACGAACACGCCAATCATAGCCCCGATTGAGCAATTGTGAGAGAATTTCAGTATCAGAACTTGGACTGCTCCTAAAAAATAAATTTTTCTATTAATTTTTAAAAATAAATATTCAAATAAGGTTCCAAATTTTTTGTTAATTCGTAAAGATTAATTCAAAAAAAATCAACAATATTTACCTTGAATTAACCATTTTAATATTAATTATTAAAATAAATAAAATAAAAATATTTTTAATATTGTAAATTCCATTATTTGAGAAATTGATGAAAAATAATGAGAAAAATGATGAAATTAATAATTTAAATTTTTGTATAGAAAATAATAAATAAATTTTAATTTGTTTAGAAAACATGCAAAAAATTAAGAATATTTTCTTAAATTAATTTTTAATTAAAAAAATAATAAAAAGAAAAGTAATAATCAACTCTCATTATTAGAGGCATGTGAGATGACATTCGGTCTTGGGGTCTAGTTTTGGTCTTGAGTCTTGGAAAATTTTTGGTCTCGCATGCCTCACTCATTATTATCAGAGAGAAGGGGACAATCCATTCATTCCTTCTTAACACCTCTTTAGTTCTATTATTTATTTAAGATTATTTTTAATAAAAATAACACGTAAAACTTGAAGAAAAAATACAAATAATAATTGTAGCCTTTAAAGTTATTTTAAAAAAATAGATTTTTAATTGAAAACATGCAATTAGCAGCTTTGTAAATATGTAAAAAGGTATTATTTCTGCTTTTTTCCTTGGGGAAATTTTTTTGTTTTATTTTTTGCAATTATTATCTGCAAAATTTTTAATAATATTTAAATTTTGTTTTAATTTTTAGAAAAATTTCTCGACAAAAATTAATTTAAACAAAGAAGTATTCTATTTTTGATTTTAGTTAATTGTAAAAGAACAAAAATTATTTTAAGAATTTTTGAAAATGTGTAAAAGATATGCTTTCCAAACGAGTTGAGAAATTTAGGTATAATTTCCAGTATAAATATATTAGAATAAAATCAGCTTTACTGTATGTCGAAAAAATTTTTTAAAGTTTTTAATATTTTTTAAATTTAAAAGAAAAGTCCAAAATTTAACAAAAAAATATTTATAAAATAAAAAAATTGACCAAAGGCTAAATATAATTACTAAAAATAAATAAAAAGGATTAGTAAATAATTTCTATTTTTATCATTTATTATGTCATAAACAAAGTTTTTTTCTGTAAAAAAATCTAAATAAATAAATGTATTTTAATCCTTAGAATATCCTGTCAAACACATGTTCCCCTAAAAAGAATTTTATGAACATTTAAATCCCAAAAATGTTGCCGATGTGAGAGAAAGAAGAAGGGAAGAATAAAAAATAAAAAATATCAGAGTAAAACCATCTGATACTAAAAAGTTTTTAAATTTATAAAAATTAATTTTTAATTAAAATATTACAATTCAATAATTAATTAATTATTAAGTTGCTAAAAATATAAAAAATTGGTATTTGAATTAATAAATATGTCTAAAAATAAAATAATTTCAATGAAAAATTTATAAAAATTGAATTTAAAAATTAAAATATTAAATGTAAATTTAATTAAAATTTAAAATTAAATAGTAATTAATTAATTTTTAAATAAAATTATAAAAATTTTATGAATTACTACTAAATTAATATTTATGTGAAAATAAAGCTCATGGAATTTTTATTAGATTTTAAACTAGGGTAGCACCCCGTCCCTCGACAAATTGTTAGGCAAAAACCCTGACCCAAACCCTCTACCCCGGTAAAACCTGAAACGGCACTCCCGCCCCCGGAGGCTCGGAGTGCTACCCTATTTAAAACAGATATGTTATTTGAAAATAATTTATTTTTGACCAAAAATTAACAAGTAAAACACCTTATTGTTTAAAATTATATTTAAATAATTTTTTATTATTATTTTCTAATGGTTGTTTTCATATATTTTTTGTCATTTATTAAATGTACTTTAAAAGAAAACATTTCTTGGCCACCAAATCTGGCAAAATCCCACACGCAAATATTACCAAAAAAAGTAATTTTCATTAAATAAAAAAAAACAAAAACGTAGAAAGAGGGATGGATATAAAAAATAATGAAAAAATATTTTTAAATAATTAAAAAGAAAATAATATTAAACAAGAAATCAGGGTAATCTCTCTTACAATAGTTAAATAGCTTAGAGATGTCCAAGCCCGAAAAAAACCCAAGAAAAGTCTTGAGTCAAGACTCGAGACCAAGAGTCTTGGAAATCTCTACCAATTCTATTCAAAATTAGCGTTGTAATAGAGTTGGGTACGGGGTTTTCAATTTGTTACGAAGAAAAAAGAAAATTTAATTTGGATATTTTTAAAAAAAATAGTGTTTGCTCGGTTAGTTGAACTACCAGATTTATATTTCTTTAAAATGTGTCTAAATATCTATTTTAATTTTTATTTCATTTAAAATTTTGTTAAAAAATAAATTGGAAATATTCCGAATAGATATTCTTTTTATTTGCCAAATAAAATTTTTTGTATTAAATAAAGAGTATTTTTAGCTTAATTAGCCAAATTTATATTTTTTTATTTTAATGCATTAATAAAAAATAAAAATTTTGTGCAAAAAATATTTAAAATTGAAATTTTAGGGAAAAATAAATGAACAGGAAAAATAAAAGGCTAATTTAAAGGAATTGATGAATTTTGAATTTATTAAATAATCTTCGAAAAAAAGAATAAAAATAACTATAAAATATTAATCTAAAATTAAAATAATGTAAAGTAATAGCTATTTAATTCCTAGCGCTGTGCAGGAATTAACTGGCGTGGTGTAATGGCTATCAGAATAGTCCGGCCTACTGAAGCTGGTTCGCTCCTAGCCGCCGATTAACCTTTTGTACTAACGCTGAAGGAGAGAAATAGCTATAGAAAAAATAAGAAAAATACAGCTGCTTTACCATAATGAAAATTTCTTTTAATAAATTGAACAAGATTTCTAACAGACTTGTAGAGGAGATATGTAGGTAATTATTAAAAAATAATTTAAAAAAATATTTCTTTTCAATTTATTTTACAAATAATTGGAAGGTTCAAAAAAATTTTTTTATTAAATAAAAAAATAAAAAAATAATAATAAAAAAGCCAACAATAATTAATTAATACTTGAAGAGGAAAAATAAAATGAAAGAAAAAAGAAATCTGTGCGCGACGGATAAGGCAAAAGGAAATGAAACGGAAAAAAGACAAAAAATAAATAAATTTTATTTTTTAAAATAAAATTAAAAAAATATTTTATTTTTGTAAAATTATTTAAGAAAATATAGACAAAAATAAATAAAAAATAAAAATTAATAGAAAAATAAAAATATTCTTTTTCTTCCAAAAATTTATCAGTTGTATAAATAAATATACTAAAAATCCAAAAAAAAATATTATTTTTTTATTTTTCTTTTCCTTAAAAATATTATTTTCATATTATTTAGAGAAAAAAGTGCTTTTAAAAATAAAAGAAAAGGTGTGCGTGCAATTTTCCCATATTTAAAATTTAATTTAAATAAATAAACTAAAAAATAATTTTTAAACTAAAAAGGAACATTTTAAAAGTTAAAAAAATTCAAAAAAGATTAGTAAATATTTTAAAAATATAAGAAGTTTAAAGTTAAAAATAAAAATAATTAGCAAACAAAATTTTCAAAATAAGAGAGTTTTTAGTTTTGTTTTGAAGTGGTTTATAGTTATTAAGAGTTTTTTAAGCGGTTAATTAACAAAAACAAACAAATGAATTTAGGTATATTTTTGATTTTAAGTAATTTTACTAAAAATTTAAAATATTTAAGAGTTAAACTAATAATGAAATAATTTTATTGAATTATGTAAATTGTTTAATTAGGATTAAAGTGAATGGAAATTTTATTTCTTTATATGTAGAGTAAGAGCTAGAGCATTTAAAACGCTCACTAGGCGGCGGCTAAAATACGAGGTAAAAGTTTAATCCCGGGTTTGCTTCGATCCTGCGACTACTTGCAGTTATTGATAAGTGTTTCCGCTCTCCCCGTACAGGTGCTCTGCCGACTGAGCTACCGGGATGCTGCTCTCACCTTCTCTGTTAATAGGTAGACAAACCTTAAACCCCCGCCTAGTGAGCGTTTTAAATGCTAGCCAGCTGGATCTTTGTCTTCCTTACTATATAATTAATCGAGTAATTCAAATATTTTTTGATTAAGAAAATATGAGAACATATAAAATTATTAAAAATATTTCTTTTGATTGTCTATTCAAATTTATTAAAAATATGTAATTAATTTAAAATTTTATAAAAATATTCTTTTTTACCTTTCATTTTCCTTTTTATCATCAAAAAACTTCAAAACTTCTTCTTTCGTTGTTGATTCAATAATTCCTTCTGCCGCTAACCAATTATTATTTAAATATTTACTAGTAATTGTTGTTGTAGCCTTAATTTCTTTAAAATTATTTTCTTCTTCTTTTTCGTCCAAATCCTCCAAATAATATTCAATTTCTTCATATATAGGCTCTTCATCTTCATTATTATCAACAAAATCTTTATCTTCCTCTAATTGTTTATTTCTTTTTTTATTTTCACTAAATATAGCTAAACGGGGAGGTTGCACAAATAATTCATTATTATTATTGTGTTGACGAATTTTATGTAATAATTTATTTGGGGATGGAATTGGTGTTGTATTATTTATTAAAATATTTTTTGTAACACTCATTGATTGACTTAAATTTATAATAAAATAAAAATATTTTAATTATGAGTGATTAAATTAATAGAAAATACCTAATAATTTGAATTTTGGAAGCCACCCATTTTTTCCCAATTTGATTGGATATAATTTTTATATCCTTGATTCAATCCAAGTGAAGCTTATATCATTCGAAAGCTCTCGATGAGCGCTATCTTTTTACTGGATGGACTGGATGGATCAAGTCTAATCACCCATAAAATGTTATGTGGAAAACACGATTTCTTGCACTTTTATGTCATAACTATTTTACGAGTAATCAGACTTGATCCATCCGGTTGGGAAAAAGATTAAGCGACTATCAAGAGCTTTCGAATGATATAAGCATCACTCGGATTGGATTAAGGATAGAAAATTTATATCCGATCAAATTAGGAAAAAAGAAAAATGGGGGGAGATAATAGACAAGTATCCTATCCTTTTATCAAAATTTGATGGGAAGGGGAAGGGGGGGGGGGGTGAAGGGGGACGGAGAGACAAATTAAATTTTAAATAAAAATATTTTATTCAAAAAACAAACCAATAATTAGCAAGAAAGACTTGATTAAATATTATAAAAAATAAAAATAAATTAAATCCTCCCTTCAAAATCAAATAAATAAAAGAAATAATTAAAGCAAATAATTTAGTAATTAAATAAATAAATGTTGAAATTAAATTTAATAGAAAAAATAAAATATTTAATTTTTTAGTAGAAAAATTAGTAATTTTATAAAGGCAATTTTGTGTTGTTTTATTTAAATCAACAAATAATTCTTTAAAATTTTCTTTTATTTGAAAAATAGCGGATATTTTATTATTAAATGTTGTTAAAGACTCTCGACAATTGACAAAAATTATTTGAAGATGTTTTGTCGATAAAGAAAAATTTAAAAAAGAATAAAAGGAATTGTTGTTGTTTAGGGGGCAATTTAACAATACTTTTTTGTTAATTTTATTTTTGTTTTTGTTGCTCTTCATTTATTTATATTGACGTCAATTGTTGTATATTAGGAAACAAATAAATGTTTTTTTCTAACTTAAAAAAATTATTCTTCAAAGTAAAGTTTCCGAATTTATCATATTTCGGAACAGAGATTTTGTCGAGTTTTGGTTGAGGTCGGGTTGGAGAGAAGAGAGGATTTGCAAATTATAGGGATAAAAAATTTAATTTTTATTTGATATAAAAACTCTCTGTAATTATTTTTGTTTTTAATTATTTTGGCCTCTGATCTTTTTAAGAATTTACGGAATAGAACCACCGGAATCTCAAGAACTTGTGAGAAATAAAATTAAAGAATTGTATAAAACATCTTTCAAAATAGTAAGACGAGAATAACGAGAGCTAAATACGACGGGACCACTTAGGAGGAAATCAACGCATAACTCGATTCATTCATCACAAAACTTTCAAGTATTATTAATAGGGCTGACAAAATAGCCCGACTCGGATCGAAAACGGCAACCCTAATTATTAAGAACAAAAATTAAATATCTGTATAATAAAATCTATGAAGGTTTCCTAAATATGTATAATTAAAATATACTTTATCAACTTAAAAAAGACCAAATGCTTGTCATTTCCATACTATAAAGTTGTATATTTTTTCAGCATTTTATAAATAGAAAAATTTGTGTCTGTTAAATATCTCTTTTTCATTATTTATTAAATGACCAATTTGTGGAAATACTTTTATAAATTTAGCGCTAATTTGCCTCAAATTTCTGACATTACTAATATGTGTATTGGCAAATGTTTTTCCCTATTTATATTAATTTAATAAATAACACAACTTAATCCACAGACTTCGAAAATTTAAAATATAATTTCAAAAGTATCTAAAAAATATTTTTGTTCAATTTTATGGCCCTAGAATACTCTTAAACAATTAAAGTTAAACTAAAAAGACTGCAAATTCACTTTTAAAATTAAAAAAAATTTTATCCCTCAAAATAAAATTTTATTTCCAAATCCCAAATAATTTTTAATAAAAATAGAATACTTATTTAAAAAAAACAGAAGCAAATCGATAGAAAAAAAACTTAGGAACACATACATAAGAACACACAAAATTGAATTTTCTTGTAGAAAACCAAAATAATCCTCCAAAAATTTATTTTGATTGATACATCCATCTAAAATTTTTATTAATTTAAAACTTTTTTGTTTAAACGGCATAAAATGATTACTCACTCGAAGGGAATATAATTAGTGAGGAGTAGAGACCGGCCTAGGTCTGGATCAAGGCCTGAGTTTTTCCTGTACCCAAAGTCCAGGCATTTTTAAATCTTCCCTGGTCTTTCCTATGCCTGGGTTCTTCATGGACTACAGGCCCAGGATCAAGCCCAGGTCAATAAATCAAACCCAGAACCCAGGAACAGGCCCAGGCATTTAAAAAATACACATCTTTAATGAGGAGAATATACAAAAATTTCTAAATACCTTATTTTTCTCCAACATTTAAGAAGACAAATGACGAATACTACGTCGATGCGTTGGCTTATCTTCTTTTTCAAGTTTAGTGTTTTTCTTAGTAAATTTAGCCTTTTTCCCTTTCTTGTTTCCAATATTTTTCGATTTCTCTTTATCCTTCTTATCATCTTCATTATTTCCCCCTTTCATCTCAACATCTCCATTTGGAGGACTTTTGACTGGTTCAACTTGCAATTCAAAACTATCAAGTTCTTGAAAACTCTTCTCCAAAGTATTTATCTCTGCCTGAATGAATAAACATTTAAAATATTAAAAAAGGGAAGGAAAAATAGATAAAAGTAAGGTTCAAAGGCATTACAAGTAGGGTTGTCAGTTCCTGAAAATTATTCAGATATCCGAAACCGAACCGAAATTTTTTAGTGAGTGTCTGAAAATTTTGCGATTTTTGGAATATCATTATGTCAGGATCAGGTCTGTAACCCGGGTCCCGGGGGCTTCTAAAATTCTCAAAATTTTCGCATGCGAAAAATCCTTTGTTCTTCGGTTCGGTCCAGAACTGACAACCCTATAATCCCTAAAGGAATGAGATCTTTAAAATATAATAAAATTAAATACCAAACACTCCTCACTAAGCTTTTCATCAGCTTTTGCTTCCAATTGCATACTATAACGCTTAACAATTTCATCAACATTTTTCTGAGGATTGCGCAAATTAGCCGGCATCGTCAGACGTCGAGGTTTCATTCGTTTTTTAAGTTTAGGAGTTGAATAAATACGCATCAAAGGCTCTTTAGAATTATTTTTAGATGTTGAAGGCATTTTTAACTAAAAAACTAATAAAATTAGAAAAGGACTAATTAACTAAAAAACTTAGAAAATCAATATGAAAAACAGCAAAAAAATCAATTAAAGACAGTGACGAATTTAAAGTAAATTTGCCCGCCATTAAAAACAGAACGCCAAATAATTACAATTAATTATTTTAAATTTTTCTGAGTCTAAATTTTAATTTTTAAGATTTTGTTTTAATTTACTGATAAATTTTTTAATTTTTAGCTATCAAAAAATCGATGAGAAAATTGCATATTGAAATCAGATTGGAAAATTCAACTTCAAAAAATGATGAAAACGACGAGAATTTAATTAATAAAATTAAGCAAATTATGCCTCAATTTATTTTTAATCCTCATACATTTTTGCCAAGTGATGAACAAAACAATAAAATTGGAAGAAATATTTTACGGGTTTTCATTGAATGTTTAGATAAATCGAGAGGAAGTGTAAGTCTTTTTTTAATTAAATGATTTTTTTAAGTCTGAATATTTTTTCTGGCTATTTACACGCCCAAAACGGCGCGCGGCCATAACGGCACAAAGCCATAGCTTGCTGGAAAATTTTGCTAGCCCTTATAATTTTTGGTACCAATCTCTTTAGCTCGATGAGAGGATCGTTTAAAACTAAATTTGTTAAGATTCGTAAATCTTGAAGCAGGTTATGGCTTTGCGCTTTTATGTCCGCGCGTCTACCCTATCTGAGTTTTAACTAATTTAATTCGTATATTTCTTTAAGTCGTGGTGCGACACTTGGGGACGGACTTTTGCGGACCGACATTTGAGGATGGACATTTTTAAGTCAATCCCGTCTAGTATTTAGCTTTCTGATTCTCAAGGGCAGCACTTTTCGTTTTGTTAAAGAAAAACATTTTAAAATTGGCTCTTGTTACACCCAAATTTCGTTTAATTTTATTTATTGAAGCCATCTTACATTACAAATATTTTTATATTTTATAAATTCGACAATTTTTAAGAGAATTGATCTCACAACTGAACGTTTAGAGGCTGCCAATTACTATTTTTATACTGCAAATAATTATGGTGAAATGGCTGAAGAAGTTGCTGAAAAGGAAAATAATGAGGGAGATAGCCAAGTTGGCACATTTCAGTGGGAATTGCCAACAATTGAATTTGAAGGATTCTGGGAAAATTTAATTTATGAAATTGAGGATTGTCCAAAATCTAAGGTTTTTTATAAAATAAAAATCATCGTATTAATTTAATTTTAGCTAACAAACTTTATTTCGACTTCTTTGAAGTTTGCTCGTTTTGGTGTTGATCCAAAAATTCTATCAAGAAATCATCTCATACTTTTGAATGGTATTTTTTATTTGAACTAGCTTTTTTGACGTATCCCTTTATTTTATATGTTCACATATAGGATCCTTAATTTCTGACATGTCAAAAAATTTACTAAAATTTTCTTTTAAAATTTTTTAATTTCGTTTAGAACTAATAAGGGAACATCCCGAACTATGTAAAATAAATTGTAAATTTTTTGGGATCAAAGTAGAGCTGTAAGCTTAGGCACTTTTTAGTTTTCAACTATAATTTCAACTTTCTCTACATTTTAAAAAATATTTTTTATATTTTATGTCCTCCTGGTACCGGCAAAACATCTCTATGCAAAGCTGTCGCTCAAAGAATGGCACTACAAACACAACGAATGTTTAATCAAACACTTTTTGTTGAAGTTAACAGTCACAGTCTTTTCTCAAAATGGTTTAGCGAAGTAAAAAATATTTTTTTAATAAATTAATTTTTATTTTAAAATTTAATCTTTAGAGTGGAAAACTTATCCAAAAATTATTTTCTAAAATTGAGGAATTGGCAGAAAGAACTGATCGTTTAATTTTTGTTTTGATTGATGAGGTTTTTCTAGAAAATATTTTTATTTTTTATTTAAAAAGGTTGAAAGTCTGACAATTGGACGGGAGACTGCTTTTTCTGGAAATGATCCGACAGATTCGATTAGAGCAGTTAATGCAATGCTTACACAACTGGATAGATTAAAACGGTAATATAAAAATTATTTTTAATAAAAAGATTTGGCGATTTCTTATAATTGTTAATTAATTTTTAACTTCCCAAATACTAATTTTTTAAATTAACTGATTATTAAAAGAATTAGTTAAACTTCTTTTCTGAGAGTTTACTGGTCCCTTGAAAAAAGGCGGAGAAAATTCGAGTATGAGATTAGAGTTTGTTCATTTTGAACCCGGATCCAAATTCGACAGGGTCAAAACTGGGGTCGAAATTAAAATTTTGTGGCTAATCTGACGCGCCTCTTCAAGCGGATGTGACATTCATCTCACAATCAGTACACTCGATTACCTACTGGCAAACCTCAAAAATATTTAAAAACTTTTTCCTCATTTTTCTGGGAACCAGTAAACTCGACCTTTACCCCTTTCGATTTTTTAACCACAACAATAAAGAAAGAAAATAATTTTCTAAAATTATTTAATTCTACAATCTATTTTTAAACAGTTTTTCAAATGTTTTTATTCTTTGTACTTCAAATATTGAAAGGGCATTGGATGCTGCTTTTGTCGACAGAATTGGATTATCTTTATATTTTAAAAGCCCTACTTTGGAAGTAATTAATTCAATTTTAACAAATTGTATTGATGAAATGAAAAGAGTTAAAGGTCTTTTTGCTAATGATGGTGGACAGCCTGATTGGTGGACAGAAAATTTAGAAAATGAAATATTTAAAAAGATTTCAAGGTTTTTATTTAAATATTTGTTAAAATTTTTTTATGATTTTTAATTGGAAATTTTTTTGGAGTTTAAATTTGATTACCTAACATAACTTGAAATAATTTTCTCCAAATTTAGCTGTTCGGAATTATTGGTAATTTTAAAGAATTTTTGCCAGAAAAAATTAGGTAGAATTTCCCAATACTTTGATTTAATGATGGTTTTTTCATGAGAATGTTTGTCTCTTAACAATTAATATTTTGCAATTACTGCTCGTGTCAGATATACGATTCTACACATAATTTAGTTTTCAATTTAAAAATTTCCATTTGAATATTTTTCTCTAATAGAAAATTCTTCAAAAAAATTTTTCGTTCTTTTATAAATTTATCAAAAAAAATTTTTCTTACCTTTCCAGTAACTGTCAAAAAGCAAAATTAAGTGGAAGGGCTCTTCGAAAATTGCCAACAATTGCTTATTCAATAGCTGCACAAAATTTTGATGAAAATGATTATGGAAGTGGAGGATCGTCAAATATTACATTTCCAGAATTTATTTATTGTCTTTATATTGAATCTGAAAGATTAATAAATAAGGAAATTGAGGAGGAGGATAAAAACTTTAAAGAAGAAAATAAAACTTCGCCATTCAATTTGGATAAATTACGAGATTGCTTACAATTAACACAAAAAAATGGTTTTTAATTGTTTGTTTTTTAACTTTTTTTAAATTTTTTCAACAATAAAAGTTTAATTTATTTTTAAAAAATTATCAGAAACGGACACCTTCTTGATCGAAAAATTCAACTTCAATAAAACTTCAAATTAGGAATTTAGGAATAATTTTCTGTTAATAATTCTTGAACTAAAAAAGTTTACATAAGCAAGAAAATTAACTAAAAGTTTTGTTCCTACTAGTACCGAAAATCTTTTCTAAAATAAGTGATTGTAAAAATATAAGTGAGTAAAACGAGAAAATTAGGGATTATCTAAACTTTAAGATTTTTAATTTTTTTATAAATTAAAAAAATTTTGTCTCGTTTTATGATTTATGTTTTAAAATTGTTACGTTTTTCTTTGTTTTTATTTACATACTTTAAAATATTTTCAAAAAGAATTAATGGAAGTCCTTATTTCAAAGTCAGAAGCCAATTAAAAATTAAATTTTACAAATTTAATACGTGTGATTAATTACAGTAATTTGTAAAAAGAATTAAAAAATGATTAAAAAATAGGATTTAAAATAACAAAAGAATCCCTAAAATAGTTTTTTTTCGAAAAGGATTCTGATTAAAAAATATTTTTGTTGCCAAAAGTTTAAAAGTTTTTGGGTTTGCTATATAAAATTGTTTGTTTCATTATTTTCATTCAAATTCTTTTCTCCAAATTCCCTTCCATTTGAATAAAATGAAATTTTTTCTATTTTTTCTCCTTTGTTTTTCAAAGAAAAGTTTTGAGCAAAACTTGACACAATTATTAACTACAACATTTAATTCTAACATATCAACAACAACAAAAACAACACTAAAAACAACAACACCTCCACAAACAACAACAAAAACTTCTTTTTCTTCTTCCAACCAAACAATACCTTTACAACTTAAAGTTGGTTTGTTGGCGGCAAATGGAAGTTTATATCGGTCCCTTTATGGCTTTGGACAAAGCACACCAGCAATTAGTATAGCTTTACAAAGGGCTAGGGATGAACATTTGATTGATAATGTTAATTTTACGTATGTAAATTTTAAAAATTAAATAATATTAGTTGGTATTATTGGGTTATCCGTTCGCATTTTCTTTTCTTCTGTCTCGTATTTTCATAAGTTGAGAAAATGTTTTTGGAAGTAAATTTTTCGATAAAATTTGTAGGTAATCTGGTCCAAAAATTTTTGATTCAATACATAAATTATATGATTTTTGATCTTCTTGAGAGTGAAAAAAGTACCGTAAATATCCTAATATAAGCCCTGGGTTTGTATTTTTCAATACCCATATCGGGTGGGCTTATAATAGGGCATGGGCTTCTATTAGGATGTTTACGGTATATAAAATAGAATTCGGGCGGATAACCGATAGTACTTTTTAGTTTTACATGGAAAATATGTGATTGTGATCAAGTTTTAACTGCTGGATATGTTAATGAATTGATCTTAAATACAAGTGTTGATGTTATTATTGGACCACCATGTGTTACTTGTAAATAATTTTAAAAATTAAACATTTATTTCCTTACTCCTCGCACTTCTATCAAAAACATAGATCCCTTCATTTATAGTTAAGGATTAAATTAGAAATTATTATAACAGCAAAATTAGTATTGTTTAATCCTGGTAGTTTGTTTTTATCTCATAATTTTGTTTTAGTCTTATAATATCTTATAATTTAACTCATAACTTTCTCATAACCCTCTAGTCTTCTCAAATTAATTTAATAATTTTTATATAAATTGTTTTTTAATTATTCTAAAGCTGCAATTGTTGCTGGTTATGCTCCCGCATTTTACAATATTCCAATATATCTTTGGGGTGCAACAATGGCTTCATCATTAAATGATCAAACAGTATATCCAACATTAGTTAATATAAATTCAAATACAAAAATGTATATTTTAATGAAAAATTATTAAAATAAAAAAATAAATTTTAAAGGCTTTCATTAGCTATACAAGCTGTTTTAACACAATTTAATTGGTTTGAAGTATCTTTAATTTATGTTCCGGATAATGTTAGAAAGTATTTAATTAAATAATATTTTCTCTGAATAAATTAATTTTTAGAATGGGTCTTTTCTTTCCTCAAGATTTTGAAACAGTTATAAGTAATAATTCGAATTTTACAATTGTTTACAGACAACAAATGGATTCAACATCTAAATCAATGAAGGATACACTTTTACAATTGCAGAATCGATCAAGAAGTTGGAATTAAACTTGAAAATATTTAAATAATAAATTAATTATTGTGGGATCGAAATGATTTCGAATGAAATTCGAAATGAGTAAATATATTTTATTCCATGTTTTTCGGAAAGGTTAAAAATCGCTATTTGCCTTCAAAATACGGCAGAAAGCGGAAATTTAGGGGTGTTCATATAATTATGTGGCGGAGTGTACAAAGATAACAAAATTAAAATAAAATTTGATACTAAAATTAAATTTCAAAATATTTTAAAGTTGTTGTGGCTGCCTTTGATACATTACAAGATAGGAGAACATTTTTGTTAGCATTATATGACCTTGGAATTGCTAAAAGCAATGAATATGTTTTTATTATTGGACAATTAAGGAATTTAGGAATGTTACAAAGAGGTAAATAAAAATTAAATTTAAAATACATTAAATTAAAGTATCTACTGGAGTAAATTCAACACAATATACAAATTTTTGGAGGGATATTAATAATCAAAGTGATGGGCGTGATAATGATGCGTTAATGGCTAGTAGAAGAGTAATAATTGTATGTGTTTTGTTAGAATGGATGTTTAAATTTTTTAATTGAGAATTCTTTAGAGTTTTAAATAAAAATAAAGACAAAACCAGGCTTGGTAATGGATACGGATATGGATACAGATAAGTTCAAAATGCCTGCGGATATACCAAAATCCATGTCCATTACCAAGTCTGGACAAAACTAATATATATTTTTTTGTCTGAATAAGAGTTATAATTAAATATTTAAATTAAACACAGGTTGACTTAGAAGACCAATCTAATGATCAAATAAATGCATTTATGCAAAAAGTATCATCAATGTTTGGAGCACCTCCATTTAACTGTAAAGATGAATGTATGGGTGCAATTAATGAAAGAATAGTTAAAATATTTAAACTTTAAAAATTATTAAAAAAATAAATTTAGCCTTGTTCATATGCTATAAGTTTACACGATGCTACTTATGCTTACTTTTTATCATTAAATAAAACAGCTGAAAAATATGGATATTTATCAGTTAATTTAGCAAGAAATGGGTCTTTAATTAATAATATGAGTGAAGGGGAATTTTCTGGTAAAAATTAAAATTTCTTTATTGAACAAAAATTATTTGAGAAAATAAAATAAAAACTTGGGGGTCCACATGGATATTTTTTTGGAGATGTAATACACTATCAGAAAATGATAAGCACTCCTCAGTTTTTAAGTAAAAAACATATTTAAGTTTAAAGTATCATAATTTTAGAATTTTTTTTATGAATTCGACTGTCAGATAATTATAAGCACCCCTTAAGTTTCGGCATTAGGGGCCGTTCGAAAAACTACTTTATTTAAAAAATATTAAAAAAAAATAATATTTTTTAAGGACAAACTGGGCGTGTAATTTTAGATAAAACAGGAAATCGTCAACCAAATTTTTATGTAACAATTTTGGATGCTTCAGATCAACCAACTGTTATAATGAATATTTCTATTGTTTTGGGAGTAATTGTAAGTTTAAAATTAAATGAAAAGTAAAAATTATATTTTAATTTTTGAACGTCGCTAAACGATATACTGACGAATCCGTTATTTGGGCAAATAGAGGAGGAAAGAGACCTTTATATAAACCAATATGTGGATATACTGGGACAGAATGTCCACAAAATATAACAACATATATATTAATTGGTGTTGGTTTGGTTTTGTTATTGTTAGTAGCTACTTTAGGTGGAATTGGTTATGCTGTTCGGTTAGTAGTTAAATATTTTTTTGGAATTTAAAAAAAATTATTTTTTAAAGAGAAAAATTAAAAGAAAAGGAACGTTTAACTAGAGAATGTTTAATACCTTTTGGAGAATTAAAAAATATAAAAGAATTAAAAAGTAATGAAGATATGAGAAGTTTAGAGGCAAATAAAAGTTTAAAAAGTTTACAAAGTAGCCAATCTGGCAGTACAAAATTAACAAGTATGGATGATAAAAAATTGGAAACAGAAAATTATGCACATTTTTTATATAATAGAGAAGTTGCTTTTGCTATTAAATATCAAGTTAGAGTTAGAATATTTAATGAAGATTTTGTGCTTTTGAGAAAGGTAAAAATAAAATATAAAATTATCGTAAATAATTTATCTGCTACAAATTTACCTTACACAATTGTAGGAATATTCTTGAATTATTACAGTACGGCAATAGGGTATTGGGCATTTTATACATTCGGTTCCGACTTTGGCTATTTTCAAATCTGCATGGCTCTAGCTGGAAAATTAATGAATTATTATTTCAAAGTTTATTTTCAATTGAGAGGATATCGAGGGACGAAAATCCATGAGAAGTCTCGCTCGGGTCAAGAATCGTAACCATAGGTCATGGTTTCACAATAATATTTATATAAGCGATGACGCTAATGATAGTTAGCTTTGTGGATAACAGAAATAGATACAGAATTTGTAGCAGACAAATTATATTTTGCTTAAAAGAAATTTAATTTGTTTTTATTAGATACGTCAATTGGATCATGACAATTTAAATAAATTTTGTGGACTTTGTACAGATGCTCCAATTCTTTATGCAATTTGGAAGCATTGTCAGAGAGGGAGTTTAAAAGTATTTTTTAGAAAATAAAAATAAAATTGAAATTAAAAAAAGGATTTAATTGCCAAAGAGCAATATGTCGGTGATTCTTTTGTGATGTTTACTTTAATGAGGGATATAGCTAGTGGATTAATAGCTTTGCACGGGTCATTTGTTGGAGCACATGGAATGCTTTCCTCAGAGAATTGTTTAATTAATGATCGTTGGCAAGTAAAGATTAGCGATTTTGGATTGAATATGATTAGAGAAAGTCAACCAATGTCAAAAAGAAGTAAAAAAGAATATAATTTTATAAATCTCGATTATTTTTTAAGAATTATTGTGGACAGCACCAGAATTATTAAGAGAAAATAATCGAAAAGGAACAAAAGAAGGAGATGTTTATAGTTTTGCTATAATTTGTTGTGAATTAGTTAATAGAGAAACTGTTTGGAATGGAGTTGAAAGAGAAGATGATGTTGATGGTTTGTAGGAAATAAATACAAATTAGTTGATCTTTTTTAAAGAGATTATTTATCGCCTAAGACGAACAAATACAGCAATTCCACACAGACCTCAGCTGCATCCAAGGGAAGAAATTAATCAAAATCTCGTAAAAATTAAAGATAAACAATAGAGACGTCCAAGACCGAAAATTTTTCCAAGACTCAAGACCAGTATTAGAATTTTGAAATTTGCTCGTACTTTCGTACAGGCCTTATTTTTTCAACGTATTTAGTACTTGATATATTAAGGTCCTCATTAATTAAAGGGATGAACCTAATACACTCTTAACCACACGGCCATCTGAGGGAAAAGCAAGACCAGGACCGAAAAACCCCAAGAAGGTCTTGGTATCAAGGCTCAAGAGTCTCGGACGTCACTATTAAACAACATAAATTAAATAATTTTTCAGATTCATTTAATACGAGACTGTTGGAGTGAAATTCCAACAGAACGTCCAAGAATAGATCAAGTCAGAACAATGTTAAAACAAATGGTTAGGGATGGGAGTCAAAATTTAATGGATTATGTTTTTGGAATGTTAGAGCAATATGCAAGTTCTTTAGAACAAGAAGTTGAGGAAAGAACTAGAGAATTAGTTGAAGAAAAAAGAAAAAGTGATATTCTTTTATATAGAATGCTTCCAAAACAAGTTGCCGATAAATTAAAATTGGGGGAATTTGTTGAACCAGAACAATTTAGTGCAGCAACAATATTCTTTTCTGATGTTGTTTCATTTACAACATTAGCTAGTAAATGTTCTCCTTTACAAGTAATTAAAATATTCGAAATAAATAAATTATGAATTAAAAAGGTTGTAAATTTATTGAATGGATTATACACAGCATTTGATGGGATTATTGACAGTCACGATGTTTATAAAGTCGAAACAATTGGAGATGGTTATTTAGTTTGTTCTGGAATTCCTCGGAAAAATGGGAATGACCATGCTAAAGAAATTTCTGAACTTGCATTTGCTTTCCTACGTACCGTCTCAACATTTAGAGTTGACCATTTGCCAAATGAACGTGTTAATTTACGTATTGGAATACATACTGGTTAATAAATGAATTGTTAATTTCCTTAAAAAATATTTAAGGACCAGCAGTCGCTGGAGTTGTTGGATTGACAATGCCTCGTTATTGTTTATTTGGAGACACTGTAAATACAGCTAGTAGAATGGAATCTAATGGAAGACGTAAAAAAATAAATTTAATTTCCATAAATTATTCTTTTCCCTCTCAACAGCTGGACGTATCCATATATCAACCACAACTAATCATTATTTAACTAACATAATTGGAGGATATGTAACAGAACCTAGAGGAGAAGTAATTATTAAAGGAAAAGGAGTTATGGAAACATTTTGGCTACTTGGACATTCTGGGGATTCTCATTATCTTGGAGCTGTACCTTCTGATGATAGAGGAAGCCCCGAACCTATGTAGATAAATAAAGATTTGAATTATATGTATGTATAAACGATGAAAAACTATGATCTCTATCAAATTTGAATTTATTAATTTTTTGATTATAAAATTTTATCTGAGGAAATTATATTTGTAAGAAAGAAGTCATTTTCAGTTTTTTAACCTTGATAACTAAAGTGCCATTTTAATTCAGAATTAAAAATGTTCTCAATAATTCAAAAATTCTCCAAAAAATAAAAATGAATAATAAGAAAAGTGGAAAACTTACGGAGAAGTTTCAGTATTAAAAAAATAGGTTGTTCTAATAGAGGAGTCCTTCAAACGGAGGGGTTTTTTCAATCTTCCTTCAAGGGTCCATTTTATTATTTAGAAGGTGTCATGAATAGAGGAAATACGGTAGAAATTTCATTCACTTCTCTCAAAAATACAAAAAACAAAATGGTCAAAAATGTCAGAGTCCGGGAAAGACTGGAGTCTGAGTTGCAAAAGTAATATCTACGGACCATTCTATCCGTGTCCACCCGTATCCGGTGATATCAGAATATTCGCGGATATATCCATATCCGTAAACATGTCTGATTAAAACTAAAAATTCTATTTACAAATAAATTAAAGCTATTTACTAAGTAAATTAATTTGTAGAAATATTTTTCATTTCAAAAGATTAAATTTTTGCTTTTCTAAAAATTTGATTAAAAGAATCCTTATTTATTTAAAAATAATTTAAAATTTAATCAAAAATTAAAATTTTGAAGGTTTCTTGTCTAAAAAATTAAGTAAAGATTATCTACTTAGTTTCTATTGTTGAAGAAAAATAAAGAAAAAACAAATTTTATGTATTTTTAAAAATATAAACCCAAAAAATTAAATTATTTTATGTCTTCCCGCCCACAATTTTTAATTAATTTTAAATTTATTTAAATAGTAACAATATCCCTCATTTAAAAATTATTTGGCAAGCAAAAATGAAATATAGTAGTAATTTTTTAAATTTATTTCCTCTTGTTTCGTTTATTTTGTTAATAAATTTGAATATTTTGGTATGTCAAAACAATTCATCCGAAACAACAACAACAACAACAATAGCAACAACACAATCAGCACAAACAACCCCTAAAGCAATAACAACATCCCAATCTTCAACAACAACATCAACACAACTTTTGCTTAAAGTTGGAATATTGGGGGCTAATTCTAGTGAATTAAGATCTGCTTATGGTTTTGGACAAAGTGTTCCAGCAATTTCTATTGCTATACAAAGGGCTAGAAATGAACATTTACTTGATTTTGTTAATTTTACGTAAAGAATATTTATTTGATTAAAATATATCTTTAATGTTTTTGTAGATTTACTTGGTTAATTTGTGATTGTGATCAAGTACTTGCTGTTGGATATTCTAATAAATTAATTCTTGACCAAAATGTTGATGTTATTATTGGGCCTCCTTGTGTTACATGTAAATATGCCTTTAATAAAATAAATTTATATTAATTTTATTTAAGCCGCAGTTGAAGCTGGATTGCCTCCAGGATTTTATAATATACCAATATTTTTGTGGGGTGCCACAATTGCAACAGTATTTAATGATAATGATATTTATCCAACATTGACAAATATTAATTCTAACACGCAATTGTTTGGAATTAATTTTAATTTATTAAATAAATTTATATTATTAGCCTTGCTCAAGCTGTCGAAGCTATTTTAATGCAATTTGGTTGGTATGACTTCTCATTTATTTATATTCCAGATGATATTAGAAGTTAAGTTTAAATTATAAATTAATGTGTAAAATATGTAATAAAATAAGCTTTTTTCCAAAATCTTTATACATCAAAAAAGTTTCTTTAGCTAGAGTTGTCGGTTCTTGGAAAATCTTCGGATATCCGAAACCGAACCGAAAAATAGTCGATTCTTCGGTTCGGTTTGGTTCAAAACCGACAACCCTATATTGGACTGTTAAATTGTGTGTGCATTAATAAAAAATTGTTAAATCCAAATTTTTATTACATAAATGACAGGGAATGTTACTATAAATCGGGACGGCACGCCCACCTAATTCATAAATATTTCCTCAAAAATTAAAAAAAAATAATTTTTTTTTAAATTTTAGGATGGGTACTTATTTTGCACAAGATTTCGAAAATATTTTAAATATAAATCAAAATCTAACAATTGTATATAGCAAACAAATGGATCCAAATGTTAAAAGTATAACAGATACTTTACAACAAATTAAAAATCGCTCGAGAAGTTTTTAATTTAAATTATTTTTAAAAATTAATTAAAAAGTTGTTGTGGCTGTATTTGATTCAATAGAAATAAGAAGAACTTTTCTATTGGCAATGACAGATACAGGAATTTCTTTAAATAATGAATATGTGTTTATTATTCCACAATTAAGAAATTTAGGAATGTTGCAACAAGGTAGTAAATAAAAATAAATTTCGAAGGAAAAAATAAAAAATTTTCATTAAAAGAAAAAACAAGCACAAATATTTCGAAATATAATGATTTTTGGATGACAACAAATGGAGTTAATGATGGGAGGGACGATGATGCTTTGAAAGCTGCAAGAAGGACAATTATTGTAATTAGAATTATTTTGATAAAAAGGGCCTTTTCTCGATTATGTAATAAAAAGAGGAACTTTTCTTAACTTTTCTCGATTAATATAATTTGAAGAAATTAAAAATTATCATAATTTTATCAATACTTAAAGTTGAGAAAATAATAACATTTGATTAAAAAATTAAAAAAATAAATTTAATAAAAATATTTTAATTCAAAAGATTGACTTAGAAAATCAGTCAAACTCTGAAATTGATGCTTTTAATGCTAAAGTAGTTGCAGAATTTGGAAAGCCTCCCTTCAATTGTATAAATGAATGTATGGGTGGACCTAATGACCAAATTGTTTTTTAAAATATTTTTTTATTAAAAAAATAATTTAAGCCGTCTTCGTATGCTCGAAGTTTACACGATACAACATATGCCTATTTAAGGGCATTAAATAAAACAACAGAAAAGTTTGGTTATTTAACGAAAGATTTGGCAAGAAATGGAACTTTAATTAATAATATGAGTAAAGGGGAATTTCAAGGTACTAAATTTAATAATTAAAAATTAAAATAAAAAATAATTTAGGGGAAACAGGGAATGTTATTATTGACGAAAATGGAAATAGAGAGCCAATATTTGTTGTTACTATGTTGGATATTTCTGATCAACCACTAAATGTTATGCAAATCAATTTTATTAACAATACAATGGTAGGGAAAATTAAATAAAAAATGTAGACAAAAATATAGAATGGAAATTAAAATTTACAATAAAAAATAACATCTTAACTAACTATGTAGCATGTTTTGGTTGTATGCAGTGATGGAAAGGTTCCAGTTCTGGCTCTAGAACCGGAACTGGAACCGCAATAATTAAAAAAGCGGTTCCAGAGAAATTTTGGAACTTTTCCATCACTAATTATTGGTATGAACTCAATAGACCCTCGATTTCTTCTAATCGAGGATGAAATAGTATTTTAAGAATATTCAAAAGAATTTCAAGGTAATACGTAAATAGAAGAGACTGAATGTAAAAATAAGAAGATTATAATTTAAAGTCAAAATTTTGCAAATAAAGAGAATAAAAAACATATGTTAAATTTAAGCAAATAACTAAAAATTACAACGACGAATCCGTTATTTGGGCAAATAGAGGAGGTAAAAGACCTTTATATAAACCAATATGTGGATATACGGGGACAGAATGTCCACAAAATATAACAACATATATATTAATTGGTGTTGGTTTGGTTTTGTTATTGTTAGTAGCTACTTTAGGTGGAATTGGTTATGCTGTTCGGTTAGTAGTTAAATATTTTTGGAATTTAAAAAAATTATTTTTTAAAGAGAAAAATTAAAAGAAAAGGAACGTTTAACTAGAGAATGTTTAATACCTTTTGGAGAATTAAAAAATATAAAAGAATTAAAAAGTAATGAAGATATGAGAAGTTTAGAAGCAAATAAAAGTTTAAAAAGTTTACAAAAGTAGTTATAATGAATATTTCTATTGTTTTGGGAGTAATTGTAAGTTTAAAATTAAATGAAAAGTAAAAATTATATTTTAATTTTTGAACGTCGCTAAACGATATACTGACGAATCCGTTATTTGGGCAAATAGAGGAGGAAAGAGACCTTTATATAAACCAATATGTGGATATACTGGGACAGAATGTCCACAAAATATAACAACATATATATTAATTGGTGTTGGTTTGGTTTTGTTATTGTTAGTAGCTACTTTAGGTGGAATTGGTTATGCTGTTCGGTTAGTAGTTAAATATTTTTTTGGAATTTAAAAAAAATTATTTTTTAAAGAGAAAAATTAAAAGAAAAGGAACGTTTAACTAGAGAATGTTTAATACCTTTTGGAGAATTAAAAAATATAAAAGAATTAAAAAGTAATGAAGATATGAGAAGTTTAGAGGCAAATAAAAGTTTAAAAAGTTTACAAAGTAGCCAATCTGGCAGTACAAAATTAACAAGTATGGATGATAAAAAATTGGAAACAGAAAATTATGCACATTTTTTATATAATAGAGAAGTTGTTTTTGCTATTAAATATCAAGTTAGAGTTAGAATATTTAATGAAGATTTGTTTCAATTAATGAAGGTTGTTACAAGTAAATGAACGGCAAAAGTTTTTTGTTTTTAAGCTTAGACAATTAGACCACGAAAATTTAAACAAATTTTGTGGATTATGTACTGATGCACCAATTTTATATGCTGTTTGGAAACATTGTCAAAGAGGAAGTTTAAAAGTAAAAATTAATACTAGACATTTTTTTTGACATTAAGTCGGGAAAACTTGAATATTATAATACGTGAGACAAGATTTTAAAAGAAATTTTATTAGGATTTAATTGCCAAAGAGAGATATGTCGGCGATTCTTTTGTAATGTTTACTTTAATGAGGGATGTAAAATTCTAAACAGAATTTTAATAAATGGGAGGGAAAATACATTGAACTCAAAAATAACTTTAATCTTCAATGATTTAACAAAGCTTTAACAATTTTATTTCCAAACCAATAAGTAAAGTTAACAAAATAATCTCTTTAAAATCCAAACAAAAGAAGGGGACAAACAAATTTAAAGTAACAGAATATTATCTTTTCTTTTAACAAAATATGGGGCCAAATCTTTTAGAGAACAAACTTATATCAAGAAAAATAAAAAGGGGCAAATCTTCAAATCTAACTGAACGGGGAACAACTCTTTTCTGGGGGAAGGAATGAGTAAGAAGTTCAAAAAACTTTACTTTAACTTTAATCGGGGAGAAGGGTAGTTCAAAAACTGAGCCAAACTGCTCACTTTTCCATTTTTATATTCGGGCTTTAATGTGCAAAAAGAGGGAGGTGTTTGCACATTTTAATCCAAAATTAGTTGGCCAAAATAACCCGTGCAAAGGGTTGCAAAGATAGAACGAAAGGGAAGAGAAAGGACATTTTTCAGACAGGATCAAAATACACAAAAATTACAAAAGAGCTTTTCCTAGTTAAATTGAGCGGGCCAGAGATTTAAAAGAATGGGGAGAAAAAGGAGCAGGGACCAAACGGTTAATGTGCAAGGATCAAAAAAGGCCTTTTGGCCCGCCATAATTAACATTTTTTGAGCGGGCTTAAAAATATAGACAAAAATATATGGACAAAATTTCGGCCAAAGTTTAATAATTAAAAATATATTTTCAAATCTAAAAGATTTGACATTCGGGAGAAACCCAAAAAAAAGGTTTAGATGAAGGCATAGGGCAGTTTGAGGAATATGGGTTTATGTGAGTTGCAAGGAAGGGTGGGGGAGGTACGTTTTAAATTTAATAAATTTACGGCACTGGTCATTTTTTTTCATCCTTTTCCTTTATCTTCTTTCAAAACATTCATTTGGGTTTCCAACTTCATTCTTTAGGCCATAACATATTGTCGGGAGGAGCAACGGTGAGAAGAGAGTAAATTTTGGGAATTAGGTTTTTTTTACATTCAAATCTATTATTACCGTTTTGGATACCACTTGTAGTTAGATGAGGAGGAACGAAAGTTTCAGTAAAATCCATAGCATATTGTGTATTAGTCCATTTAGTCCAAAGCATATTGAGCCAGAGCAAAAGTTAATGGGATTTTTCAACAAAAGGAATATAAATGATTTAAAAAGATGGTATCGGTGGGAATTGGGCTTATAGTTTATATTCATAAATTCAATTTCGATACGGGGGGAGAATTCAGGAGTAAAGGTATTTGTTGAGGGAGGGCTCTTTAATATTCTAGGGACAGAGCTGTTATAATCTTCGGAAAAATCATTTTTATTTAATACAAAAGAAAAGGGACAGGGAAGTATTGAATTCTTATCTGAGTCATTCTCGGTTTCGTATTTCGGTTCGATGAGGGGATACTTGATTTTATCTAATGGGGGATTTCCGAAATCTATAATATATATCAGAGCAAGGGGTGGCGATTTAATTTCATAAATACTTGGTGGCTTTCGGGCTTTTAATTTTAACAATTTACTTTTAAAATTTCGGGAAAAAAAGGGATTATCTTTAACAAAATCTTCAGACAATGATGTCATACTTTTAAAGTCGGAATTTCGCAAATTTACAATTTTCTTTGTTGTTACTTCTTTGGAGGAAGGGTTATTATCTCTCGTAAAGGTTTCAATGGGTAATGTCACATTATTACAGTAATTATGAGTACTAATCAAGTCAGGACTTTTGGTTGGGGCTCTGGTGTCGTTGATTGTATTAAAAAGTTGTTTGTTTAATCCAACAGATTTTTCTTCTTCAAAACTCACATTTATAATTTGGGTAGTTAATACAATTTCTTCACAATTAATAATGTTGTCTATTACTTCCTTTCCTTCCAATATATCTTCTGATGTAGAAGTCGAATGTTGTATATTATTGGAGCAGATAATGGGGGGAGATAATGGGAGAATATCTGTAGGGGAGGTACTGATCAGAAAAGGGGTTGATTCTTCCGAATTAATGTGTATTTCTTCATATTTTTCATTTATAAGTTTTGGTAATTGGATTATTTCTTCTCTCATCTGATTGTTTAAATCGTTAGGATTCTTTTCAACATTTATTTCTTCTGGAGGGGAAAAACCAGGAGGGATAGCAAGTGGGTTAAATTTATTCATTTTATTACTATTTGAACAATTGGTTTCATTAAAATAGCTCTCAGGGACTATTGGGTGTTGAGGTGAATAAAATGTGTTTAGCTTGGGTTTAGTCGGATATGCCAGAGTTGGCGCCTCTTCTTGCGTAACGGGTGAAAGAGAAAATTGTCCTTTAGCTGGGGGATTTAAAAACAAATTAGATTGAATATGTGGCCGGTTTCGATAAGAATTATCCATAGAATTTGCATAAACTGATTTTAATGAGGTTTGAGTATTTCCATTAAATGATCTATTCTGGGAGGGGTTTAAAGGAGGAAGTTCAGGAAGGAGATGGGAATGGTCCAATGGGGGTTTAATTTTCGGTAAGTTACTTTCTAATTCATGTCGGGAATTCCGAAGCTTTCTCAGATACCGTTTAAGGTCATACATAATTTTTATATAATCTGTTTCTTGAAGGAATTTCTCTAAAAATTGGCTATCATTTGCCCTTTCATTTTCTGACATGGAAATTCTTAATTTTTGCCACAAATCGTGGGCCATTTTAAAATCATTTAGGATTTTGGTGATCTCTTGGGAGGTAAGGTCTATTTCAATAATTAAGGCCTGAGTAGATTCGAGAGATTGGGTTTTAAAATTATTATAATCTTCTATGAGGGCAGAGAACGGGCTAGGGAGAAGTATTTCTTTTGTAATGGAACAGAGCTGGTACAATTGGTTTCTATAAGTTAAGGACATTCTTTTAAAACAAATAAATAATCCGGACTTTTTATAATCAAATAAATATAAACTTTTAATTATTAACTGGGGAATAAAAATATTAAGAGAAAACTATATTTCTGAAAAGGGCGGATTAAACAATTGGTCTCGGATCTTCACCGGCTGAGCTGTAAAATTCTAAACAGAATTTTAATAAATGGGAGGGAAAATACATTGAACTCAAAAATAACTTTAATCTTCAATGATTTAACAAAGCTTTAACAATTTTATTTCCAAACCAATAAGTAAAGTTAACAAAATAATCTCTTTAAAATCCAAACAAAAGAAGGGGACAAACAAATTTAAAGTAACAGAATATTATCTTTTCTTTTAACAAAATATGGGGCCAAATCTTTTAGAGAACAAACTTATATCAAGAAAAATAAAAAGGGGCAAATCTTCAAATCTAACTGAACGGGGAACAACTCTTTTCTGGGGGAAGGAATGAGTAAGAAGTTCAAAAAACTTTACTTTAACTTTAATCGGGGAGAAGGGTAGTTCAAAAACTGAGCCAAACTGCTCACTTTTCCATTTTTATATTCGGGCTTTAATGTGCAAAAAGAGGGAGGTGTTTGCACATTTTAATCCAAAATTAGTTGGCCAAAATAACCCGTGCAAAGGGTTGCAAAGATAGAACGAAAGGGAAGAGAAAGGACATTTTTCAGACAGGATCAAAATACACAAAAATTACAAAAGAGCTTTTCCTAGTTAAATTGAGCGGGCCAGAGATTTAAAAGAATGGGGAGAAAAAGGAGCAGGGACCAAACGGTTAATGTGCAAGGATCAAAAAAGGCCTTTTGGCCCGCCATAATTAACATTTTTTGAGCGGGCTTAAAAATATAGACAAAAATATATGGACAAAATTTCGGCCAAAGTTTAATAATTAAAAATATATTTTCAAATCTAAAAGATTTGACAGGGATATAGCTAGTGGCTTGATTGCTCTTCACAAATCATTTATTGGAGCACATGGAATGCTTTCCTCAGAGAATTGTTTAATTAATGATCGTTGGCAAGTAAAGATTAGCGATTTTGGATTGAATATGATTAGAGAAAGTCAAACTTTTACAAAAAGAAGTAATTAAAATTTTGTTTTAAAATAGAGTACGTCCGAGTCGAGCAAGTTAGAGTTCACTCGACTCGATCTTACGAAACCTGGGTGTTCCTACTTGGCCCAACTAATCCTCCGAATTTCTTGGATTTTTCTCTTAATACAGCCAAATCTCAGAATAATCAGCCCAAATCCCGCTTAATCGCTTGATATCCATCTCATTCCGCTATTATTACTCGATATCCGTTATCACTCCATTGATTTTCCACCCGGAGCCCTTTGCTAACATTGATTATGGGCGTATGTTGAATGTCTGCGGATTAAGAGGGATATAGTAGGCGGATTAAGAAAATAAATGGGACTTGGATGGTGATCCCCTGCATTATTGTCAACAAATGCTCAATATCCAGCACTGATAATGAATAGTTTTTAGTAAAAGTATTGTCTTCATTAAAATTATTTTAAAATACTGTTTTATAAAAATTTCTGCCTAAAAAGTTAAACTCGTACTCAAACTCGGCATTACTCGAACTCGGTTTTTTCCCGAATTACACGGTAGTCGACGTACTCTATTTTCAAATATTAACGGTTGTGAGCGTTTTTAGTTAATTAAAATATAATTCATTAGTCTAAATGTTACCACTAAATCTAGTTTTAGCTCGGGGGATTAAAATTGCATTATTAGGTCATTAAATCGTGTTTTTTAAGAATTATTGTGGACAGCACCAGAATTATTAAGAGAAAATAATCGAAAAGGAACAAAAGAAGGAGATGTTTATAGTTTTGCTATAATTTGTTGTGAATTAGTTAATAGAGAAACTGTTTGGAATGGAGTTGAAAGAGAAGATGCTGTTGATGGTTTGTAGGGAATAAATACAAATTAGTTGATCTTTTTTATAGAAATTATTTATCGCCTACGACGAACAAATACAGCAATCCCACACAGACCTCAGTTGCATCCAAGGGAAGAAATTAATCAAAATCTCGTAAAAATTAAAGTTAAACAGCTCCAAA